AGATGAAGCAATAAAAAATTTGCGTGCAAATTCTCTATTAATCGATTGTTAGATTCTCGTGTAATGGGTCAGTTGCGCTGGTCACAAAATTGTGTTTTAATACTTGATTTTTGTCGATCAGCTAAAAATAATGAGATCCGTCCAAACAGCAATTTTCTACCTTCAATATTAATCGAGGTATCGCCCTTTGAAAAATCGGGTTTTTGACGTCACCCACCGCGGTAGTGCATAGCATGGTAACCAGTGCAAATATGCGTACCACCGATTGAACTCGAAGTCTTGTAGACGTTAACATGCGTTTCACATCAACTGACCGACTGCACTGCTTGTGGCGCAATGCGAGAAGTATTCATGCAGTCTTGTAGGCGCTAATGTGGTTCACGCCGACGACGCTGTTTTGCGCAATGCGTGAAGTATTCTCACAGTCTTGCAGGCGCTACAGCTTGCAAACAGCACTTTTCTGCCTTCAATATTAATCGAAATATCGCCCTTTGAAAAATCGGGTTTTTGACGTCATCCACCGCGGTAGTGACACCCTTCGTTTTATCCGCCTTACCTTTATCAGTCGGTATGAAGCACATTTGCGCTGGTTGTTCAACTTGAATCTCGGATGAAAGCGAGGCGGAAGAAACCAAGGGTGTCACTCCCGCGGTGGATGACGTCAAAAACCCGACTTTTCAATGGGTGATATGGAGATATCACCCATTGAAAAATCATGAAAAGCCCGTTAATGTTGAACGCAGAAAATTGCTGTTTGGACAGATCTTATTATTTTTCGGTGATCTACAAGAACCAAGCATCGAAACACGATCCTGTAACCAGCGTAACTGACCGATCGAATCAGTCGAATAAAAACAAAAGGAGACGAGAGTACGGAATTTCGGACGTTGCGCGACCCTGCAACCCCGGATATTTTTCTGCCAAGCCGATAATCCACACTGGAAAAAAACACATTGGATCTAGAATCCAGACTCTTAAAAACATCGACAAGAAAAAATACTCTTGATTCAATCAGATTTAAGCTTAAATCAAGAACCAAGCCTCTTAATTTGAGCGAATTTCCTTTTGATCTAAGCTTAAATCTGATTGAACAAGAGTCCTTTTTCTCGTCAATGTTTTCAAGAGTCTGGACTGTAGATTCAATGTGTTTTTTTCCAGTGCAGATACGTATCTCAGATTTTCTCATCGAGGTTCACCACTCCGATTATCGATTCACCAACCGCAAACGTGAGGTTTCACCGGCGCACAGCGGATCGAGTCGATAGGAGAGGTCGGACAGAATTCGGAAACTCCAAACGCTCGTAACTCCGTTTATGCCAAACTTTGAGGTTTCAAAAGTGGTTCTATCGGTTTCCTCGTGAAATTTTCTTCCGGAAGCACCCCTTGAAGTTCGAAGTGAGACGAAATAAACATCAAAATTCGCAGTTTTTGTCAAAAATTTCATGCCCGACACAGGAAAAAAAACACATTGGATCTAGAGTCCAGACTCTGAAAAACATCGACAAGAAAAAATACTCTTGATTCAATCGGGTTTTTGCTTAAATCAAGAACCAAGCCTCTTAATTTGAGCGGATTTCCTTCTGATTTAAGTAAGCAAAAATCTGATTGAATCAAGAGTATCTTTTCTTGTCAATGTTTTCAAGAGTCTGGACTCTAGATCCAATGTGTTTTTTTTTTTTCCAGTGGACCTCTCTAATTGACTCGATCCACCGTGCGGCGGTCGATTTCGCTTCGTTACATAGCGAGAACAGTGGCGTGGTGCTTTGCGATGTATCGATTGATCTGCCATTTAAACCTATGGAAAAAGATCGATATACAGGGTGTTCGCAACCAACACCTTAATAATCGATTCTTTATCATAGTTTCAAATGAGGAATTATCGACTATCGATCATTCACGCCTCGCCGCCGCGCGAGACCCGCGTGGTTCCGCAACCCCGACGGGCATCAATAGAAATAGCATCGATTACCGACACTGTTGCCAGATGTTTCGGGAAAAAACTCTATCCCCAGGGTCTCATGCTATGAAATAACGCCGTAACAGCCGTCAAATGCAGAGGCGTGGCGTGCTTTGCGATATATCGATTGTTATGCCATTTAAACCTATGGAAAAGGATCGATTAACAGGGTGTTCGCAGCGAACACCTTAATAATCGATTCTTTACCATAGGTTTAAATGGCATAACAATCGATACATCGCAATTCACGCCACGCCACTGCGTCAAATGTTGCCAAAGCCCCCTCGACAAAATATTTACTTTCCACGCAGGGTTGCCACAGTTAGGGAACACCTGGAAATGTCACACGAAAAAAATTAAATTGCTGATTCAACAATGCAATTGCTAAAAAAAAATTGACTGCAATGTTTCAATATAGATTTCAAAACACAAAAATGCTACTTTAACCACCCCCGTGGTTAAATTAGCTTACAATAGTGCTTAAAGTAGCATTTTTTTCTGTTGTAAAATCTACGTTGAAACATTGCAGTCACTTTTTATAGCAATTGAATTGTTGAATGAGCAATTTAATTTTTCCGTGCAGGGAAAACCTGGAAATGTCAGGGAAAATGACGGAAAGTCAGGGAAAACTTGATAAGCATCTTCATTTGTTTTCTAGATTGGGTTTGATGTTTCGAACAACGAATTTTGTCCAAAAACTATTTCTAATTATTCCATTTGCCCATCTTGCATATTGTCACAAATTGTCTGGAAATTTCACTGGAATATGTCAGGGGAACGTCAGGGGATTTTATTCTCTAGATTTGGCGGCAACCCCGTGCATGGTTATTCCTTGCAATGTCCAGATATTCACGGGAAAAAAATTGAGGAGCATTTATACCACATTCCGGCTAATAAACGGCACAACCAGAGATTATGGTAACTCTCATCAAAATTATCGTGAAAGTGACAAAATTTTTCCTTATTCAGGGTGTCTATAGCATCAGGAAAACCCGGAAAATATCAGGAAAATCGGAGAATCGGACGTTTTATCAGGAATTTTTCTTACGCAAATCTCCTCAGCGGAGAAAGTTTGACTGCTATTTGCGTACCGTGCCAGGAGTCGAGAAAAATCAGGAAAATATCAGGAAAATGTCAGGATTTTTCAAAATTAAAAAATACTAGACACCCTGTGTGACAATTATTTTTGTGGAAATTAGCATATTGTCTGGTTGTGCCGTTTTTTAACCAGAGTGTGGTAAATGCTACCCAACTTTTTTTCCGCGCTCGATTCAACTTTAAACAAAATCCTCTGAAAAATTGGAAAAGCACTTTTCAAAATCGTCCCTTGAAATTCTGGTTTTTATCGAAGGAAATGTGGCAACGCCTGAAGGCACATACGTCGTTCCTCCTCGGCGACGGGACGGAGACCGGGGCGCGACAAAGGTTAAACTTGCGCGAGTAATAAGTCGAACGAGTTGCTTTCACTTAATAACGGCTCGACGTGGACTTATCCGGTCGACGGGACCAACCTCCCCCCCCCTCCCCAATAGAAGTGGCGATGAGGGGGGCGGCGGGGGGATCGTGCTTCTAGCCGCCACCTGTCCCTGTCAGACGCTGACCTCCGGGGGACATGAGCAGCGTGATCGAAATTGGATTACTCACTCGCTCGAAAGCAGGAAAGCTCGCGGATTAGCCGCCGCACAACGGGCTCAATGCGGATATTGATCAGTGGCGTGGCGTGCTTTGCGACATATCGATCGATCTGCCATTTAAACCTATGGAAAAGTATCGATCAACAGGGTTAACATGGGTTACGGATCCTTACGGCGAAAAGAAAGTTCAAACTGACTTTTCGATGCTTAAAAATTGGAATTTGGAGGCCAATTTTTCACACGTTATGCATTGAGGCTAGTTTCCAACCGCTCTCGCCCCTCCCGGGGGCTCGCTCTATTCTCCTTGTCTATTGCTTTGTCTATCAATATCTCAGTGGCGTGGCGTGCTTAGCGATATATCGATCGATCTGCCATTTAAACCTACGGAAAGGTATCGATAAACAGAGTGTTCACTTCGAACACCCTTATTATCGATTATTTACCACAGCTTCAAATGAGGAAGTATCGATAGATCGCAAAGCACGCCACGCCACTGGGATATTGATAGACAAAGCGATAGACAAGAAGGAATGGAGCGAGCCTCCGGGAGGGGCGAGAGCGGTTGGAAACTAGTCTTGATGCATAACGTGTGAAAAATTGGCCTCCAAATTCCAATTTTTAAGCATTGAAAAGTCAGTTTGAACTTTCTTTTTGCTGTAAGGATCCGCATAATTTCAAACACGCTTTTCTCGAAGTAGCAAAAACTGCACTTATACGCTTTGTCTTCCAAGCCGACCAATTGGATTACATTTTGCAATAAGGAACCACTATTTCTAGCTCATTTTAGAAACAACATAAATATGCCATTGATTCCTTTATGCAGACACATGCTTTTATGGAAGAGCTTGAGATAGTGGTTCCTCATTGCAAAATGTAATCCAATTGATTATGATTAAGTTTGGGGACGTTGTCTAGCGGTGCATATCCATATAATTTTGAAACTTCAAACACGTTTTTCTCGAAATAGCAAAAATTGCACTTGTGCGCTTTGTCTTCCAAGCCCCTCAATTGGATTGCATTATGCAAGAAGGAACCAGGAGCATTGCAATGTTGCTGAAATTGTGCAACTTCTTTTGTTTTGGAAGAAAAACCTGATTATATATTATCAGTTTCTATTTTACTCGCTAAAAATGTAAATTTAAGACAAAAGTTATCATGTAAATTTCATATGTTTTCATGGTTTCAGTAATTCAATTGCTAAAGATGAAGTTGCACAATCTTAGTATCATTGCAATGCCTCTGGTACCTTTTTTGCAAAATGCAATCCAATTGATTATGATAAAGTTTGGACGTTGTCTAGTGGTGCATTTTCATGATTTTTCCAAGTGATTATGATTAAGTTTGGACGTTGTCCAGTGGTGGATTTTCTTGATTTCTCAAATTGAATGTATTTTGTTGCTTTGTTGCAGGATGGCCGAGGTGGACCCGGAAACACTGCTGGAATGGCTGAGCATGGGCCAGGGTGATGAGCGTGACATGCAGCTCATCGCTCTGGAACAACTATGCATGCTGCTTTTGATGTCCGATAATGTAGACCGATGCTTTGAAAGGTAAAACTCTTTTCACATCCTCAAAACGGAACCCTCTCTTATTACAAAACAGGGTGTCTACAAGTCCGAAAATAGTACTCATTTTTTAAGGGTGGTCCAGAAATACTGAAAGATTGCGGGAATTCCGTAAGAAGGTCCGGATATTTTTTTTTTTCATATTTTTGTCGATATTTGAGCGGGAAATTCAACAGGGTGTCTAGCATCAGGATTTTCTCGATTCTATCAGGATTCGAGGTCAATCAGGATTTAATCCCGATTTCATCAGGATTTGAGGGAAAATCGGTCGTAAAATCAGGATTTGAGAAAAGTCGGCCGTCCCATCAGATTTTTTTATCGAGCTATTTTTTCATTGATTCGCACTTGTTTTTAATCCTCAGAACTTAATTCTTGAGTTCAGCTTTTGCACACGCTTATGCAGAAATTTTAATTTTTCTCCGCAAAAAAATCAGGATTTGGAAAAATTATGAAATCAGGATCTAGCAGTCACAAATCAGGAAAAATCAGGATTTCCCATAATGAAAAAAAAACTTGCCTCACTGTTCAAATTTCGTCAATTGGAGGTACTGACAGAGTACTGAATTTTTCTGTTGAGGAAATACTGAATTTCTTGGAAATTTACTGTAAAAGCACTGATTTGTGGCCAGCCTGTTTTAGTAGACACCCTGTAAAAGAAAAATCGAAAATAGCTGCATAATCGGCGTTCCCTCCACGAAAGAACGTAACTAATTTTCACAGTCGCCTTCCCCCTCGCAAATCACATCGCGAGAGGGATTCTGTTGCTTTGCTGCACTAGGCAGTTTGAGTTTTCAACTCAACGCACGGTTGAACCGCGTTTAGCAGGAAAGAACCAAGCCACATCAGCTATCGCCAAATAACGGGGCACTTCGATTTTTTAAAAGAGAACGTTTGTGAGGATTCCCTTGAAAATTTTAAAGAATTTGCTTCGTACTATGCAAAAAGTTCACCGAAATTTCTACAAAAATCCGCACAACCGATTTCATGTAAAAAATTAAATTGGCCTATAGAGAATTTGCAGGTGTCTAAAATATGATGAATTTCGTGTTTAAGTAGAAACTACTGAGTAAACTGAACACGAGGATACCTTTGGTTCTTGAATTGAACAATTACAGGAGAAGATATGACAAAATGATCCAATCTGCCGCCAGATGACGTCTCTAGGCGGTGCATTTTCTCACTTTTAAATCTATATATACATACTATTTCCCTTATCAGAAAAAAATTATAAAAAATACTGTGAAATCAGCTCTTCAAGCACTTTCAGATGATGCAATAAAAAATTTGCATGCAAAGTCTCCATTGGCCAATTGAATTGGGCAATAGCTGATGTGGCTTGGTTCCTTTCTGCTTAACGCGGTCCAATTTGCCCGTGATCACTGTGGTGAGGATTTTGACAAGAATTTTGATTGTGCTGCAGTCTAATTCCAGTTTGGAGGATTTTAACATGATGATTCTCTTGTTCCAGTTGTCCACCGCGATCTTTCCTCCCAGCATTATGCCGAATATTTCTAGATGAGTGTGCCCCAGACAACGTTTTAGAAGTAACCGCACGTGCAATCACATACTATTTGGATGTCTCAGCAGAATGCACACGGAGGATAGTTGCAATGGAGGGCGCCGTCAAGGCGATATGCAACCGCCTCATCGTAGCCGAAGTCGCTTCAAGAACTAGTCGTGATCTTGCTGAACAATGTATCAAGGTAAAGTCCCTTTTTTCAAAAAAGAAAACTGAACCATTAGCTGGCTTTACGAATATAATATGCAATAATTGCTACTCAGGCAACGCTTTAATTAAAAAAACAATGTGCAAGAGGAATTGTAAATATATTAACATCCTCTTGCACATTGTTTTTTTATTAAAGCATGGCCTGAGTAGCAATTATTGCATATTATATTTGTAGAGTTGGCTAATAGCTCAGTTTTCTCTTTCGCATTATGAGTATCCGAAGACCTAAAAATCTTGTCCCTATTTCCAACCTGGAAACTACACCTGTAATTTTTGTTCAATTGAGTACTGATAGGCATCTGATTCTTATGCCAGAATCACATGCTGAATGTGGCTTGAATGTGGAAGTCACCGGTTTGATGCCTGAATTTTGCGCGTGTCGCTGGTAACAGGTCTTGAGCTTTGAATATATTGAGAGGGACATCTAAAGACGTTACATAGGAGAATATGATCAACCGTTGCCTTTGAGCCCAAGTTCAAAATCGAACTTTTCTAACTTTTTAGCCCGAAGTAGCCGAAAATCCATGTTTTCCGCGGTCTCACCTCAGATTTAGACCCAATGGGCCCAAAGTGACGGATCATGAGCTTTGAATGTGTTGTGAATATGTTGTATTCAAAAGTGAATCATTTCATCTGTTTTAATTCATGAAATATGTTGGTTTGCGTAATCAAGTGGGTGTCAATTTTTATGCAAAAAATCAGAAAACACCCTGAAAACTCGATAAAAAAAATCATTGAATAACTGTTATGTATTTTCTCACTTGATGCCACCAACTCTCCTGTGATGTTGCGTAAGATCGCTCAAGACCGCAAGGGTAACCTCTTGAGAGTCATTGAATTTAATAGTCATGCACTAAGCATGTAATAATGTATTGAAAACCAGTCATTTAATTCCATCTCCTTACTTTTCCAGGTTCTAGAACTGATCTGCACAAGAGAAGCAGGCGCAGTTTTCGAAGCCGGGGGTCTCAATTGTGTGCTAACGTTCATCCGAGAAAATGGCACCCAAGTCCACAAAGATACACTGCACTCAGCCATGGCGGTTGTGTCTCGACTGTGCACGAAAATGGAGCCGCAAGACGCATCACTGCCAGCCTGTGTTGAAGCTCTGTCAGTTTTGCTGAAACATGAAGACTCGCACGTTGCTGACGGTGCCCTACGATGTTTTGCATCCCTATCTGACAGGTAGTTGAGGCTTTTGTTAAAACCCTTGGGACCAATACTTGTAAATTTCCTCAGTAGAAGAGTTCTCTGTCAAAGTAGAACAAATCGAAGTCGGGGAAAATAAAGAATAAGGAATGGTAAAAAAATTGCCTTATCTTTTGCAGTTGTGGTCCAAGTTTTCTTTCAATAGAAGTACGAAACATTTATAATGAGTACTTTTACAATTTAAATAAATGTCGTAAGAGTATTTTTCAGAAATTCAGGCCTTAAGCTAGCAGTAGCAAGTTAAATTTTTGAGAAGTAAGGTAAAGTAACACTTCCTAAAATTCTGTATAGTTCGATCATAAGAAGCTCTACTGTTTGTACTTTCATTCCTGAAGCCACAGACAGTAAGAAATGTTCTTTTCTTGAAGGTTTTGATGCCCAAATGCGAAAGATCCCCTCGATCTCAGTTTTAAAATTTCATTCTTCAAAAAAAGGAGTGTTTTGGAATCGATTAGAAATTCATTTCTGGTTTTTACTTTTTCTCTGCCTGTACTGATGTTTTTCTTTCTTTGTAGATTTACCCGTCGCGGAGTTGATCCTGCGCCTTTAGCACAACACGGCCTAGTAACAGAACTTCTTCATAGACTGTCAAATGCTGCAGGCCCTACCACAGCAACGCTCTCAACGCCTGGTAAATATTCTTAACTGTCCCTTGAATTTTTAGTCAATGTCACGTTGTGAATACATCTGTAAATATTTTCTGGTAAAAAGAGTCAACAATTTTCCGTATTGTGGATTTTCTTGTATGTATCAGGGTTCTTAAATCATTTTGTGGCTCCAAAAAAGGAAGCTGCTTGGTTAAAATATGGTTTTAAAATGGGTGGTAGGACAAGGTCCGAACTGAAGAAAGACGTTGTCCACTTTTTCTTCAAAATATTACGCCGTAAACGATTCACGAAAAGAGAAGTTCGGAAATCAACTCAAAAACGAGTTATGAACTAGTATTTTTAATTCAGGTTAAATGGAAGTCAGACTATACAAATAATGTCATTTGTAATTTAACCATTTAACTAATTGTCATTGTAAACCGTTATACCTTTTTTAAGAGTTGAGTTCCAGACCTCCCGATGTGCGATTAGTTTTTCTCATTAAATTTTGAATAAAAATCATGTCGCGATGTACTTTAGTTCATACCTTGTATCAGAGGCCCATAGGGGTAAAGGTAGAACACTGAATGGCACTTAAAATGTGTTTTAGTCCTTCATAAACTTTAAATTTGATTTTTTACTTCATCATTTATTATTTTAACAGTAGTTCAGAATGACAAAACTAATGGGGTCTTAGATATGTTTACCTAAATTAGAGGATCAAGTACTGCTCAATTCAGAATTTAGGTACTTTTTCTCTACTACATAACAGCGTAAACAGTAATATTTTTCTCTTTTCTTTTACCAATCATTTGAACTTTTTCCAGCTATCTCAAAGTTTTTTGGGAAAGCTCTGCTTTACTTAAGAGTTTCTCGGTTGAGAAGAGTCTAGTGTGGGCAAAAAAATCAGTCCTGTCGACAGAACGCCACTGGTTTCACTCTTATTAAAGCACATCAAGCAAACATAGCCGAACAGTCCTGATTAGAAGCTTGTTCACCCAGAAGTAAAGCACAGCTTTACCAAAAAACTATGTGATGGCCGGAAATATTTAAAATTACTGGTAAATCAGTGTACAGCTATGAAGAAATTTAACCTCGGGCTTAGTAATATTTATGTTAGGCCAAACACTCTTTGTTCATAAAATTTATTTTTTTCTTCACAGCAACCCCAGGTGCGAACACAAGCTCATCAGTTTGCGAAACAAAATCATCTGCATCTGTCTCTACCATTATTAGTCTTTTATCAACGCTCTGTCGAGGGTCTCCTAGCATAACTCATGTAAGTAATGTTTGTTGAAGTATATTTTTGCTAGTTTTTCAAAAGGGGTAGATGCAATCACTCATAGTGTTTTATCAACTCTCAGTCAAGAGCCCTTTAGCGCAACGAGCATGAGTAATTTTGTCTCCTATTTTTTCTTCAGTATAGAACTACTACATGAATTTATTTATTTTATGAATTAATTATTAAAATGTATTTTTGTCATTACAAACGCATCAATTAGCGTCATCATTTTCTTAAATTCATTCTCTGAAAGTAAAGCGTGAACTAAGCTTCCAATAATTCGTCCATATTTTTTTAAATCTCAAGTACCAAAGAAACTCTGTTCTGAAAATGCCATAAACGGGACTCGTTTGAAAAAATATTTTTGGCGGGTTCTGATGATGTAGCCAGGCGGGTGAAACATCATTTGCTGATTGACTGAACTCCATTTTAGGCATTGCCTTGCTACGTCAACTCAACCTCGGCTTTTGATTGGTCAGAATTTTGTTTGTTTTCCTCCCCTTTAGAAATGATTCCTTGAATATCTTGGTTTTTTCACTAAATTTTACACAAGAAAAACCAAACCCCAAACATGTTTAAATTCATAATCTCTGCTCCGTTGTGTTGTAATTTGTGTAAGTAGACGCCAGCTGCTCATTGCAAGCCATTAAATTTAGCGCGTCTAGAGTCACACTGTTTTCATAAATTCTGACCTTAATGCTAAATTTAAAATTTTACCAAAATCAAGTATAGAAAAACTTATCTAGTGGATGAATTATAATATCGAAACTTTTTCTCTCTGATTTCAGGATTTACTTAGGTCTGATTTGCCAGATGCAATTGAAAAGGCATTAAAAGGCGATGAGAGGTAAACTCATTTATGAAATTTATTCTAGATTATCTAGTTCGATTATTTTTAATAGTGTTAATTTTAATTTTGCAGTTGATCTTCCTGAAATTTTAGTGGGGCTTTAGCATGTTCTGGACTGGGGGCACCTCCCGAAAAGACTCGATAGAAGAAAACTGTCTCATTTTGACCCATAAAAGATGCTTGTGCAATGGCCACGTACTCAGAGACATCTTGTATACTCCAGTCTGTTTGATTCACCTCTTGAAAAGGAAGATCCTCAGGCAGAAAACCTGATTTAGTGAAATATCTTATCATGGAATAATCTCTGCTGCGGTTTTCCTGTGCGGAGACTTAAAGTTTTATAAATCCATCTCAAAGCTAAGACATCTGATGTTTTTCAAGTGGTGAAATCAATCCAAAACTTGTAGGATCTGCATTACTTTCATTTTCTATTTAACACTTATAGTAAGGCTGCGATCCGTCCAGTTGCGGAATCCATTTAATTACAAGCCAATAAATTGAGGTCCTACTGTCAAAGCCTTTTGAGGCTGCGGCTCAGGTCAGCACAAGGTAAAGACCAAAAATTTAAGTGGTGAAATAATTATGAAAAGAACTTAAGATAATCAGTGAAAGAAAAAGGTAGGAGCTATGGGATAGCTTTTTAGTCCCTGCGGAGACACTATTTAGACCTTCAAATAACTCATCAACCGAGTAGAAGGCTGTAGAAAGCAGTAACTGAGGAAGTCAATTCAGGCACATAGTTAATATTCCTTCTCAAAAGAGAATTTTAAGTGCCCATGAGAGGACAGGCTACAATGGAGATTTTGCAAGTGCTGAAAATTTGATGAATTTCCCGTTTTAGTGGAAACCACCAAGTGAACTGAACAGAAGCATACCTTTGGTTCATAAATTGAACAATTATAGGAAGAGATGTGACAAAATTACCTGATCCACTAAAATACATGTGTTTAAATGGGAAGTGCTGCCAGATGACATCACTAGGCGGTGTATTTTTTCACTTTTAAATGCATTTTGATGCTATACTCCATACCAGAGCAAACTTGAAAAAAATACTGCGAAATCAGCTCTTTAAGCACTCTCGGATGAAGCAATAAAAAATTTGCGTGCTAATTCTCCATTGGATCGTAGAGAAATTTACATGGCGCATTGTTATTGGAAGAAAGATTTCAGTGTTTCCAATGTTTCTGATGTATTTTAAGGCGCAATAAGTTTATTAAGAATGGCGACTTTAATGCATTCAAAAATATGATTAGAAAGGAAGGTGAAGAGCTCATCTAAAGTTTTTTCCGTTTTAGTGCATACATAAATTATGTCTAATTTTTTTCATGAACCGAATTTGAAATTTATTCATTGACTTTAAAGTCATAGAAAGTAGATAAATTTATAAACTCATTGTTCAACTCTCTAATTTTTCCTTTTCTTTCTTCTGTTCTCCAGGTGTACATTAGACTCAATGCGCTTAGTAGATTTGTTATTAGTTCTGCTGTTTGAAGGACGGCGAGCGCTATCAAGAAATGGTGGCTCAACTAGCACGAGCAGTTCAGGACAGTCATTACCCCGTCTACGACGGCTCGATTCAGCCGGGGAGAAAACGCACCGGCAGCTCATCGACTGCATCCGGAGTAAAGACACAGATGCCTTAATAGAAGCGGTTGAAGCTGGGGGTGTTGAGGTTAATTTTATGGATGATGTAGGACAAACTCTATTAAATTGGGCCTCCGCCTTCGGGACCCAAGAGATGGTGGAATTTTTATGTGATAAAGGAGCTGATGTGAACAAAGGTTTGTGTAATTTTCATTCAACTGTCTTTCACATCGCTTGCAATTGAAGAGTTAGCTCAAAGAAAGGGCGTCTTCAAAAGATATTTGTTTTGATAATACTGAAAGGTTCATACTGCGTTCTTTCTTAGCACGGTAGAGTAGTATATTGATCGCTAAGTTGCAAAATTCAGCTGTTTTATTGAAGGGAAACAAACATTTTCTTTCAGCGCCAATTTTTGAGCTCATTGAATCCTCTGTGAAAGGTGATGAAGAAAAGGATGGAATTGGAAAACAGAGTATTGATTTTTTTTTTTGTCCAAAAATTTGAATTTCTGAAGAAATCTACAACTTTGCAATCCAACTTACAAGTAATGGAAATTCCAGCAGCAAAATAATAGCCATTTAATGATTTACCCAGCTGCAATATTTATGTTTTTTTTCTTTTCCTTTCAGGTCACCGATCATCATCGCTGCACTATGCTGCATGTTTCGGACGTCCAGCGATTGCAAAAGTTCTCTTACGACATGGTGCTAACCCGGATTTGCGGGACGAAGACGGTAAAACTGCTTTGGACAAAGCGAGGGAGAGAAGTGACGAGGGACATGGAGAGGTCGCTGCCATCCTCCAGTCGCCCGGTGGGTAACCGAATATCGAATCAGACGCCCTGCCCTCTCCACAGTCGCTCCTTTCTTCCTTCTTCCTCCTCTCCCTCTCGCCTCTCAACTACCTTTATAATCTACTTTTAATTCATCTTCTATTTTGAATCTCGAACTTTTAGTTCACCTTTCTGTCAAAAGTCACAAAAAACATAGTCAATTAAGACAGTTATGATTTATAGAAGTCTCAACGCGGGGATTACAGAAAGCTCTGGGCTTCAGATTTCAAAATCTCTCTTGTTCTCAAACTTTTCAAAGTAAGTATCCAATCCCCTCCTCTGTTCCTGTTCAAAATTAGCCGTGATTTCGCAGTTGTGCTGTTTCAACTTCTTTCCTGTAACTTTTTTTTTGTTACTTTTGCATGCAATTGAGGAGTTTCTCACCCCTGATGATAGGAATTTACCTACCAAGAGCAGCAGTTGTTAATTGCGGAATCAATCGCACTCAACCCGTTCAGAATGTTCCCACCAGTATCTTATTCCGTGTTCAATTTGCAGGTGAATTCATGGTTCCCGTGGACAAAGACAAGAAACAAGATGTAGCAGAGCCAGAGGACACTAACGAACCGAAAGGTGATCCTGAAATGGCCCCTGTTTACCTTGGCCGTCTACTGCCTGTATTTTGCGAAACATTCCAGTCAACAATGCTTCCCTCAGTGAGGAAAGCCTCCTTGACTTTAATTAAGAAAATGGTGCATTATATCCAACCCTCTCTTCTAGTAGAAACCTGCAGCCCAGAATCTGCAACATACAATTTAGGAACAATGTTGGTGGAAGTGATCGCCACCGTTTTAGATAACGAGGTAAAGTATCTTCTCTGTGTGTCCTACTGCTGCTAATTCTAGATCTCGTTTGCTATAGTGACAGCTTTTTTTTTATCTCGTTATTTTGCATTAGTTGTGTTGTCTCTTCCTGATTTTAACCTGTCAAAGGCAGTCACTTCTCAGGATCCATCCAATGTTTAAAATCGTGGTTTTCGGTATCTTAAGGGGAGTTACTTTTTCCATTGAACTTGATAATGAGAGCCAAAAAGTGTGACCCTTAAAATTCCATAACAATGGCCAAGGAACAATACAGTCTAACAAACAATTTTGGCAAAAATGAGTCAGAAATTTTGCTACTTTCTGCAGTATTAAATACGCAAACTGATGTTTTTAGCTTTTTTCAACTTTGCATGGGAGTGCAGGGTGTCTAGTGACCGAAAAAACCAGCAAACGTCAGGGGATTTTTCTTTGTGTCAGAGAAATTAAAGAAAACGTCAAGGAATCCACCAAAATTCGGCATGTCTGAATTTTTCTCTTGCAAGCGATTTCCATGTCAGGGAAATCGAAGAACGCAGATTTTTCGAAAATCGTTTTATGAATTTTACTCTTGCGGAGATTTCTACCAGAATTTCCACTGATGTCTTTTTAATATTAAAAGTGAGGCAAAAATATCTCGCATAAGTTTAGGCACCACATAATTTGATCTATTCATAATATTATATTCCTAAATCCTAAAAAATTCTTACTTACATCTAACCAGTTCAACCGTGTCGAAAAATTAGGAACATTTTTCCCTTTTGTCAGGGAAATTTAGCGGAATTATTTTTGCAGTCTGTAAGGGAGTTTTAAATTTTTACTGGTTTTCTTGCCGTTTTTGCCAGGAAAATGCCAGAGAATTTTTTTTTTTTTTTTTTTTAAATTGTTTGACACCCTGGAGCGCTGTAATGTATAAGAAATTTGCAAGCAAACCTATCCTCAAAATGATAAAAATGGCCAAGCTTTGTCTTCATTCTGTCAAATCATCGTCAGTTTGTAGATAGGCTGTATTGTTCCCTAGCTATTGATATAAGTTAAGTATTTTTATAATTTAATTTAAAAAAATTCATGATTGTTTTCAGCTCTTCCTTGATGAAAGGAGGAACCTTTCATTTCTCTCTGGAAATTAGTCTTCCTGAAACCTTCTCATAAATTTTCTGTTAAAATAAATGGTAACAGTGAAAAAACTTCAACTCTGAATATTCGACACGGTTATTAATGCATCAATGGTGTAGTTTGGAGTACAAAGCCTTTTGGAAAAATCTTGCGTTTTTTCAACTGCAGTGGTTGCGTTGGTTCAAACGTTTTGCACCTTGAAAAATGTGAGGAAACAGCGTTTAAGGTGATTCGATGGACGCCATATTTTGTGTCAGAATGGCATGCGATATATCGCATCAATTGGTTCCATTTTTTCAGCTATTCGTCATTTTTCTCCAATTTTGAGGTCGCAATTCTGTTGTCAGGAGACTAAAGCACTCTTTTACCAATTTTAACAAAGAAATTCAACTTACTAAAGGCATGGTTTTTTTAGCAAGAAAACATAGCATTTGATACTGATATCAAAACTGCACTCGAATGGGATATTTTCTCTCTAAAAAAACCACGCCTTTATTACGTTGAATATATATAAAGTCGCTTTACAACGCACTCTGGCGTTCTACGACACCCAAACGCCACATATGCCTGTCTTCCCAGAGGTTCTCGGGCAACTGACACCGCAACATCTCTTCGTCAACGCCCTGCCGCCAACCCTTTACGGGACGTCCCCGTCGCCTCTTCCCAGGTGGTACCCAATCCAAAACTTGTTTGGGCAACCTCTCCTCCGACACGATTATGTTGAATTTCTTTGTTAAAATTGGTAAGTGAGTGCTTTAGTTTCCTAACAACAGAATTGCGATCTCAAAATTGGAGAAAAATGACGATTAGCTGGAAAAATGTAACCAATTGATGCGATACATCGCATGCCTTTCTGACACAAAATATGGCGTCCATCGAATCACCTTAAATCAGCTCTTCAATCTAGCAGAAAATTTTGTCTCAATTGTTGTTGGTTTTTTCCTCTTGTATTCTGTTTACTCCACTAAATTAAGTTACTTAGTGATTGAATCATACAGAACTTCAAGCTCTTTTTTCATATAATTTTCAAGAATAACAAATTAGTGATAGCTTGCTGATGCATGCTTTCAGCTTGAAAACCATTAGTGCTACACTGATGCTTACAGCTAAATAAATGGTTCTAGAGGACCTATATAGGGAGATTTTCTCCATGTCGATCCCTCTACTGTAGAATGAGTCCCAAATTCAGGCATCTGTATTCCCCTCCCCCTTCCCACCCTCAGTATTTGGTGATAACAAAGAAACAGCAAAAAAGTAGTAATTTTTATCAGTATGCCAGTTACAATGAGCTCAAGTGAAGTAATATCGCAAACAGCAAGGCTTAACCAGGATTGTGTTCATCTTGAAGCGTCACTCAAGGTGGCATATAACAGTACGCGGCAATATTTTTTTTCAGTTTATGAGCTGCACTTGTAAGTCCAAATCAATGATGTACTTGTCTAATCATTTCAGATCTCATATTCTTGGCCCTCGAGCAAAAATGAGTCAAAGTGTTCAAGATCTGGCTTTATAAATGTGTGCCACAAGAATGGCTTTATAACGTTACAGAAAGAGCAAAGTACCAAATTTATCATTTGCAAAGTGGTAAACCCAGTACGTGTCATATTTTCGAGTGATGTGTTTTACCGGTTTCGAATTGTCCTCAACTCTTAACACGTACCAGTCCTGTTAATTGTTCGGAAAACGGAAAATGCTGTCGTTTTTGTAATTTTTTCGTTTCTTTTGAGATTCGATTTTATTGTTTTTCCATGCATTTTTAACGAATCCTTCCTCGTTGGTTTAGAATCACGCACACACATCATGATACTAATGACTCATTTTTGTCACCTGTCATCTCTATTCCTCTTCTTTTTCTCACCTCCTTTTTACTGCAACTCCGTGTATGCATGGTTTTCAGCACTGTTTCCATTCCTTGATTTGTCAGAGCTGTATGTTTTAGGTGTAGGAAGTTTTACAGAATCTGTCAGTGGCACCTATTTGTTTCAATTAATTTTTTGAAAGCATAGAGTGAACCGAGATTCTAAGAATTCGTTTTTGTTTTTTTTTAACTCTGAATGGCAAAAACAAACCCAATACAAAAATGTGACCAGTTTGAAACAATATTTTTGACGGGCTCTGATAAAATTGCCCAGCGGGACTCAACTGTCGGCTTTTCATTGTTCAGATTTGAATAGCTTTTTCTCCCCTTAGAAGTGATTTTTTTAATTTTTTAATGAACTCTTTAGTTTTTTCACCAAATTTCACTCGGGGCAACTACACTATAACCCTGTAAAAATTCTTTGCTACTGCCCCATTGATATAGCAGAATTTGACTACATTTTGGTGACAATTTTTCCTGTGTTCTCTCTGACAATTTAGCAACCAAAATCAAGAAAGTTTTAGGCTGTGGATCATGATGTCCAGCTCATTTGAAATAGAAATCCATCCAGTGTAGCAAATTTAAAGAGGAAATTTTTATTTTTTATTATTTCTCGTGTTTTTATAACTCAAAAGCCCTTCCTTGGAAGCAGATTTAAAACGACAAGACGGGAAGCATCCTAAGCTACATATTTTTTCCAGATGAAGTGCTGTATCGACAGTGAAACTGTAAAAGTGGGTATCTCAGTTGCGGTGTTTTACAATCTCTGCGCTATTTTATTTTTTATTTGGAGACTGAACCAACATCTTGGCTTAAAATTTTCACAGAATATTCTTTACACAGAGAAGGAAATCACCAAAATGTTGGAAAGCGTCATTCATTAATCTTCCGTGTAGAAAATAAAGTATGATGGGAAGACCGCAATGCAGCAAACTGAGATACGCATTTCTACACCATTAATGTCCGGCCTGTTCTATGCTCTTGCTTTTCCCTAGTACTATTATCCAACGTATATTACATTTCATTCGCTGCCTAAAACATCATTTTGTAAAACTCATTACGTCGGATTCAATTGGAAACAAGACAAGTACAGTGGTCTTATTCTCAAAAGGTCATTGGTAATGATGCTCGTTGAATTTTTTTACTGTAGTAAGTGTGCTCTAACATCTTTGCATTTTTTTAAATTTTGACGTGTTTGACTGCCTTTGACAGAGGACTTGTGGCCCAGGAGCCAGCGCATTCTCTATGAACTGTTGTTTTTTCCTTTGCCTTTGACAGGAAACTTATGGCTGAAGAGCCAACACAATCAATACGTATTGTAGTTATTTCCTTGTGTTTGCTCTCACGTTTGAATTGTACAAACGGTTGCGTCTTTATCACCATAGAAAAAATGATTTGTACATATCTCTTTTATGGACCTATGTTCTCCTAACTAACATGTTATGATATTACTCATTCACAAGCTTTAAAATGCACAGGATAATATGCAATTTGTCTGAAAAGAAAGACAGGAAGTAAAATAAAATGTTATCAGAGGAATGTGGATTTATCGGGGCTTTTTTGTCTCTTTTCAGTCATAAATCTATTTTTTTTAAAAAGAAAGAAAAAAAATGCATCAATTTTTACATTCTGAATGAAATTTGAATGATGTAGAAGATACATGGGAAAATCACATAGCTCATCGTCAGCCAATTTTGTAAGTTGAGAAAACAGTTGTAAATAATTTTTTTTCCGTGTGCTTTATTTTTGCTTTTGCTTGAGAATAACTTGACGTCTTTTTGTAATCTTGCAGGATGATGAGGATGGTCATGCGACTGTGCTACAAATCATCCAAGACCTGATGACCAAAGCCCAAGATATATTTTTAGACCACTTTGCACGGCTCGGCATTTTCAGCAAAGTCCTTCAGCTGGCTGGGCCTCAAGATGTACCTGAAAAAGAACCCAAGAAAACTAGGTAAGTGAAAATTGAAAATGATCAATCAACTCGATTTTTTTTAGATTTTATATGATATTTTGAAGAAAATTTTGGACTTTTATTTTCTTTAAAGTGAATGGACTGGGGCTTTGGGTGCCATCAATAGTCCTTGAATATTCTCCAAATCAAAGCCTTGAATTGGGTAAAAGCACCGACATACACCTGAAAATTTTTAAGGCTGATGACTTATATGATGGGGGTTTTTTTTTGTAAGTAAGACTTTTGAAATTTGGATTATTTTTGTCTGCGTACTTCATTTGTGTACAACAGATGGTGAGAGAAATATTATCAATTTTTAGGCTTTTGTGAATGGCTATAAATATTTTTGTTTATTACGCCCTGCAAGTTCTCATAAAGCCAGATGGAGTCTTAAATTAATTAATTTTGATTTTAGACTCAGCTTTATAAAAGCTTGTGAAAGTCCTTAGTTATGGGTTTAAAATGCTATTGAGAGCCTCTTTGACAAAGCCTTTATTTCTAATGTAAACATGATTCTTTTCCGAGTAAGATTTTCATAATTACTTTAATTTTTTCAGCCTAAATGAATCCAGTAAAAACATGGAAGAAAGTGATAAAGCCCCTGTCACAGAAGACTTCTTAGAAGATGCAAAAGAAATGTTGCCAGGTCGGGCATACTATTGGCACGACTGGAATTTAGTCCGTGGCAGGGATTGCCTTTACATCTGGGCTGAAGTAGCAGCTCTGGAGCTCTCCAATGGAAGCAATGGGTGGTTCCGCTTTATCATCGACAACAAATTAGCAACCATGTACTCCAGCGGTAGCCCTGAAGGCGGCTCGGATCCTGCTGGTACGCTCTTTCTGCCTCTCTTTTCAGCTTTGCGATTGCAAATGTTCGCGTTAAGCAAAAGGAACCAAGCCACATCAGCTATTGCCAACTTTAACTGACCAATGTAATTTTTTACATGAAAATGGTTGTGCGGATTTTTGTTCAAATTTCAGTTTTCTGCATAGTACGAAGTAAATTCCTTAAAATATTTAAAGAAATCCAAACAAACATTCTCTCGTAAAACATTCATTTTCCAAGTTAAATTTATCATCAGCTGATGTGGCTTGATTCCTTTCTGCTAAATGCAGTCCAAATCATCACTCCCTAAGTCAAGCATCTTGTTAGAATTTTGCTTTTGAAAATGATTCGTCAAATGTCAAAGAGCATTTATTCTTCTGATCGAAGTTTGAAGGTTGCGTATAACGACCCAAATTGTTCTCTGTTCAAATCGTATTCCATTTTCATGATCCAGTTTTCCATGTGTGAAATTTTTGAGATTCCAACACTTAGAAAAAAGAGATTTATTCAGAAGCGATATTTGAATTTCTAAAGAATAAGGCTGAAGCCCTGTGCGCTCCATTCATTAGAGGGAAACAAGTCTCAATAAAATTAAATGGACTCATGACGTCTGTGCATCTTGCAGCTGAAGTAATACGACAATTAATCATTACTCTTTTTTTTCAGCTAAAGGAAAAACCTCAGAAACTTTAGCTGCTGAGGGTAAGTTTATCATTACTATTTTTAGTCTTTTTTCAAGTTTTGCATGTAGATACCTTTATTATGATTTGTCCAACTCAGTTCTCTTCTAAGGTGATTTGATGGACGCCATATTTTGTGTCAGAACAACATGCGTTATATTGTATCGATTAGGTAACTGCATGTGATATATAGTATCGATTAGTTATGGAATGCGATATTTTTCTTCTATAAAAACCACGCCTACATTACGTTGGATTTCTGTGTCAGATTTGGTACATGAATTCTTCAGTCTCATGACAACAGAAGTGCAATCTCAAAATTCGAGAAAAATGACAGGTAGCTGAAAAATTGGAACTAATCAATGCGATATATTGCATGTTGTTCTTACACAAACTCTATTGTCCATGTTTTGAATGAGAATGATATTTGTTGATGTTGCCCTAATTTTGCCCCTTTCTCATGGTTGGTGGCTGTAGCGCAATTGCTTCAATGTTCAAATACGTTGCATACAGGCTGTGTTTCAGTTTGTGAGGACTCAATAAATAAGTATCATGAAAACCAGAATTTTTCATCCTAACTGTTTGTGGCATTTTTAATAATATCATCAATTTGCTCTCACCTTTTGAGTTATTGAACTATTTTACCTTTGCGAATCTTTCCCCCGACTTGTCAATCTCCTCTCATTATCATGTGGCTTCAATTTATGAGCGAACTGTCTCTATTTTTCAGAAAATCGAAGTGAATTCCTAGAAAAACTGCAAAGAGCTCGATCTCAAGTCAAAGCTAACGCCACCAGTCAGCCGATTCTATCTCATCCAGGGTCAACAAGGATCGTCGTCGGAAACTGGTCTTTGTCCAGTCGGAAAGAGGGTGAACTCCACATTCACAATTCAGACGGGCAACAGCAAGCAACTATATTGAGCGACGATACTGCTGGTTTTGTCTTTGAGTCCAATCGAGGCACCAGGCATACCTTCATTGCCGAGACAACCCTTGGACCAGAATTTTCTGCCGGATGGACCGGGAAAAGAGGCCGGAAGCTACAATCAAAATTGGAAGCTCTGAAGCAAAAGGTAGGTTTTGTTTTGTACAAAAGCATGGTGACATGGAATTTTCAAAAACAGGGAATTACTGTGGTTCATCAAGGTTTGAAAAATATCCGGGAAGTACTGAGAATTTCCTACGCCTCTGCTTTTAGGTTTAATGATTCTTAAAATTAGTGATTCATTTGTTGACTTAACTTCAAAGGATTAGACAAAAAAATTAAAAACATAATTTTTTGTAAACTTTGGATGATTTGTTTTTCCCCAGGCTAATCTAGAATATATTACGTAGAAATCCTGGATTTTTATCTGGGAATTTTTCTGTGAAAATTAGAAAAAATCTGGGATTTGAAGAAATCCTAAAGTCTTGCTACAATGATCTCTAGGTGCCTCTTCAGAAAAACTATGGTATTTTGAGGGTTCCCATGAATATACCTTGAATAAAATTTTTCTCAACTTTTCAGACTGTATTCTTGCTTACCTAAAGATCAAATCTGAAACCAATTGTCCAAGAAACTTTTTCTTAAATTTCGTTAATAGTGCCATGTCTAATCGCTTTTTTCCTCCTATTTTATTTTTCCCTTTTCAATATTTCTTAATTATAATTCAGTTAATCTATCTTCACATTCTTGGATCTAATAATTCTTAGGGTATATTAGGGTCTTATGAAAAGATTTTTTCTTTCCCTATTTTTTAGACAAAGAGATCTCCTTGAGTTTTTTGCATTTTAAACAATTTTTATGCATGTGTGCTGATGATTCTGAATTCTGTTTTTTGTAGGTCAAACATCAAGCGCAAGATATTTACGAGAAATACTTCCGTGCTGCCCAAGCTCAACCACGAGGTGTTGTAGCCAAGTTAGGAACTATTGTAGCCCAGATCGAAAGAGCTTGCCAAAAACAAGTGAGTGACTCCATTCTCTTTTTTACTTCTGTACGGTCCAATAGATATAATTTGTTATTCGTAGTTTAGCATAATTTCAGGTTTTAATCCAGTTAATGAGTCTTTAAGCCTTATTTTTTTATTTAATATTCTGAAAGTATCAGATGGGTAGAATACGTCGTGATTTATTGCGTACTTTTTGAGCTAGAATCCCGGGCAAGCCCGATTTTAAAACGTCCAAAGACTGAAAGAAATTTCGAATATGCCATAGTGGCAGGTAATTGATGACAGTGAAGTATTGCAGCAGTCAAATGCGATCCTCCCTCATTTTCCACTGATGTTCGTTAAAAGAAAATGTATTTACTTGTGAAATTCTTGCTTATTAAACTAACAAATCTCCTTGATTGACAAAAAATGAATGGAACCCTTGCAGTTTATTTTGCTGGACACAGTAGTGTGTTCAAGTGAAATTCAAGCTCTAATTTTTTCGACTTCACCAAAACTGCACTCCAGAAAAACTTGCCTCATTGCTTTAAGGTCCTTTTCTGGAGTGTCTTTTTTACAGTCAGGAACACTGGGAAAACCGGAAAATGTCAGCAAATTTTTAAAAGTCAGGGTAAGTCCGGAAATGTCAGAGGGAATGACGCAAGTTTCGGGGGAAAATTGTTAAATCACCTTTATTTTAATCAAATGGGTTTGACGTTTCAAACAACAAATTTTGCTCAAAAATCTTTGAAATCGTTGCCTTTTAAGCATTTGACATACCCTCAACTGTTTAGAAATATCATTGTGTGTCAGGAAACCGCAGAAAATGTCAGGGAATTTCATCCTCTAAATTCTGTAGGAACCCTGTTATTGCTGTGGATTATTCACTCTTAAATCTTGGCTATTTTCTACGTACCCTCAGCATGTATCTTTTAAATCCTTTCAGCAAATGAACAGAGATTGCAGCAAACAAGGTGCTTGGCGGGAGCTTTTATCCGGAGCCCTTCACGATTTAGTCCAACTTCTTCGGGAGGACGGCGTTGTATCAGCCTACGAACTGCATAGTAGTGGATTAGTTCAAGCCCTTCTAGCTCTTCTGTCAACATCCTCTTCATGGGACAGTGGTCTAAGTCCCAGCAAGCGAGCTAAGCTCCAGAAACAACGAGTGCAAGTGTTCAAAAATTGTTTCAAAGTGAGTATTCTGTAGAAGAGTAGTTCTTACCAGTGTATCTGCTGATGTAGAGAAATTGAGCTTAGAAATCCTGTCATATTTCTCATTAGTAATGGCAGCGATGTAACCTCTTTGATTGATTTGAAAAGATACCTATGATTAGTCCAGTTGTAGCCCTTGACGTGCGTTTTCTTACCGAGTTTCAATATTCCAAGAGAACTTGCATGTTAATTAAATATAATGTCATGGTCGTATCATGGTCATGTAATATCAGGGTCGTCACAGGCAGGGAACTTTAACAAGTCAGCGAAAACATGACAATGCGAGGGAAAATGACTAAAGTATTGGGGAAAAATTTTGAAATTACCAAAAATGTTTTAATTTATTAAGAGATTTTAATTAATTTTTAAATTTTTTGATTATTTTTAATTTGTATTTCTTTTCAAGTTTTAATTTTTTAAATGTGTTTTCTAGAATAATTTTGCTTGCAAAACATTTCAATTTATGTCTTTTTAACAATCTTCTGTAGCCTCAAATGTCAGGGAATTTACCAAAATTTGTTAGGGAAATGTCAGAAAATCTCATTATTTAAATTCTGCGTCAGCTCTGAGCATCCATTGACAGAGTTGCATCTTAACACGTGAAGTCAATTTTTGCGGATGCAGAAAATATTCTGGAGTGGCGTTAAATTTGGATGGGGAATTTGATAAATGATTCCAATCTATTATAGGTTACTGTCATGAGAAAGGGGAATGAAGGAAGATCAACTTTCTAATTTTGTTTTACTTTTTCTTGAATTTGTGTAATTTATTTTTCTGTTTCCTCCTATTTCAGAACAAACTTAGTGAGAACGGAAACTCTGCCAATATCCTCATTCACAAACTAGTTTCTGTTCTGGAATCAATAGAGAAGCTTCCAGTTTACTTGTACGAATCTCCAGGGACCAATTTTTGTCTACAGGTAATAATGCTTGTTTTATCATTAACATTTTCCATAGTTTAAAACAGTTCATCTCTCTCTCTCCCACTCTCATATGCAAAAAAAATCGACCTGCAGGACCAGTCTGTCTGTAAGTGTAACAACTTTAGCAATTTCAATTTTATTTCAGCTTATCATAGACTATCTCTCTCAACGTAATGAGGGAGAAATACAATCGCAGATGTTGGAAACCAGGATAACAAATCTCCGATTTTATTGATTTTTTACCGCTGCAATCCATCTGGGTTAATAAATGATTAAATTTTTATGTTATTTCAGGTCTTAACGAGGCGGCTGCGATTCCGATTGGAGAAAGCAGCATCTGAGTCCTCGTTGATCGACAGGACCGGTCGAAGCCTGAAGATGGAACCTTTGAGCACCATCGCACAACTTGAGAAGTATTTGCTGAAAATGGTGGCCAAGCAGTGGTATGATTACGATCGCTCCACCTTCTCATTCGTCCGCAAGCTGAAAGAGTCGCCTCAACAGTTGAATTTCAAGCATCAACACGATTTTGACGAAAATGGAATCATCTACTGGATTGGAACCAATGGAAAGTAAGTGATCTGTACAAACAAATGAGAGTTGAATAAGACCCATTGATTATCGATAACTAGACCTGTGGGATTATGGATTTTTCAATTCGATTATGTTTCGATCACGATTAAAAAAATTAATCGCGATTACAATCAGGATTATGATTTAAATCGAAAAAAAACTGACCAAGTAAAACAGAGCGCAATAATTTTTTTTTTTTTTTTTCCACTAAAAACGAAGTTATTTTTTGGCTTTCGTGACCAAAAACTGAGTTGAAGTATATAAGTTCTTGAAGATAATTTTTTTAAAAAGTTTGAAAGCTGAAATTTTCCTCGAATATTTTTTTCCTTCTTTCACTTGAAGTTGACTCATTGTCTATTTTTCTTTAAGACCCGCTCTACCCTAAATGAACTAGACTTCTTCCTGCAACTTTTTGAAGGGAAAGAAGCCAATTTTATGGCTTTTAATTTATGCAGAGGATATTCTGCTCTCAGAAAAGACAATTCAAGGAATTATTAAAGAAATTACATCAAAAAGTTTACCGAAGAAAAATTATATTCCGACAGGAAGTCTGCAACGTTTCAAAGGGAGATATGTGGTTGCGCTTTTAGGCTGTTGTTATGGTGTGCGGTATAATCTAAGAAATTTCAGAACACAAGGATAAATAATGTCTTTAATCTGTGAGTCAAATCAAAATAAATTTAAATTGCTTCTTTCCAGGACCTGCGGGGAGTGGGTGAACCCTGCACAATATGGCTTGGTCGTTGTTTCCTCTTCGGATGGTCGAACTCTTCCGTATGGAAAACTGGAGGATATTTTATCCCGCGACTCATCAGCTCTAAATTGTCACTCCAACGACGACAAACGGGCGTGGTTCAGTATCGACTTGGGATTGTGGGTCATCCCTTCATCTTATACCTTGCGGCACGCTCGCGGCTATGGCCGGTCTGCGCTTCGAAATTGGCTCTTCCAGGTGTCTAAGGATGGCGTCAATTGGACAACATTAGTCTCGCACACAGATGATACGAGCCTGAATGAGCCCGGCTCAACTGCAACGTGGCCAGTCGATGTTTCCACCCATAACGAAACGCAAGGCTGGAGGCATATCCGTATCCAACAATCTGGGAAGAACGCCTCTGGTCAGACTCATTATTTGTCACTCTCAGGATTCGAAGTCTACGGCACCGTCACAGGCATCTGTGAAGATTTAGGTTTGTTATACATTTGTTACCTTCACAGTGGTATCAGAAATCTTGAGCAGGGTGTCTATTTTCCGTAAAAACTGGAAAATATTAGGATGTCGGATGCCATCAGGGAAATATCGAAACATTTTTTTAGGCTAAAAGTACAGAAGTCAGATCTACAGGGTTGCCATGGTCACTGAATATTGGGGAATCTGGGAACGTTAGGAATTTTTCTGAAGTCAGGGAAAATACACAAATGTCACGTTAAATGAAGTGCGTGTTTAGGAAAAATTTTTCTATCACCTTCATTTCCTTTCTCGAATGGATTTCACGTTTCATACAACAAATTTTGGGTAAAATTATTTCTAATGATGTTTCCCAAAGTCAGGAAATGTTACCAAAGTGTGTCAGAAAATACTACTCTTTGAAATCTGTGACAACCCTGCCTACCTCTTAATGCCATTATATCCCTTCAAAAACTTGTCTAACTCCCTAATAATTCTTGCAGGTAAAGCAGCGAAAGAAGCAGAGGCAAATCTGCGAAAACAGAGACGTCATCTCCGTTCTTTGGTATTGAAGCAGCTTATGATTGGGTCCCGCGTAGCGCGAGGGCTCGATTGGAAGTGGCGCGATCAAGACGGCTCCCCGCCAGGTGAAGGCACTGTGACTGGAGAGCTCCACAATGGCTGGATTGATGTGACATGGGATCACGGTGGCTGTAATTCGTACCGCATGGGCGCTGAAGGAAAATATGATTTGAAGTTGTTGACGGACAGCACCGAAGTGACTGGAATGGCCACTTCAACTCCTAAGGCAGCTCCTCCTCCATCTTGTAAGTATCTATCAATTCTATTTTTTAATCATTCTATTCTATTATTCTCTACATTTAACCATTAAATTGTTTGTTTTTTTCCTCCTTTTGTTTTATATCAGCTGTGAAGTTAATTAAGGCAGCTCCAAAGAATGTATACTTGGTTTTAAGATTTTTTCCCCAAAGAGTTAAAATAATCTCAAACTGGAGTTTATATTCAAAAGCTGTAAAATAGGGGAATTAAAAAAATATTTCTGAATTATTCGATTGAAGATCATGAGAATTTACCTTCTTCTGAAATGGACTTGGATTTTGAACCAAAGAACAACTAATTCTTGCCTACTCGACGAGAGCACCTATCTGCTCGGAGAATATCAAAATATGAAAGGCGAGGAGGAACTGAAAGACGAACAGAGAAGAAGAAAGAGAAAGAGGAAGCTGAGATCAAGAGAGAAGAATGAAAAGCGGAAGGAAAGAAACACAACGAGAATGAAGAAGAGAAGAATAAAAAGCGGAAGGAAAGAAACACAACAAGAATAATGGAGAGATGAAAAGAAGAGAAAGGAGAGGAAGAACAGGAAAGTAACTGAAGGGAGGAGGGATAAGAGAAAACAGCAGAAAGAAGATGAGGAAGATGAGAAAGCAAAAAAGAAAAAATGAGAAGAGACGGGAAAAAGGGGACAGCAAAGATGGAAGAGGAGGAAATCGGGAGAAAGTAGAAAGGGAAGAAGTTGAAATGCAAGGGGAGGAAAGAAGAAGGGTAGACAAAAAAGCTGAAGAAGATGTACCTGTCTGTGTAGGAATGTTAAAAACAAATACGTATGTTATCTCTGTAATGAGCTAAAAATAGCAGTTCGTTATTACAAAATTTCGTCCAAATTTTCATGCATTGTCCAAGTCCCATTTTCCTGCAAACAAAGCATTCTTGCATCAAATTGTTCTTAATTTGTCTTAAATATCCGTTCTGAAGATCCATGTTTTATTTGCAGCTAAAATCAACAAAAGCGCATCGGCTACAGCTGATAACGGCGGAAAAAATGTTAGCGTTTTAACTAGCAGGAAATCTAGCTCAACCCCTAGTTTATCAGATGCAATGGAGGTTGTCAAAACATCTGTTGCCAGCACTGATCAGGCTGCATCTGCTGACAATTTGGCTGCACAGGTACGTTTTCCACATAGAATTTTCTTTAGCATCTCTCATTACTATTTCAATTCCCTTTTGCCAAGGTTAGGCATGAAAAGCTTTTTTTCCCCTCATCGAGATGTTTCTATTGATGCATTCTATGTATACTGTCGAGCATTCTAATCCAATTCTGTAAATTAAACCCGGAAGTATGAAGCAGAAGCTCACTGAAAAAGAGAATTATTTACATAACTAACTATTACAAATTCGACTGTGTTAAGAAAAAACACAATATAAACATTTGGATGATGCCGAAATTCATTTGATAAAATATCATTTTGGAAGAAAGTTATGCACATTCTTCCTTGAAATTTTCAGATATTTTTGATTGAATTGCATTTAAAATTGTCTGAAAAATTGTCTGAAAGATATTATTTTCTCTTTGAAAAAGTCATATTTTATCAAAGGAAATCTGGCAACGCCTGAAGGTTCATGCGGTATTCTTCCTCAGCATGGCAGCATTGTTTATGAGACTACTTGCAGTAGTGTATGAAGTATCATTGGTTTTTCTTACGGCTGCTGCTATTATTTTTCCTATTTTGTAAGCTCAAGGCTGAGATGAGTTCATCAAAAAGAATGAACCTTAATTTAAAATGATCTTTTTTCACTCCTCAAATTTTGAAGATTTAAAGGAACAGAGTGTCAAAAGCTCTCACGAGCTTTTTTGCCATGTTCAAGAAAAACGTCATATTCATATATGAAACACGAATTTCCAGGGAAATTTTCCTGCAAATTTTTCGGAGGATTTTATCCACGCTTATTTCTAAATTATCTCAAAATTTTTGAGGAAAAAACTCATGCTTTTCCTCAAAATTATCAATTTTGTTGAAAGAAAATCGGTAATGCCTGAAGGTTTATACAGCATTCTTCCTTTGCACGGCAGTTCATTCGCGACGTTTTTTTGTTGTATTCGTTTTTACCCTTCACCTAAGACAGAAGCTGAATCCTAGAGGTCTTAGAATGACAACTTCCCTTTATTTTTCAATCATCATTTCTTATGTCTCTTTTTCCTCTTACTCCAGCAAGCAGCGCAAGCTCTGGCAGAAAGTGTATTAAGTGCCGCTCTTGCCGCAAGTTCTGACAGCAGTGGCGCCCCAGAACTTTCCGTCGTTCTCAGGGATACTGCCAGTGACCTTGCAACCATTGTTGAGACTCTTACTTTAGATGAAAACAATGCAACTAGATCTAATTGTAAGTAGCGACTTCAGTTATTTGTATGAATTTCTAACAGTTCCCCTTGAATTTTAAGCAACTTCTCCTCGTCAATTTACGTTTGTTTAGAATAACAAGTACCTAACGTCATTTCTCAAGTGCCTATTATTCTTTCGAGAATTTTGCTGTATGCTTTTGCCTATGCATGTGCAATTGGAAATTCTAAAATCCAGCGTCGCCTCTACATTTTAATCTTCTCTCAGATGATCTTTGTAATTCTTCTTTTTTTCCTATTTTCAGTGAACGCTCCTAATAATCGACTAGAATCGCAACAAAATAATTTAGATGAATTTAGACTGTTATCTGTTGTTGAAACTCCTGCCAAAATGGATCTGGTTGGCAGCTCACAATCGGTAGCTTTGAACCGTGCTCTCATCTCTGCTGCAAAGAAGGTGTGTAAATGTTTTTCTATTAGGAATAATGCGTTGCATTGTGCGAAAAGAATTTCTCATGCTTTTGTTGACATCACTTGCCAATAGTTCTAAGTCAAAAGGACTGTTGTATAAAGGCTTGAATCAATTTGAAATTGTTCAAGATCGAGATTTTACTGGCTGTGAATCTAACTTTGAAATTGAAAATGATTATCATATTTTCCCTTTCTTGTATTCGTCTGAGAAAAAAGCCTTTTTTTATTTTGAAAAATCAGCGCTGAATGGACTAATAGACATTAAAGCATTTTGATATATGTTATCTCATAAATATTTCATGCAGGACACAATTTTTGCAATGAAAGTTACTAAAAGTACCCTCTTACCGAGATATTAACGTTTTTCTATGCACAAATTTAAATCACCTGCCCGCAGAAAATCCACAATCCTTTTGAGTCGAATCACTAACAGTCTCGGTAGTATGAAAATACGGCATTCTCAATCTCGATGTTTCAGTTCAGCTATTGCCCGTTGTTTACACTTTGGAGGACCCACGGCCCCTTCTTTCAGATTAAGGAGGATAAGCTATAAATAGCAACTTTTTTAGTATCTCTAGGATTCTTATATTTTAAGTACTGAAATAAAGAAGAAGAAGAAGAAAAGGATAAAAAGTTCAGAATGTTTATTCATTTAGATTCGTAAAAATTGCAACATTTTTTTTAAGTTTTCTCCCTCAGTGCTCTATAGTGCGCCCTGATATCAAGTTAATTTGATTAATTCGTTACTGAAATTTATTTGATCTCTTTGTGTGTGTACTTATCGTTTTTATGCTTTGTTTGCAGTTTCCCTTTGGCAATAACTCAAGTTTAGAAGAACACACCTCTGTCTTATCTGCGGAGACAGGTGAACTATTTGAAAAGATTGCGGAAGGATCAGATATAGTTCGCAATAACACCAATAGTTTCCTATCAGGTATTACTTGTTTCCTAAATGATATTAAATAAGTTGTCAATTCCATTATATTAGTAAAAGTTTTTGTCGGAAGTCCTAGCTGCTTAAATGTAACTGGACACAGGAAAAGGGAACCTAGTATTGACTGATTCAAAATTTACGCTGTCACCTCTTTCAAGAGGAATATTTTTTGGCTCTAAAATGTTGAATCAAACTGCAGCTATGGTGGTTTTAAATTAGTAGCTCATAGAACAAAGCTTGGAGGAATTACCATGTTAATTGTTTTGCTATGTTTGGGGTCATGCCCTTTCCTGGTATTGTTTTATGGTTTGTTCTTTGAATTCTAGATTTTTCGATCGAAAACTTAGAAGCTTAATTTTTAGTCCAGTTCAACAAATTCATTGTCTCTCTCTTGGTTCTAGGTCTGGTGAATAGCGCCCTACCTCCATCAGTCAGAATTAGCTTGTCAAATAACAACCCGTCTGGCTCGCACAACACGGAAGATAAGTTCGCCGCCAGCAAAGGGAAACAGCACATCAGTTACGCGGCAGCTGTCACTGATAGTAAGTTTATGCTCTTATTTTTTATTCATGGGCTGTAAAATTTTGCGGCTCAGTACTTTGTAACAGCTTGTATTTATTGCCAAGCACTTGGATTGCTGTAAAATAATACTTCACCAAAATTGAGCGGTACTTAGTTTTAAATATCTTGCCTGTTAACAAACGTGTATAAAATGCTCCTCTCAGTTTTTTTCCTTGCTTATTACAAGAATATTTCACACCCAAACATGGTGGGTTTTTTTTTTCATTCTTTCAGTTTTTCTAAGTAGTAATAGAATAATTACTACTTCAATTTTTTTACTAACTGATTGGGCTCACTTCCAATTTTGCTTGTAGTCCTAGTCTGTAAATACACGACAAGCGCTCTCAGGAATGCTGCACAATGTTTTGAGAATGCTGCCTTTTGCTCATTTTAACACTTAGTGTTTTTTTTATCGCAACTCACAACATTTTTTTTTATTTGTTAATAGTTTCCACATTAAAGTTGAATTTGATAGTTGTTTATTGTGTGGTTTCTCTAATTAGATTCCATTACATTGTTTGAGTTGTACATGCGAAAACATTTGAGTTATAATTTGCTATTTTGTATGACGCTTGCTACGTCACATTTAAGTGTTCACGTCAAGCTCTCCGTTACTTTTGTGAAGTACTGCAACTATGCCATGAAAGGTCAAATTTATTTTTACTTTAGAAGTTACCTTGTTACTTTGAGAATATTCTGTTAGACGCATTTGTTCGCTGTGACACCTGTACCATGTTACGAATAATGGTGATACCTGTGTTGCTTTTTTTTTTACAATCGGAGAGAGAGGAGTTGAGAAAAGTGACATTAAAAATCCTGTAACTATTTTAGTAAGCTCAGAAAATGTTCTGACTACCATGCAGCAAAATTTTACGACAATGATTGCATGTCAAGCAAAAAAGTTTTCTCTTCGAATAAGCATTATTCAGTGACATTCTATTAAATAGGAATGTTATGCTCAGTTGCATGACTTTCACAATTGTAATTATCAGCGCTATATCAAGGGAAACAGTGCAACTTTTAGCAACTCCAGAAATATCAGCGCAAATGTCTTTGACTTTACAAAAACATACATCATTGTTTTTTTGTCCGCATTTTCCTCTCTTTCCTTTGCTCCAGCACCTTTTTGTGTGTTCCATTCATCAAAATCATAATTTAAACATATTTTAAGAAACAACAACATTATTAAGGTGATGGGATATCTTACATTGATCCAGAAAAAAATATTTGAAGTTAATCATTTAGTCAGTCTCTAAGGCATTGATTTTTCAAACTTACATGTATTTTTGCTTTTTCCATCAATTATTTCACAGTCCAGTTGCTGATTTTCCATATTCCTAGTTTTTCAGAGTTCCTTAAAGCTCTAATTTCTCAAGCTGTTACATTCGACTCGTTAAGATATCTGGGAAATCCGATTTTGTATTTTCCTAAAATTTTCCCAAGGCTTACTTGAAAGCATGATTGCAACGGTGCATAATTGAATTGATTGCATATGCAATTTATAATTGAAAATTCTGCCAGAATCCCTAAATGGTTACCATCTGAGAGCTCAGATGAACCATGATTGCTGAAATTTAAGAACTTCACTCGTATTATTAACAGCCAACACTTAAGTGATATCAACGAGAGTTTTGAATCTTGCTCAAGATCCACTAGACGTCAATCTGCTAAAATTGGAATTACTTTAAAAAAATTTTAACGAATCAACCAGTTGTCGAGAAGATAAAAGCAAGTTTGGAACTATCCAATAGTGCTTTCCTCGGCACAGGCGAAATTCGCTAAGAGACCCGCCATTCTACACTTTGATAGTTGATTGCTTGCCTAAGTGCCTGGATCTTATTTAAATGTTCAGTCGTAATTTTTACGTTTTTTGTGGGTATAAGGAGCACTGACAATTCATGCGGCATTAAAAAAATCTCTCTTTGGTCAATAAAAATCTCCAGGAGCCATGATACCAATATTACAAAGACATTTGCAGATCTCGGAAACTTCCTTCTTTTCATTTCCATCATCAATTATGAAAGTCCTGTTGAGCTGTATTTTGTGCCTTAAAAAAAGCTCAACAGTACGTTCAATTTTAAGTAGCAGTATAATCTCGAGTTGCAATGAATTGGTGGTTGTATTAATTGTAATCAAAGTACTTTTTGAAGCCCGAATGTTTGATTTTGTGATGCGGCAAGCCTAGATGGACCAAAGACACTAAAATGAACCGTACAGGCTTTTGTAGCTCAATACCCTCGGATTTTCTAGTGTTTTAACTCATTCATAAATTGTAATTCTGAGCCCTTGAAAGTTGGAAAAACTCTGCCAGGCATCAATGATCCCAACCCCCTCCAGATGTTTGCAACTTCCCACTTTCCAAGTCCTCAACATTACCCTGTCCCAGCCGTTTTTAATAGTACGTTGACATCTGTTCGCAGCGAAAAAAGAAAAGGAGAAAGATAAAGACGCTAAAGAAAACAGTAGTAACCGAGCTCAAGCATCGTCAAACCCAATGAGCGTGAGTGTCCCCAATCTCACGGCCACAAATTCGAATAATATCGAATCCTCCAATACTACTGGTTTACTGGAACCGTTTGCCGCCATAACCCGCAGGCGAACAACCAATCACGTTAACAACGCAAATAATACATCAAATAACCCAAGCAGCAACTGCTGCAAGCCTCCAATCGCAAATGTTTCTTCTCTCTTCCCTCGAGGACCTTCGTCGGTCTCGAGCCTAGTCCGCCTCGCACTTTCTTCAAATTTCCCAGGTTAATTTTTACACATTCATTTTTACTCATTTTAGAATCAATATCACTAGTCACTACACCCATGCCTAGAATGAAGAATTTCTCATAAGTTTGGAGGCCTGATCATCAATTCTAAGTACCTCAACTCACTAATAATTTGTTTCAAGTATAAAGCGCTGTTGATTCACTCTTTTCATTCCTAATAGCAGGAACTGAATGAAGTTTATTTGTACTGGTGTAAGGCTTCAACTTTTGTAAAAATTTGATCTAAAACCCAATCGAGCGATTTAAACCATCTAGAATTATTCTCACTTGGCATCATTTATAATACCAAGAAAAATTTTAAGTCTCTTGACAATAATTCCTCATAGCTTCATTTTTATTTCAAACTTTGAAACTGCAACCTCGGTCTCATAGACTCTTTAACATCTCATTCTCACACAGAATCAGAAGGGTGCCTATTTCCTCATCTTCATGATCTAGTCCTAGTTGTGTTCATTATTTCGCAGTTCTGTAATTCTGACTGTTGAAAAGGAAATTTCAGCTTTATAGGTCCGGAACTCAAATCGGATAAGTTGGAAGTTGCTCATTCTTTTCGGTCATTCACAGTAGACCATTTTACGTATCTCGGGGTGTCTAGCGACCGGGAAAACCGGGGAATGTCAGGGAGTTTTTTTTCGTGTCAGGGTAATCTAGGAAAACTTCAGGGAATCTGCAAAAATTCAGCATGTCAGGAAATTTTGTTTCGCAAGTAATTTTCAAGTCAGGGGAACGTCAAGGAAATCGACGAACGAGGATTTGTTAATGTTTAAAAATGAGGCAAAAATATCTCTCGCAAGCTTAGATACCACATATTTTGCTCTATTCATCATATTATATTCCTAAAACATGAAAAAATTCTTACTTACATCTAATCAGTTCAACTGTGTTAAAGAATTAGGAATGTTTTTCCTTTTTGTCAGGGAATTATTTTTCCGTCTGTCGGTAACTTCAAATTTTTTCCCGGTTTTTTGGCCGTTTTTGTCAGGGAAATCAGGGAAATGTCAGGAATTTTTTTTCTGATAATTGCCAGACACCCTGTATTATATCCGTGCTTCGGGGCTTCATCGTCCGTTTTGAAGCTTAGACCGGTATTGGATGGTGGCAGTGTGGACACTTGCAAATGGAAAGTAAACAACTACCAACTCATCTGACGTTTGTTCTACAGGATTTGTAGTGTGTGTGTGTCATAGGAGAAATGTTGATCTTAGAACTGTGAAGAGTCTAGAGTTTGCTTTGGTTTGATTTCACCAATGCAATTGTTTTATTTTTATTTATTTTCTACCAGTGCATGTTTGACTCTCATTATTGCGCATGAAGCATTTGCAAATTTTCGAATAAGTTTGTTGATTTGGCTCGGGTATACATTTCATTAACAAACATTTCCTAGTAGTTCTAAGTCTCTCTCCTCCATTATTGGTGACTTTGTGTATACTGTATGCCATATCTTTACAATTTTCAATCTCCAGTGTTGTACAAAGATGTTGAAAAATCCAACTTTTTGAATTACTGGTTGGACAGAATTTAAAATAACTTAAAGAATTGAATGATAAATTTCCTTGTACTGTAATATACTTCTCATGCAGTTCTCAAATTTTAAGCCATATCTTAAGAGATTACCGTGTGTTGTCTCATTCCTACAATGAGGATGATAATGCAATGGATTTCAATAGTATTATGTAATTTAATGGATAGATAACTTTAGAAAATATTCATCTCTGTTCGTAGCATTTAAATTCCCCGTCATATTTTTTCAATGTTAAAATGAAGCCTTACAAAAGTAAATTCCCCATTTTTATGAAAAGACAACCTCTTTAATTTTTCCTCCTTGCGTAAATTTTATTCTATCAACATTCAAAGTTCGGGAAGTTTTTCATCTCCCTTTAAACAAGTAATACAAAGGCAGAAATTTTTGAACTGCACAATTGAGATGTGTATATGCATATTGTAGGGAGGGTTTTGAAATCTTTGAGTTTTAAAAGTTTGTCCTACTATTATTATTTTGAGTAATTTACTTACACTCTCACCCAGTAAAACATGAATGTTGCTTTAATGGGAATTGCCTTTGTTTTGAACAGGTGGTCTTCTGCACTCAGCACAAAGTTACCCAAGTTTAAGTGTCGGTGTCCCAGGAGGCAACGCTCAGTCACCGCAATGTCTCACAATGTCACTAACCTCCACGTCCAGCGATAGCGAACAAGTCAGCTTTGATGTGAGTGCGGTTTTTGTGTACTAGGCAATTTCGAGAGTCCAGAGTAGACTTTTTAAAATTGAATTTTAAAAAGTCATGGGGAAACCAAGAAATGTACGGCAAGATGCCAAAGATGTGTGAGGAAAATTATTTAATCGTTATTATTTAAGTCTAGAATGGATTGGCCGTTTCTGTAACGCATTATACATGAAAACGATTTCAAACCACGTCCTTTTCTTTTTTTTAAAAATTTGAGGATATCCTCAAGTGTCCAGGAATGTAATCAAAATGTGTCAATAATATCATCAGGGAGCTCCATTCTATAAATTCTGTGGCAATCCTGACTACTGATATTTTCGTGTTCTTTATAGTTTTTTTTTTACAAGCTTCAAATAGCCCCTATCGGGTAACCCCACGCTTACCACCTGCCCCACGTGACCATCACCCTGGATCGTCAGGAGTTAAAGACTTTTTTTCTGGTAAATGAACTGTATATCATTGTTTTTTCAGCCAAAATGTGTATTTATGGTTGTCGCATTGTCATTGATGATTGTGTGTTTTGCAGGATTTCTTGGAAAATTGTCGGGCCCCAACATTATTGGCAGAGCTTGAGGATGACGATGAAATTCAAGATGATGATGAAAACGATGACGATGAGAACGAGGATGACGATGATTATGAAGAAGTAATGGTTAGCCGAAATCTTCTTACCTTTATGGCAAGTCTAATTGTTGAACTCAGTCGGTGTCTGTGCTAATGAATCTATATTTTCTCCATTATTTCATTCTCTTTTGTTCCCTGTGTTTTAGTAATTTCACTAGCATTCTCAAATGAGGTGTGTCTTGGTGAATATTGCAAGTTTGAGTTTAAAAGTTTTTTCATATTCATTCAGTCCTAGAAGCTTCTACAATAGTTACCCTTTTTCTAAACCCAGGAACTTGGCTGACGTATGACGAAAATAAAATTTTGTTACAAGGAGACCCACCATTACAATTTTTAATGCGTGTTCAAAACCAATTTTAATGGTACAGGGATGCAAAGTTTGCATTTTCAGTATTATTATCTTACTCCATAATATAAAATCTCAAGAGAAACGCATAATGCCTGAGTAGTCATGGGAGGGGTTAAGCTACAGAGCAGTCCANGGGGGGGGGGGGGGGAGGCGTAGCTGCCTAGTAAATAGATAATTTCTAATGTTAATGAACATAACCTTCTCATGAGTAGTTTGTCTCTTATGGAAGTTCAAAGCCATATGACATGACATGTTGATGACAGTTTTTCTTTCTCTCCTTCTCCTTTGGAAATATCGGAAAATGTTAAAATCAGCATTACAAGAATACGGTAGCAAAAACTGAACTGAAATAGGATGTGTACGATTTGAAGAGCGTATTTTTCCATTCGACCGCTTTTTTTTTAACATGATTGAGTTCTATAATTTTTCTCTTTTTTTCATTCAGGAGGAAGACACCTACGAAACAAGGCCAGTCGCAAACAATGTCGTGACAAGTGGAATTGTCGGTACAAATGTCTCCTCATCAAACTCAAAGCGGCGATCGTGGGATGATGAATTCGTTCTTAAAAGGCAGTTCTCAGCTTTGATTCCAGCATTCGACCCACGTCCAGGTCGCACAAACGTAAATCAGACAACAGACCTGGAAATCCCGCCTCCTTCGACTGACACAGAGCCTGGTGAACAATCGGCTAACTCCTCGTCAAACTCATCGTCTGCTACCATTGTGGAGCACACTCAACCTAGGCTCCGTCTCACACTTCGTGGACCCAACATTCCCGGCGTAAGTGAGACGTTGGAATATGGTTTCATGGCATCCTTGCAAAAACCTAATGAGCCTGTTGCTTCACTTTTTTCATTGCTTTAATGAAAAGAACTAAGGCTCCTGATGTCACCGGATTTTCTTCCCGAAAAAATCAACTTAAAAATGCCTTAAAATTCAAATTTTTAAAATGGTCACTTTAATGGGGTAACGGATCCGGTACCCTCATTACGTCACATGGCTTGATAAACCTGGTCTTTTCATCACTTACAATGTATTTTCCCCATGAAGGATTGGCAGCCGCTTTTCAAATGCAAATATCGAGTCAATCAATGATTTTTTTTTACAAAATGGAATTCAAAAATGGATTCTTTGGACGTTCAAATGGTTTAAACATTCATTAGTTAAATGAGAACTGTTGAAATAAATCCTATTTTTAAGGAAAATTGTAGTCAATGGGCAATTGTTTACATCTGCCATTGTGTTAACGGACATGGACATTAGCTCAATATTTAGCCATTTTCATGAGTTTTTACTTTCATTGAATTTATTCTCAGTGAAGTCTTTGGTAGCCTTTACCAACAATAGGAGGCAGTATTTAATTATTGCAACAAACAAAAACATTGAAAAATTAGTCTAAGAAATTCTTAAAATACAATGTATGATATAATCTTCATGTTGTTATCCTTGAAAATGGGCAGTATTCATAATGCATTTGATGTATGAAGAATCGGAATCCACTTGATGTAAGAAGATGAGAAATGTATCAGTTCAACGTTCTAAATATTTATGTATTTGTTGTTGTGCAGGTGCAAGATGTTGAAATCGAACTGGTCGATCCTCAGTGGACAATATTCCACGCTGTCCAAGAACTGATTCAAATTGCCGATCTCGGAAGCAGGCAAGAAAAAATGAAGCGTATTTGGGAGCCCACTTACACGTAAGTTGCTTGTTCCTCTATTGGGTTCTGTAAGTCCTTGTGTCATGTAACAATCTAGTTTGTGACCTGTATTATAGCCATATACATGGCTCATGCACCGAATGTAAAAGTGAAAAATAAATGAAACTTTTAAAGTAAAATATCTCTCTCTCCCTCTCTAAGCTGTTGCTTTTATGTTTGAACAAATATATGCCAAATGGAGCTATGTTGCACAAAAGCGGCATGCACATAGTTCCTTTTAGCATAAATTCATCCATTTACGGAGGAGAAAAGAGAACCTAACCATTCTGCCGTGCCAAAGAAAAACGCTGTATGAGCCTTCAGACGTTGCCAAATTTCCTTTCATAAAACATTAATTTTCGGGTAAATCTGAATATTTTTCCTCAGATTTTCAAATAATTTTGTTTCCCATCAGATTTGAACTATCTGAAAATTTCAAGGGAAAAATTCATAAACTTTCTCAAAATTCAACATTTTACCTGGAGAAATTTGGTAACTCTCGAATGCTCATACAGCGTTTTTCCTTAGCATGGCAGCATTCCTGATTGATTGATCTGCAGATTTAAATTTTGATTTTCCTGAAATCAATTTGATATGTATTGCTCGCACCTGAAATGCATTTTGCAAAACCTGAATGTTTGAAAGTAATTTTACCGGTCGTCATTTCTGGTTCATCTAGGATAATTTACAAAGAAGCCAAGGAGGATGAAGACTTGCTGCAGGAAAACGTTGGATCACTCTTCGGCCGTCAATCCGGTTCCACAACACACCGTGGCTCGATTGTCTCTCAACAGCAATCGCAGTCACCACTGTCGTGCACTGTGGAGCATGTCTTGCAATTGCTGCGGCACCTCTTCATGATCTCGCGGCAGCCTGAGGAACAGGACGCAGAGTTAGATGCGCAAGTTCAATTGGAGGAATTCTTGAGCAAGAAGATGACCAACAAATTGCTTCAGCAAATCCAAGATCCCCTTGTTCTCAGCTCTGGAGCGCTTCCCGCCTGGTGCGAGGAGCTCAACACCTCCTGCCCCTTCTTGTTCCCCTTCGAAACACGACAGCTGTACTTTAATTGCACTGCGTTTGGAGCCAGTCGGTATGTTGAATTTGCTTTCTATTGTCTTTTTTTTCTGCATTTAGACGTATTTCTGTTAAACGGAACTGAGTGCCAAATTGAGTTCCTTTTGAGGATTTTAGAATCCTGGATAGCGCGTCCTGTCAATCGAAACTAAGTGCCATGAAAAAGCATTGAGTTTATAGGACAGAAGTAGCATCGCTTTCTGTAACACCGGCCAATCCAAGCCCCCCTCTCTCCCTTCCTCCCCCGATGGCGCTTAGTTCCGTTTGATAGAAATACGTCCATCATACATGCCTGTTCTAGGAGATAACAGGCTCATTTAGAAAATTTAAATTTCTTTCTTAATCTTTAAATGCCCACTGAGTTTTAAGCTTCAGGAAATTTTAAAAACCTGTTATTATAAGGAAAATGTATGTATCAGAAAAAATTTGTTTTGTAAAAGAAGTGCAATCAATTAAAATAATTGGCCCGATCGGCAGGTCAATTATTGAAATTGATTGACTGAGTGACATAAATGGAGCGATCCTATTTGTCAAAACGGGTGTTTTTTTTATTATAGACTAAGGGGGTAAATGATGTACTTACAGAAGGGTCTCTCATGGGTTGCCATTAGTTAGTTTGTTGCCTACCTCCTTCGTCTATTACAACTACCAGCTTCCACCGAAAGGATTGCTTTAATTTTTCTTTATCTTCTTCGTATATCACTTTGTCCGTCAATTGAAACATTGGCCTGCCAATCTGCTGAAATGTTGACATTTCTCGGGTTTACAAAATCTGATGCCGATTGCGTAAAAGTTACTTTGTGCAGAACATTAGGAAATCAGAGTTTTTCAATAAACAGCAAGGGCTGGGAGCGGTCTTGAATTTTCAGGAAGAAACAAAAAACCATCAGCATTTCTAGTGGAAATAAAATAATATTTTCTACCCTGACGTATTTTTGTCTGCTGTAATTGAATATTTCCCTCGTCATCAATTTACATTGGCATCCTATTTTGTCCGTTCATTTTATGTCTTTATTTTTCTGAGATTATTATGTACTTTCTCTGAGCTAAGTTAAAATTGTCACCAACTACCTTTCTTCCCGGTGTTCATGTTTTATCACTTACCAGGCAGATTACTATGTGTACTTTGTACAGAGAAATGACTTGAGATTTCTTGTCTGTTCTTTTCAGATCAATTGTTTGGCTGCAAACTCAGCGAGATGCAACAATGGAGCGACAGAGGACACCTGGCCTCTCTCCGAGGCGAGATGATCCTCACGAGTTCCGTGTAGGACGACTGAAACACGAGCGTGTCAAAGTTCCAAGAGGTGACCAACTCCTTCCTTGGGGCTATCAAGTCATGAAGACACACGCTGACCGCAAGAGTATTCTTGAGGTACGTTTTGTCCACAGGCATGCACCGTAGCCTCTGCTCAGACCAGGGTTTATGCACGCAGAAAAACCTGGACAGTCAGGGAATTTACGGCGACTTGAAAAAGTCAGGAAATTTTGCAAGTAGCGTTCAGTTGAAGTCGGCTAAACTAGCAGGAATAAAATCTGAATGGAAGTTTTGTTTGAAGGTCAGGAAAAGTCAGGGAATGGAAAAATTTTTGAGTCAGGAAAAAGGAAAAATGTCATGCAAAGTTAAAGAATTGGAAAGTTAGGAAATTATGGGAACCCTCTTAGACTGATGAAAATGAGTCTTGTGTTGTCTTGTGTTTTAAGGGACATATTTTATTTCTTTTAACATGATCCTCTTTCCCTTGAGAATATTTAAAAGTACAGTGGGCATTTTATTATTACAGGGCAAGTACATTATCTTGGCAAACATGATTTTCATAATTGACTCGCAGCTATTCATTATTGTCAAAGTCATAAACAATTAGCGTCTTAATTTTTCATGATTCTACTCTTTTAGGCATTCTATTTCCCCTTGGCCGCGAGGCTGCAAGATATTGGTGGTATTGGTTGGGAGGAACATTATGTGATCATGAACCGAACTTTTCTTCGATGTTTATTTAATCATTTTTCTCTTCCCCGTAGGTTGAATTCATTGGCGAAGAAGGTACCGGCCTGGGACCCACTCTGGAGTTCTATGCTTTAATTGCTGCTGAATTACAAAGGAAGGACTTAGGTAAGTGTATCAACTTATTCAAGTACATCATTTGAACACTTGCAAAAAGAACCTATCTTAAGTTCATTAAGGCATTTTTGAGATGGGACCAAGATGGCTAGGGGTATAACGTGGATTTAAGATGTTAATCAACTCTTGATTTTCGGTTTAAGAGATGAGATAGATGATTGTAAGAAATCAATAAAGTGGGAAATCTTATTTCCAATCCTACAGATACAAGACACAACTGGTCTATCCATCCAGTTTCTCAGCGAAAGGAAAATATGGAATAGACAGTTATGCCCGGTAAATCTTCCTGGAACCTGAAAATTTATATGAGAAAGCAGTGAGTGGGAATCGACAAAATTATTAATAACTTTAAACAAAAGCATTAAGTAAGTGTTAGCATTAAGCATAAAGTGAACAAAGTGTTCTGTAAAAAAAAAAAGGAAAGATTTTCCATTTAGTTGTTTAGATGGTTCGCCCTACGTTTTCCTCCTCATGATTCGTCTGTTAACATGTTTTTGATTCCTGTATGAAACTGACGTACTAATTTGAAACATTTCAGGCATGTGGCTGTGCGACGATGAGAATGAAGAGCTGGATACGGCCGGCGTTATTGGCGTTGATTTAGGAGAGGGAGCAAAGCCACCAGGCTACTACGTACGCAGACCCTCAGGCCTCTTCCCAGCGCCGCTTCCGCAAGATTCCCCTGACTGTGATAGAGCCATCCAGCACTTCTGGTTCCTCGGCGTTTTCTTAGCTAAGGTCCTTCAAGATAACCGATTAGTCGATCTTCCGCTATCGCAACCGTTTTTGAAGTTGATGTGTCACGGTGATATTCAGAACAACATCAATGAAAGGTACTTCATCTTAACTCAGAATTAGATCTTTTAAAGTCGGAATTCGTTATGAAAAAAGATGCAGAAAACTACTTAACTATTCAAAATTCAAGTTCAGCGAGCATTGTATAATACAATGTCTAGAAGGTAGTAGCACTGAATATATTGGTATGTAGGGTGTAGCCAAGTGCTAGAAATAATGTAATAATTTTATAAAAAAAGAAAAAAAAAAAAAAAAAAAAAAAAAAAAAAAAAAAAAAAAAAAAAAAAAAAAGCTTACATTTTATCAAGAAACTTTGACCGAAGCTTCAAAAAAAGCTTTGAAAAACTTTGGTCAAAGTTTATTATTAAAATGTAAGTGTTTTTTTTATAAAATTGTTACATTATTTCTAGCACTTGGCTACACCCTACATACCAATATTCAACATTTTTTACATAAGTTCTCGTTACTGGAAACCCTCAAAAGTCAGGGAATTTTGCTGGGAGACCTTGATTTTCTTTCTTACGGCCAAAACATAAAATTCTTTTTTACCCCCTTCACACACTGTATTGACAAAAATCAGAACTTCTACTTGCAAATTTTGGATTGTTGAATTAATGCAATTTCAAGAAACTTGATGCTGAAATTTTTATATGAAAAACATTCTCATGAGAAATTATTCCCCCCAAAAAACATTGATAAGTCAGAGTATTTTGAAAACTTGTCACTGATTTTGAATTCTCAGTTGATAACATCTAAATTAAACCCACCACCTTTTCATCTATCGGCACTCCATAATAGAACATGTTATTTTCATATTGATCCCACCTTTAACTTCCTCTTAGATTTTAATATCTGAATAAATTTTTTGGCCAATCATGAATGAAGTTTCTTTTGCATATATCGATTTTTAATTGAGTCGTTTAATTGCAGGATTGGTATGCGGCATCTGAACCGAAGTGGCTTTTATGACAAAGAAGAAGAACTCATGATGTCATCCTTGATCTCCGAAGAAAGTGAAAAGGAGCTAGAATTAGATCCTCCAAAGCTTCATGCTGAAGACACCAGGCCATGGTACATAGCCCCAGATTTCGTATCTTCTCTCAAAATGTGTCCCAGATCAAGAAGCGTATCTACGTTCCACCTCAGCAAAATTTCCACTAGAAAAGTGAATTTTTACGAGGGAATCGTCGGCCATTTTTAACCGAAAATTCCATCTATTATCCTTATAAATCAATGTAAAAAACTAGCAAAATTTTAGAAGGACAAAGTGCTCAGTGCTGTCATATTCTTGTAAAAATTTGAGTTGTTTAAAGATGAGAGACTTAACCTGAGTGAGAGACAAATCTTACATCTGGCCATTGCTAATGCTATTATTATTCTAATTCCAAAGATCTAAGTTTTGTCATAACTCAATTCCAATGTTGAAAAATTGACTTTACTCTCCTGTACTGGAATCTAAGAGAAATCAATGTTTAGTTATATGGACAAGGAATGAGTTAAAACAAGAATTGAGCTATTAGCCGATTTTACAAATATGCGCAATGATTGCGACTCAGGCCATGCTTTAATAAAAAAAACAATGTGCCAGAGGATGTTAATATTTTTACAATTTTACCTTAAGTATGACTTAAATAATATATTAACATCCTCTTGCACATTGTTTTTTATTAAAGCATGGCCTGAGTTGCAATCATTGCATATATTTGTAAAATCGGCTAATAGCTCAACTTTTGTTTTCACATTATGAGTAGCCGAAAACCAAAAAATCTTGGAATGAGTTAAAGCACTATGTAACATGTTTTCTTTTTAAATTTCACAATTAAAACTAATCTCAAAACAGGTTATCTGGAAATCAATTCCTTAACAAGTTTTACATGTTTTCAATTAATATTGGTCAAAAGGCAAAAATACTGATGACCTCTTTTGTATGATCTAACTTCTATTGATATGTATCACAACTCATGATAAAACCTCGTTTAGGAGTTGGTTTTCGAAATTCTTGTTGCATGAATTTTTTTCTATGTAAGGATTTGAAGAGGAAACATGTGACTTACAGACCTTGTCTAGTCAATTACTGTAAAAGCATGTATAATTGAAAATACTAGAAAGCTACAGTAACTTATGAACAGTTCAACATTCCTGAGTCAAATGAGACTATCATACCAACAGTTCAATTTGTAGTTTGTTCACTTTTTAATGCTGTAACTAGGATTTTTTTACTTGCATTCGATGGTCCTCTTAATTATTAAATAGTTCTGCAGGATGATAATTGAAATTGATAACAAATAGACATAGAAGACATAGGGAGTATGGAGTGATTCTATTGGTTGAAACGGGTGGTTGTCACAGACTAAGGGGGAAAATGACAGACTAACAGTAGGGTCTCTCAAGAGTTGCCATTAGTAAGTCTATTATTTATCATCTTCGTCTATTGCTTCGTCTATCAATTTCAACAACCAGCCTGCTGAAAATTTTGCACTTAACCCACTCAATTTTTCAACGTGAGAGGCATCAGTGATTAACAGATTTACTTCTCTTCTTCAGGTTCGCTGGAATCCTGACCGAAAACGATCTCTACGAAGTGGACCCAGTCCGAGGAAGGTTTTTGAAAGAACTGTGTGATCTGGCGGCTCGGAAGAGCAGGATCGCCACTGACAACTCGCTCTCATCAGAAGCCCGCGCTCGTCAACTGCAGAACCTTTCTCTGGTCCCTTCAGCCGCTGGCCCTGTCGTTCGACTCGACGACCTCGCAATTGCCTTTAACTATTTGCCCTCATCCAGGGTGTTCTCGTTCTCCTCTGCAGATTTAGTTCCTAATGGCTCAGATATTGACGTAAGTCTCTCCAATTTCCACAAATAGCATCATTCCCAATCAAGGCCAATCTTCGAAAAGGGACCTTATCTTCTAGCTGAAAGGTTCCCAAGAAAGCCAAATTTAAGAAACAATCTCATACTTGAACTTTAAAAAAATGTTGGAAAACTTTTTTTTTTAAATTTTACAAAGAATTGTATTTGATTTGAAGAGAACCACTCTTACTTAATCAAATTTCCTTTAATTTCAATGAAGTCTCTTTTTTATTTAGAAAAACCATTTTTCTTTATCAATGATAAAGTATTATTTCTTTAGATGAAAAAAAATCATTTGTAATACAGAAAATTTATTTGACCCAAAAAAATATTTCATTAAGTCAAAAATGTTTCTTTAATTGGAGCAAATTTTTTTTTAAAATGAAAAAAACCTTGTTAAACCATTTTGTCCATGAAATGTGCAATTGCAAAAAATTCAGAGCTTTCATACGTAATAGCTAATATAACGTAATAGATCTCTGAGTTGAACTGGCCTCTTTCATCTATGATATGTAACTTGTTTTTTAAGTGATTCCAATCCGACCATTACTTAAATCGATGAAACTTCAACTCATTTTAAATTGATACAGGTTTCTAATGATTTTTGGTGTCTTTTGCAGGTTTCTCTAGAAAATGTGGAAGAATATGTAGACCTGACTTGCAATTTCTGTCTGGAATCTGGCATCAAGCGACAGATCGAAGCCTTCAGAGACGGTTTCAATCTTGTTTTCCCCATCAGCAAACTGCGCGCATTCACTCCAAACGAGGTCCGAACAATGCTGTGCGGTGATCAGAACCCTCAATGGACACGGGAAGATCTCCTCAACTACACTGAGCCAAAACTAGGCTACTCCAAAGATAGGTAAGCAGTAAACTCCTCAGTAGAACAACTATTTAACAAAGATAAATATTCTTTCCTGTCAGTGGCGATTCTGGGAATTGGCAGCACTGTACTTCCTCAATTTAAATCGATTTAAAATATCGATTTCAGGTGAGACAAGCTGTCTTACCCAGAAACGATTGTTTTACATACATTTAAATGGAGAGAACTCAGTGATGCTAACTTTCAAGAATCGTCACTGATTCCTGTCCATAAGTTCCCAAAGTTATTGAATGACTCGAGTATAAATCAGAGCTTCAATTGTAAGTTTTTTCTTCACAATGTAACGCAGAAAGGGTTTTGCACAACAAAAAGTTCAGCAATCAATTCTCATGTGAAATATGAATGTGTTAAATCACTGTTAATCAAATGGAATATGAATCTCTCGGATAACACCCCTCCTTTAATTAATCGATTGCTTAAAGCGGAAAATGCGTATCCCAGTTGCAATTTCAAAAATCAATTAGGTTTTATTTTCCTCACTGAAAATGAAAATGTTCGCTTGCAATTATGTTTAAAATTGGAGGAAATTCACGAAAAATTCCGATAGGAACTATTGGTTAGTTTTCCTTCAATAAAATGAAATATGAGGGGAGACTTACAATGTTGAAATCTGAGGCTCTCGTTTTTCGTCCTTAGTTATTGTAATATTATTCATGAACACTTATGTCTTCATCAGGAGTTGGTTTTTTAACTTTTTATTGTGTGAACAATTTCTTATCCGTTGTTTCTTAATTTCTTATTTCTTCTTCTTTCTTAAGTCTGCTCCTCATCTCCTCCTCCATTATTTATGGGGACACGCATTCAACTTGTGGTACAAAATAAACTATCAAAACCTGAAAGTAAGCGAAAAAAGCGTATAGGTGAACTTAAAAATTGTGTTTAAGCAGCTCAATTCTGATACAATGTCCCTCTTTGTTGCAGTCCTGGGTTCCAGCGATTTATCAATGTTCTAGTCCAAATGACAGCCGAAGAGCGGAAAGCATTCCTGCAATTCACAACAGGCTGTTCATCGCTCCCGCCTGGTGGCCTGTCAAATCTCTACCCACGCCTCACGGTTGTGCGCAAAGTGGATGCTGGTGAAGGCAGCTACCCATCGGTCAACACTTGCGTTCACTACCTCAAGCTCCCGGACTACCCGACTGAGGAAATCCTCCGAGAAAGACTGCTCACGGCCACCCGTGAGAAGGGTTTCCACCTCAATTAAATTAATCTAATTAATTTAATTATTTTTTGGTCAATTAAAAAATTATAACGTTGTTGCGAAATTTAATCGAGTTGTTGAAAGTTGAATTTTTTTTTTCGTTGGGATAGCTGTGAGATTTTCTTTTTTTTATTTTCTTTAAAAAATTATCTGCGGAATTGTGTGGCTGTGCAAGAGTAAGACAAATGAAGCCAGCCGAAAACGTGTCAACCAATTTTTCGATAGTTTTTCGTATTATGAAGAGTGATAGGAACTCTGGTATTTCAAAACTTACTTTTTTATGTGAATTCTGATTCCTTTTCTCCCCTCCCCCTTCCGTTTAAACCCTTTCCATGCAATAACATAGACCAAGATCTATAATATTACACTGTTGAAGCTCTGCAACACCTGCTCCTCTGCTCTCTAATCCTCATCACATAATTTTAAGTATAATTTTTTCTAATTGATCAAGCCAGAACTCCTTCGTAACTGTCTTGTAAGTACGCAAGTGACCCACTTTGAGAAGAAAGCTAGCTGAGCAGTAATTTTTTTTTCATCGGTGAAGATAAAATTATTAATAACACAATTTTAAAGTAAATTTTAAGGCTTTCTCCCCCCTCATTTGTAATCTCAACTCATGTGTGTGTATGTACTTACAAATTTTATAGTGAATAATGGGTTTCTCTCTATATATCTCTTTTTTGGACTCCAGTTTGTAACTATTCCTTTTCATAACGTTAAAGATTCCGTTACAACAGTTTTCATGTTCTTTCAAGCATAGTATTGTCTTCCCCCTCTCAGTTTGTATGTATAAAGTGATGTAAGACTGTTCAATAATTTCCGTTTTCTCTCACCCCCAATTGTTTTGTACGCTTCTCACAATACTCTCCATAGTCTGAAAACAAGGGATGTGCTGGAAACTGTCCCATCAGATTTAGTCATCGCACCCTTCTATTGAGAAAGTAAATTTTGGGTTTTTAATCTTATTGATAAATTGATAAGAAAGTGTTTTTTTTTTGGCATCGAGTACAAAATTGAAGGGACTCATTTTAATGCATGACAATTCGTTCATCGCAGTATCAGGTGAAAGGAGAATTTTTACACCATTTGAAATTTTACGCTTAGAATCCTGACAAAGATCGTTAAATTAGAAAGTAATGAGTTTTTTGTAGTAGTAGCTTGTAATCTCTAACAGATAGGGAAGCTAAGCTTTATTGTACATAAAACCTGAAAATCATGTCTTAAGCTAAGAGTTATGGTAAAGTGACATTGTATGTTCGTTTCTCCTGCTGTATGAGTCGGCTTTGGAAAAGGGTTTAGGTTTTCATTTTGTAAAACTAAGTAAATAGATGTAAAATTAAAGCTGAGAAACCAATTTGAATATAAAACTAAGTGTGATATTTTTTAAGTTTACTTTAGGCTCTACCCAGGTATCTTTTAGTTTTTAACGTATTTCCTCTGTTGGACTCCCTGCCTCTCGTATCACTGAGGAAAATAAAAATGTTGATTTTAGTTGCAGAAAGATCAGTCACCTAAGTTTAGTTTAATTGTTATTCTTCTTTTTTAATTTTATCCACGTAGAATTTTTATTTTCGCCCTGAAAGATATTTGAATTTTCTTGTTTTTTAAGTGTATGTTTATCGATTCTCCGATACTACTCGTACCAACTCAAAGAATTATTTCTATTCTATGTAAGAATATTTTGTGATTTCTGAAGGGATGCAGTTTCAAATAATGCATCCAATAAAAAGTATTTAAAAAATAAATGACTTTCAACTCGATTTTTTTCAGTCCCACCTAAAATTTGTTTTTAGCTTTGCTCAATTTCTATGAAGATTTGTTTAATTGGAAAATCTTCAGATTCAAAGTATTTTTATTAAAATTTCTAAGCATATCATGCTGTGGTGGGTGAAGTATTAGCACACAAAATTTAATAATTTAACACTTAATAATAACTCAAAAGGATAGTTAAAGTGAATGTCGTAATTCAGAAGGCAACAAAATTTTCAATTTTTAGTCTAACTATACTTCTGAAGCTACTGCAAAGCGTTGCTAGGCGAAATTTTGTATGCAAAGACCTACTGCACTGCAACAGGATTAAGTGACTAGACATTTTTAAAAAATGTCCTAAAATTTAGTAATTATCAATTATTGAATCACTCCTTGAAGTACTAAAAGAAGTTTTCAGTGGGCTCTGGGTTTGTTTTTTGAATTATGCTTTCTCCTCATGTTGAGCCCATATCAGAGAAACTTTTATTATTTTTCTGAAAAAATATAATGTCATTTAGTAGTGGCAAGAAAAAATTCTCATATGATCGCCTCCCTGTTTTATTTACTGTATTGCACCAAGAAAGAAAATAGTGCATGTACACCCAAAACTTTTAATAATTGAATCAGTGAGAACGAAATTACACCAACTCGAAAAAATGAAAATAATCAAAACACACACAAAACTGCACAGTAGGTAAAGAAGTTAGTCCAAGAAAAAGATTTTTAGTGCTGAAGGACAAGTACTTAAGGACCTATTTAAGGTCCAAGCTGGAATGGATGCACTAACTTCAATGACCTTTATGAAAATTGACTGTCTTTGATGAAAACTTAACGTTTTTGAGTTACAGAGTTGGTGTGTTTTCGTCCTCACTGATTCAATTCTCAAGTGCAGATGACAGGTATACAAGATTTCAGTGATAAATTGTGTTTATCCCAATTGCGATCAAAGGAAAATTAAAGTTAATAGAAGTTACTCAAAGAAATCTACAAATGCGCGGTAGCTAAATTAACAGACCAATATCACATATCTCTGGAAAGCTTCCTTTTTCGTACTATTTTTGTTGACAAAGACGTGAGTTATCTCCAATTAATTTACTTAATACTCTCTCTTATTTCTTTTTTCTACAAAAATAGGCGTACCTACAAGACTTGCAGTTTTTCTCCTATAGTGGCTTAGTGAAGTCTTTGTCTAGAAAGATGTAAGTCATCTCAAGTTACTGCATTTGAATTGATCTTCGTCAAAAAAGTTTTAAAGAGATTTCAACAACATCTCTAGGGATTGAGGAGGTTCAAAGGTGAGGAGTTTTCAAACCAACAGAGTTTCTAGTCGAAACCAAGGGAGCTTCTAGTCGAAACCAAGAGAATTTCTAGTCGAGGCCAGGATTGAGGACATTTCAAGAGGAGAAAGTTTTTAGTAACCCTCTTAAAAATGTAGGTATTCAACCGCAAGCAACTATATTAAGATTGAGACTAATACTTAAATTGCTGATCAATATACAACACAATAAAAAAGAACAAAAGTGAATACTTTTTTAAACCTATCTGAGTCAAGAATGGCCAAGAATTATTTATTTCTGCTAAAAATAAACATCCCATCAGAGCTCTTGCATGTGTCAGGGATTAGCGATTGAAGTAAAAAATTCTTGGGTAAAATTTCGAGAGAAACACAATGCAGGGTGTCTACAAGTCCGGAAATACATTAGTACTAATTTTTTTTAAGGGCGGTTCGGAAGTACTGAAAAAGTGTGGAAATTCCGCAAGGAAGTCCGGAATTTTTTCATTTTTGTCGCAATTTAAGAGAGAAATTCTTTCAGGAAAATCAAAGTGGGAAATAAATGAGGAGCGAAGTTGTCTACTTCCTCCATCATCGATCCTTCGCGAGTCGCGTAAATTCGGAACAGCCTCTAATGTTTCCACAATTTCATTTGTTCATCCGATTTGATTCATCTTGTATTGAGTATACACTCCAAGGACCATCCTCGGAAAATTTAGAGAAAATGCAAGGGGGAAATCTCGAGCAATGTTGCCGAAATTTTCAAGTATCGAATATTCGCGAGTCGCGTAAATTCGGAACAGACGCGGACGATTCCACAATTCCATTTGTTCATCCGATTTGATTCATCTTATACTGAGTATACACTCCCAGGACCATCCTCGGAAAATTTAGAGAAAATGCAAGGGGGAAATCTCGAGCAATGTTGCCGAAATTCCAGAGTATCCAATATTCGCGAAGCGCGTAAATTCGGAACAGGCGCGGACGATTCCACAGTTTCATTTGTTCATCCCATTTGATTCATCTTATATTGAGTATACACTCTCAGAACCATCCTCGGAAAATTTAGAGAAAATCCAAGGGGGAAATCTCGAGCAATGTCGCCGAAATTTTCGAGTATCGAATATTCGCGAGTCGCGTAAATTCGGAACAGACGCGGACGATTCCACAATTTCACTTGTTCATCCGATTTGTTTCATCTTATATTAAGTATACACTCCCAGGACCATCCTCGGAAAATTTTGAGAAAATGCAAGGGGGAAATCTCGAGCAATGTTGCCGAAATTCCTAAGTATCCAATATTCGCGAGTCGCGTAAATTCGGAACAGGCGCGGACGATTCCACAATTTCACTTGTTCATCCAATTTGTTTCATCTTATATTGAATATACACTCCCAGGACCATCCTCGGAAAATTTTGAGAAAATCCAAGGGGGAAATCTCGAGCAATGATGCCGAATCGCCCCATCACGAGTCGAGTCGCGGATATTCGAAACAGGCTCTAATGTTTCCACAATTTCATTTGTTCATCCGATTTGATTCATCTTATATTGATTATACACTCCCAGGACCATCCTCGGAAAATTTAGAGAAAATGCAGGGGGGAAATCTCGAGCAATGTTGCCGAAATTCCAGAGTATCCAATATTCGCGAGTCGCGTAAATTCGGAACAGGCGCGGACGATTCCACAATTTCATTTGTTCATCCCATTTGATTCATCTTATATTTAGTATACACTCCCAGGACCAATCGAATTCGAAGTCTTCTGTGGATTCTTCGGTTGATTTCGGAAGCGGGAAGCCGAATTGGACGTATTTCTATCAAACGGAACTAAGCGCCAATTTGAGTTCCTTTTGAGGAATTTAGAATCCCGGATAGCGCGTTCTGTCAAACGGACCTAAGCGCCATGGAAAAGCATTGCGAGTATAGGACAGAATTAGCCGGACGCCCGATTCTGCCGCCAATCCAAGCCCCCCTCCACCTCCTTCACCCTATGGCGCTTAGGTCCGTTTGGTAGAAATACGTCCGGCCGCATCCGAGGTCCGATACGAGAGTAGATAGGTACTCAACGTAGAAGGTCTTTAAAACTTGCAAACACAAGTTTTCAATGAAAGATTTTAAGTGCCGCTCTGCTGTATTTACTTGGTATATAGCGCATCCGACACTGCGTAGTGTAATTTGTTGATGGAAGGATTCACAAGGTTCACAATAATTGAATTGCATTTTGCAAAAAGGAACCACTGGCATTGCAATGATACTATTTGATTGTGCAACTTCCTCCTTTGCAATAAAATCGCGGAAATTATGAAAAACTATGAAATTTAGATGGGAATTTTTGTCTTAAATTTACAGTTTTTAGCGAGTAAAATAGAAACTATTAAGGGATAATCGGGTTTTTCCTCATAGAGTACCTTTATAGACAGAGTATGGCCATTTCGGGTCCGGTTTTTCATTGGTCGCAAGCGAATAGGCTGAGACGATGCTCTTAGGGCCGTACATGAACAAACAAGATGGCTGTTATCAGCAAGCAAGATTGAGGTTATGCACGTCTTACATCCTCCTGTGATAAAGGTGAAAGGCGATTTAACAATGTTTTTTTGTTTGCGAGTGTGTGTGTCCCTTTGACGAGCCGCGGGTTGCCGCATCTGATCAATGAGTGGGAGAGAGATAGACGATAAAACGGCGGCTTGTCAAAGCCGAGTGTGCTCCTTTGACGTGCCGCATCTGAGCAATGAGTGCGAGAGAGAGGAAGGACAAAACAGCGTATTGACCAATCCAAGTTGAGCCTTAGTCTCCGTTTACGGCCGTTCTTTCCAGGGCTCATGGTCGGAAAGCACTCCGGTGCTTTTTCGGGGCAGCCGGATTCGGGCTCGCTACTACCACCGCGCACCAAATTACGAGGCCCAGCCTGTATGTTTGCGAGTGTGTGTGTGTCCCTTTGACGAGCCGCGGGTTGCCGCATCTGATGAATGAGTGGGAGAGAGATAGACGATAAAACGGCGGCTTGTCAAAGCCGAGTGTGCTCCTTTGACGTGCTGCATCTGAGCAATGAGTGCGAGAGAGAGAAAGGACTAAACAGCGTATTGACCAATCCAAGTTGAGCCTTAGTCCCCGTTTACGGCCGTTCATTCCAGGGATCATGTTCGGAAAGCACTCCGGTGCTTTTTCGGGGCACCCGGATTCGGGCTCGCCACTACCACCGCGCACCAAATTACGAGGCCCAGCCTGTATGTTTGCGAGTGTGTGTGTGTCTCTTTGACGAGCCGCGGGTTGCCGCATCTGATCAATGAGTGGGAGAGAGATAGACGATGAAACGGCGGCTTGTCAAAGCCGAGTTCGCTCCTTTGACGTGCCGCATCTGAGCAATGAGTGCGAGAGAGAGAAAGGACAAAACAGCGTATGGACCAATCCAAGTTGAGCCTTAGTCCCCGTTTACGACCGTTCTTTCCAGGGCTCATGGTCGGAAAGCACTCCGGTGCTTTTTCGGGGCACCCGGATTCGGGCTCGCCACTACCACCGCGCACCAAATTACGAGGCTCAGCCTGTATGTTTGCGAGTGTGTGTGTGTCCCTTTGACGAGCCGCGGGTTGCCGCATCTGATCAATGAGTGGAAGAGAGATAGACGATAAAACGGCGGCGGATCAAAGCCGAGTGTGCTCCTTTGACGTGCCGCATCTGAGCAATGAGTGCGAGAGAGAGAAAGGACAAAACAGCAGCGTAAGGACCAATCCAAGTTGAGCCTTAGTCCCCGTTTACGGCCGTTCATTCCAGGGCTCATGGTCGGAAAGCACTCCGGTGCTTTTTCGGGGCACCCGGATTCGGGCTCGCCACTACCACCGCGCACCAAATAACGAGGCCCAGCCTGTATTTTTGCGAGTGTGTGTGTGTGTGTCCCTTTGACGAGCCGCGGGTTGCCGCATCTGATCAATGCAATAACATGCAACGCAGTAACATTGCAATGCTAGTGGTTTCCTTTTTGAAAAATGCAATCCAATTGTTCCCTAGTAACTTGATTTATTTTGCCAGGAAAGCTCCGTATTGTTATAGGACGCCTTCTTAGTATGTCGAAGCTCCTTCAATTTCGTATAATACCGTGCAACACCTCTGTCGCGAAATAGTTGCTTGAAGCGCCGTGGCACTCCGCGGTTCGGCGGGAAACCAGCGTACCAGCGTGACACGCGCGCTGGCGCCTACAAACCTAACAGGGATACTTCACGCATTGCGCAATGCGTGAAGTATCCCTGTTCGGTTTGTAGGCGCCAGCGCGCGTTTCGCGCTTGCATGCAGCAAGCCGCTAAATGACTCACTAGGTGGGATTTTCTGGTCAGATATGCTCCACGTGCCCGGTGAATCGCGCGAGGATAGCCTCGGGAACACGCATAAAATACAAATTTCCTGGTAAATTATGAACATTTTTCTTCCGACTTAACACATAGTAATTTTCGCAATTTCACCTGAAATTCGGAAAATTTCAAGGAAAAATATCCATAACTTTCCTCAAAAATATACATTTTATTGAAGCAAATTTTGCAACACTCGAATGTTCATACGGCGTTCTTCCTTAGCACGGTAGAATACTGCACCAATCAAAATCCAGCAAACAAAAATTTTGCTGAAAAAGTGCTAAGGAACCAAGAGCATTCCAGTGTTGCCAGGATCGTGCAACTTACATTTCTTTGCATATAATCACCGAAATCATTGAAAAAATTAAATTTACTTATGAAGATGATTTTCGTCTTGAATTCAGAGTTTATCGGGCGTAAAGATAAAACCTGTTCAGATGATCAGTTTATATTAGCAAGGTAAAAAAAGTTGTCCAATCTTGGCAACACTGGAATGCTGTTAGTTCCTGAAGAAGAAGAAGGAGAAGAAAAAGAAATACAATAATAAAATAATAATAACATAACCCTCAAATAATTTGTAAACAAAACATATGAATCTTAACTCTAATCGTTAATAGTCCCTTGGGGAAACTCTGGTGACAGTCGGANCTTATGAAGATGATTTTCGTCTTGAATTCAGAGTTTATCGGGCGTAAAGATAAAACCTGTTCAGATGATCAGTTTATATTAGCAAGGTAAAAAAAGTTGTCCAATCTTGGCAACACTGGAATGCTGTTAGTTCCTGAAGAAGAAGAAGGAGAAGAAAAAGAAATACAATAATAATAACATAACCCTCAAATAATTTGTAAACAAAACATATAACGTGCATATAACGTGTATGTTGTGGTGCTAGTGCAGCTAGTGCTTAAACCATGAGAGAAATTTTTGCTAAAGAAGAAGAAGTACCTACTAAATAAATTTCAATGAGAATGTTGTGCTGTGTTCAATTTTGACCTAGTGCTCTCGTTGGAAATAAACAACTACTTTGTCATCAGTCCGCTGTATCATATCCACAATCCACCGTATCATCTCTCAGTATGGATAAGATCTTTGACTCTCCAATACCAGATCCTCCTCGAATAGCCAATGTGAGTATGACATTCTTACGAAGCTTCAAATTGATCTCAGGAGGCAATCATGGTTCTCTGGAATCTGTCCTGGAACCTTAAGTTTAGGTTTCAAGTACTTAAACAGTTTTTCTAAAGACGGATGACATCTCGGAATTCTTTTGAAAATTTTTTCGGATTAGTACGCTAGTTTTCCTCAAAGAGTTTTTCACCAAGAGGCTTAAAGGCAAAGTGTAAGTGACATGCAACGTCGCTAAGGTCATTCATCATTTAGATTCTGTTAGAGTCAACGCCAAAAGACTAAGCACTTTTAGACTGCGAAAGAAGATCAAGTCATATCAGCCTAGGATTGAAAGTGAATGCAGGAATCAAGATGACAGATCCTCTGTCGTACTCTAAAAGTGTGTAAACTTATTTGGCGTGTACTCAAATTAGAACAGAATCAACGTACCAGCTACTGTCAAATTTCATCGGATAGTTAATATTTTATGGGAAAAACAAAGTTGATCTATTTTATGATTATTACTTAACAATAAAATCATTGAACTCTTGCCCTAAGGTCTGTCAATAATATTAAAGTCCACCTGCTGAGTAAAACATGAGGCAGCTCAACAATTATGACGATCTCTATCTATGCAGCACTAATTATAAACACTTAGAACGGTGATTGCGGTTTTACTTACTTATATTTATTGGATCATGCTGGGCTGAATAGCTTTAGATATCAAAAATAATAGAAAGTGAGCCAATACGCTGTGATACATGATTTATATAATTTATGTATCCCAGCGTATTGGCTCACCTTCTATCATTATTACTTATATTTAGACAGCTTTAAGTGGAAAGGAAGCAAGTCACATTAGCCTTTACCAAATTTTAACGGACGATTTGCTCTTAATGGTAGAACAGTAGTGTGGATTCTTTTGAAAATTTCAGGAGATTTCAGTGGCATGGAGCTAATTCCCTGAAATTTTCAGAAAAATCTGTAATACTTTTCATCAGTAGAAAAGTGAATCGTTTGATCGAATATGACAATAGCTGATGTGACCTGATTTTTTATTGCTTCATGAGGTTGATTTTCTGTGTTCTCTATTTTTACTAATGAATTTTCAGTTCTCTTTCATCTCTGAGGTATTCTTTTTCCTCTGCAACTAGATTGACTGATACATCTATTTTTCCTCTGTCAACAGGAAGTGAACAAATTACAAGAGGCAATCCTCCAGAAAAAGAGTGATCTTCTAGTCCTAAAAGTAAGTACCTTGATTGAAGAATAAGAAAGTTCAAATATAAAAGTAAGCAAATTAATAATTTTGATCAGTCTTAAATCTTCAATTGGATGTATTTATGCTAAAAAGAATTATGTGGAGATGGATAGATGGGGTGTGCTCGTAGAAGCTGGATAAAAAACAATGTAAAAATGGATATAGTTCCTTTTGGGAAAATTGAAAATTTTCTCAAAAGCCTCAGAAATAATTCAGAAGGAATAATCACCGACGGGACATCAAGAGCACGTAGTTAAAATGTCATTATTTTTATTACAGGAAATAGACCAATTGAAAACATTATGTGGTCACAAAAATCCTGTGGTGAATTTGACTGCAAGCAATGCAGTTTCCCAGTTGGTGGAATGGAAGCGAATTGATTTGATAACTGCATACTCATGGTTATCATCCAGTATTTTGGGAGCAAAGTAAGTATCTTTTACCCCAGGACCTTTTCCTTTTTGAAAACTATGGGTCCTCCTGTGGCCGCTACACAACCCAACCTTGTTGTATGCTCCAAGAAAGTGGCTTTACAACAAAACCTGACTCATATTTTGAAAATTTTAGTGTGGTAGACTCATGTATAGTTTGTTACAAAATACATGCCAATAGTAAAAACGGATTTGGTAGATGGAGGAGTTGAAGAGTGTAGACTGTAGAATCTCATATTATGAAAGAATTTAAAATTTAAGCCTGATGTGGCAGATAGCATGTTAAAATCCGAAGAAAATCTTATTTTGAGATCCTTATTTTATGATCCTGTACTAGCTCTAACTTGTCCCTTGTGGCATTGACTATCAAATTTGGACTTTAAAATAATGTATGAAAAATTGTTCAAATGTACTTGTTAGGAACCCATCGTGCTCTTTTTAACCATGTAAAAATGTGAACTTTATTTTCGAGAAAAAAGTTAGAAAAAAAATTGGCACCAAAATTTGGTTAAATTCTTAAAATCTCTCATATTGACATTAAATTTAAAATATACTGCATAATGATGGCTAAAGTGCAAAACCATGTATCTCCATTGTAGTGTTTCAAACTCTCTTCCCCTAATTTATTTTTTTGAAGAAAAATAAGTCAACTGTATAGCTTGAAATGTACCTATACAGAATATTCTACTAGTGGAGAAGAAAAGATAAGGAAGTTTTTAAGACATTAAGTTGACTAGTTTTTCAATGAGAAAATTAAGTATGACAGGAAGTCTGCAACGTTGCAAACGGAGGACGTGGTTTCACACTTTCGCCATCAATTTGCAACTCATAAATCTGAAATTTTGTGTAAAACTTACAAAAATTAAGTGATGAAAAAATTGTAAAAGTCCAAAGTGGCATTTTCTTATAAAATACCTAGATAAAAAAAAAAAAAATTCTCCACAAGGATATGAAGCGCTCAGCTGATAGGGAGCACTTTTTGATTTCGACCTGTCTCCATAACCTAGAATATCAATGAAAAGGCGTTCAAATGCCACCAGCTCAACAACAAGATGACAGAGAGGGACCTCACATATTTAGAATCTAGATTTATCTGTGATACCTTTACCTAATGCTTTTAATGTCAAAGAGTAGAGGGCGATAATCGTTTTTCTTTAATTTATTTTTTCAGCGGTAGTGTGGTTTTCCCGAAATTGACAGTTGAAATTTCGGTGAGCGAGTTCAACGAGTTCATAACAGTGCCCAGCTTCTTTGGGGAACTTAAAAACGCGCCTCCGTAGAAAAAAGCTGAGCGCTTCTCTAATACAAACGTATTAGAGCTTTATCCCTTGTTTTAATAGTGTTTTAAGAATTTTCTCTTTCAAATTCGCAAGTTGTTCAACTTTTTTTTCATAACTATTGCTACCAGGGTGCCTTCGTCTATTTCTGCTTGTTTGTTAATTGCAGTTTATCTTGTTTTTTTGTCTTAGGAACCTAGGTGGTTTAATTCAGTTATCCATAGATTTATTTCGGCTGGACCTCGCCAAATGTAAAGAAAATTCAAATCCCATCTTTTTAAGGCATTCTCTTGAGCATCCTCTCGTGCACATTTTCGATCACCCAGAGCAAGTAAGCCGATTCACAGTCCTAGTAGCAGTCCGATATATCTGTGAAAATCTGCATCCACAGTAAGTTTGCTCAGATCCAACAAGTTAATTGACATGTTTGCCACCCAGCCAAAGCATCAGGCTTCTAAAGTTTTTATTTTGAATTGAGGCACTGGATGCGAATAGGGCACTTCTCTGTTGTAGTTTTTTAGAGTCTCCTCTAATATTTCATTAATTGTAAGGAAAGTGAATGCATCCATTTCACTAAAAATTTTACTGAATATTCCTTATGATTCTACAATTTTCTATAGAAAGAATTCTGGCAATATCACCCATTAAATTCTTCTCCAAGGGATTAATTAGCGACAGAGATTCTGAAACACTGCAATCGAGAAGTGCCCTTTTCGTATCCAGTGCTTCAATTGCAAGTGCTTTCAGATATTTTTTGAATTTTTTTATTTTCATTTTGATGAGTGAAACTTGACAAATTAATTTTTTCTAGCCATCTAAACTAAAAATGATAGATGGCAAATACAGGTGGTCTAAAAACTTACATTCACACAAAATGAGATGGCGTGTCTTCAAACTTTACGATTCAATTACAAAACACAGCAGTCCAGATGTGAGTCTTTTTTGTGTTATCATCAGTATGAAATGTTTTAAATGGAAGTAATCGAGAAAAGTACAATGACATTTGGTGTCTAAACGTTGAAAGTGTGTTGTTAAATTTTCCAAGACTGGAAATCGCTGGCTGTAATTTGTTTATTTAGGAGATAAGTAACCTATGTCACTTCTTGAAATCTCTTGTGGATTTTCTTTTTTCATCGAAAAATTTTTTGTGAAATTTAAGCAACTGAGTCTGTTCATTTTCATTTTGAAAAACAGAAAAGAGGGACATTTTGGTAGAAAGCAACCTACATGTCTTTTTTTTCCAGGGTCTTGCTATCGAATTGTGCTTTTACTTTCAACAATCGTTCCTCATATGTATCGAAAAAGTTAATCAAACAAAAAAATCGTCACAAAACTTTCAATCCATGAATCACTGAGATCAGTTTAACTAGCACACTTTTTTTTAAAATAAACGGAATCAAGCCATCTAATCCAAAAATGCAATGTTTTTTATTCCTTTCATGTAACTTTTTCGCTTTTCATATTTATTTCAGTGGCAAAAGCTTTCAGCTTGTCAAGCCTGTATTTGAGCATATTTTTTCTTGCGATGGATTGGCGGTGTCTCTTCGCAATGCCGCATGGGATGTTCTTGTAGACTCAGGGGAAATCCAGCAGTTGACTGAGTTTTTGTCACAATTCGTCGTAAGTCTACTTTTTTTTAAAAATCTGAAATAGGAGGTCTACAGAGTGCACTACTCATTATCAGCCCTGAATTTTTATTATCTTCTGACAAATTCTGATGCATTTTGTGTATTTAAACATGAACTGTTTTTAATCTTTTGCCGTCAGGGAGAGACCGATGTAGAATACTCATATAGGAAGAGTATTGCCATCTTAATCCTTTTTCTGCAGGAAAAATTTACTGTTTGCTGATTGGTTAGCAAGTTATAGCCTTTCATGGCAGCCGCATTTTATTTATGAAATCATTAATTTAAAAAATAGGTTATTGGAAAGGGAGAATTTCCCATGAGGAACCTGCAGGGGCCTTCACATTTTTCAAGTAAATTTCTCTCTTGGCATCGTTTCATCCTGTATTTTTTTAAATTGTTTCAGCATTTGGCTCAGTCAGATGCAGCATATGAGTTCTTGCACATTGTTGATAAATTGCTGGAGAAATCGTCCGACCCAGAGGTCGAAACTCTGCTCATTTCTCTGACTCCAATCATAGCAAACGTTATTCATCACCTTATCAAAACCGGAACCCTCTTTGAAGAAGCTCTACATAAGCTGGAAGTAATTGTCCATAAGTCACCACAAGCTGCAAGTTTGGTTCTATCAATTCTCGCTGAGGCACTTTCTCTGAGCTCCACGCGGCATCTATCGTCTGTGTCAGTCACGTGTAAGTGATACTATACGAATCACTAAATACAAAAAGGGCACATGTCCACAAAAACCAAATTGTTCAGGAGACACAAAAAACTGTTTATTTCGTGGTAGATATTTTCTGGAAAGTCATTATGTTTAAAAATACAGCGGAGCGCCGGTTTTTTTAAACATAACGACTTTCCAAAAAATATCTACCACGAAATAAACAGTTTTTTGTGTCTCCTGAACAATTTGGTTTTCTGGACATGTGCCCTTTTTGTATTTAGTGATTCTACATCCAGGAAGAAGGTCCCTTTTCTTGTTTTCTTGTTCTATTCATTCAAGGTAGCTGCATAAAAAGGTGCTTTGCTAAGGTATATTCTATGGAGCATTTTGCATCGATATCAATCCATTTTTCTCCATGATATTAGAGTTTCTTTTTTTTTAGAAAAAGAAGAAGAACATGAGACATGAGGTATATGAAATCACTTATCAAAGTAAATCATATACTGAAACTTTTAGAAATGGACTTGAAAAAAACGTTTAATACATATATGAGTGGATGATTAAAACATAGCGCATTTCAAATTTTGCAGAGTGCTCTCCTCTGACCAGTTAAATGTTGATGGTATCTCAGTGTTGCGCTTGCCAAGCACAACTCTTTTGACACAGCTATTACATTTTTGATGATCAAAGTGCGAAACCACGTATCTTTGTTTCTGCCATCGTAGACCTCCTGTCATACGTAATTTGTTATTTGGAAAACTAGACTCTGTAATTTCTTGAAAACTTCCCTGATTTCTCCTCTCTTTTAAAAGAATATTCCGTATAAATTTCAAGCCATAAAGTCGACTTGTTTCTTGTCCACAGATTACTATAGGAGGGGATATTTTGGAACATCTCAATAAAGATACGTGGTTTTGCATTTTGGCCATTGATCCATTTTCCTGCATTTTACATGTAATTTATATAAAGTTTTTGGTGAATTTCAAAGATCATAGATTGGGCTCCTCTCCAAATAGAAGTTTGTTTTAAACTTTTTGATCTCCATGTCACAGAAGGTGCTCGTTACCTATCACTCCCCCCCCCCTTCCAATGTTTTCTCAGGAATATTCTTTTTCATACCTTCATTTTTTTCAATATTATCTCATAACTAATTCTTCCCGTTTCTCTATTCTCAGGTCTGAATATTATGAAGACTGTGCGCTGCTCAACCATATCAGAACACATGTTGGTTGCGTCTCTAGCAAGGTGGCTTATCCAACCAACTCAATTATGTCCTGAGTTCCCAGAATTTGCGTCGGCTATTATTGGAATTGCATTTTCAAGAAAAGACTTTTACAATCAATCGTCAGATTTTTGTAAAAATTATACGTTTCAATTAATATCATCTTCGCACAGAATTGTCCAGAAATCCGTCCTTATTCATAGGTACTGTGTATTTGTTTATTTACAAAGTTATCAATGCAGTTTCGTCATTCAATCCAGCCAATCGTAAGCATAATGTGCGCATAGCACTGGTGAAAATATAGTTGTTTTAATGTTCGCAAAAATCTGGGCAAATGAGATCAAGAAAGAGCCTTATTTTGCAGAACTTGTTTTGTATTCGAAAGTTTCTTCAATGCGTGCCTCATAGGTAATTTCAGTCTTTGAACAAAAATATGATTTTTCACATTTCTCGTCATATTTGCGTGCATGTAATTTGGATTTCTCAAAGTCGATTTCCTACTAGTCTGCAACTTTGTCAATTTTAAAATATAATAAAAAATATCTTATATGGGTGGTTTGGGGCACTCTGTTTGTAGTCTCATTCCGTAACTAATGCAGTCTTATTTTTAAATTGCAGATTAGGAGAGAACTTACCCTCCAAGGAAAACCATTTGAAACTTTGGCTTGATTCTAAAAACACAAAATTTGCAGAATTTTCCCTTTTCCTTGGTGCTTTGTTGATAAGTTACGAAGATAGAGCAATGAAAGAAAAGGTCATCAGAAACTTATCGGAGCTTCGACTGGATCAGTACCTTGCACTGTTGGTTTTTCAATTGGTGCGAGAGAAGGATCCCAAAGTACAATCAACACTTTTAACTTCAATGCACCTCTGTATCAACAAAGATAATCAAGTATGCTTTACCTAATGATCCAATGTTTAAGTATCTTTCATTTCTATTCAAAATATATCTTCACCGATCGTGTCAATATCTGTAGACGTGTTTACCACATGGTCAAAGGAGAGAACAGTTGACGAGTGTCAGTTGCCTCCAGTAAAACATTACAGTGGACTCTCGATAATTCGAAATTGAAGGGAATCTGCTTTTTCTTCGAATTAGCGAGGTATGGAAATAAAGAGAGTTTCAATTACAGAGATTCATGTGGGGAAATTTCGAATTAGAGAGGTTCGAATGTAGAGAGGCAAATGGACGGATTTACGTCAAAAGGAACCAAAAATATCAGTTTATTTCTTCACTGAGGTAAAAATTACACTAAGTTATTATTAAGTATTAATTACTTATATTTAATTTTAAAATGATTAATTACTGTCAAAATGTAAACAACATTTTGACAATTCTATCAGCTCTTTCAGACACCCAGGTACATAATAGACCATATTTACTTCCCACACTTCAAATTACTGAGAGAATTTTCGTCGCAATTTCGAATTATAGAGGGCCGTGCCAGCTTAAAAATTTCGAAATAACGAGGGGAGAAAAATACATTGATTTTCTTCGAATTATCGAGAGATTTTCAAGGGAAATGGACTTTCCTTCGAATAAACGAGGTTTTCGAATTATCGAGAGTCCACTGTACTTCAAGCAAATTTTTAACAAGAAATGATTGGCATGAACTTAAAAAATGAATCTTGCTGCTGGGATAATGGTTTTTCGAGAAACATCATAACTACAGATAGTTCAAGCTCAGTTTAATCTGTGTCATCAATCCAGGTTTGAGAAGGTTCAACCAATATCCAAGAGTCCGGACAGGCTGTCAAGGCCCTAATTCTGTAAATCAAGATGGTATCCCATCAGATAACCTTCTGAAATAATCTTATAAATTTCGCATTTTACTAGCCTCGGCCAAGAATACGCTTGAACTTTTTTTATTACCCATCCGTTTTTCTGCCGTGATAGCGAAGAGAGCTGTAAGTGCAAAAATGAAGTTTTGAGAAAACGGGCTCAGAAGCTTCTGACAAGAACATTTTATTGAAAGAAATTTGTCAAATAGCCACTAATCGTCCGGAAGACTCCTAGAAATCGTATGGATGATTAAAAATCGACTGATTTTATTTCCATTACATAAAAAGGGTATTTTTCATTTTCATGCTAGGTTATTGTTAGGCAAGACAGCCGTAAGTGCTATCTTCTGCATGCTTTTGTGGTTGCGTTTTGGACACACAACAAACACATTTTCAGGTTAGGAATTGGCAGAAGAAGGCGGCACTTTACTGGAAAGCACTGTTCTCATTGGCTCTCATGCATCTACGACTGTCTTGAAAAAAACCGTGTCATTTTTTGTGCACTTACGGCTTTTACATACGTCTCGTTTTCATTAAATTAGGATGAATTTTACTGTTTTAGCTGTCTCAGTAATTTCATCTAAAAGAGTTTAGACGAATTTTGAAGAAAACTTGATTTCGAAAATTTTGCACTTACGGCTCTCTTCGCTGTCACGGCAGTTTTCATCTGTATTATTTAGGTTGCATTTCTTTTCATTCCTCCGTTCGCATTTCATACTCTAAGATTTTCCTCCCTTTTTTTTACAGGAAAACAAGATGATTTTCCTTCAAATTCTGAAGGGCTTAAGTGCGAGTAGTGATTCCCTTCTCAGAGAACAGTCCATTCACTTACATTTTCTATTTTGGAAAATCGAGCGCCGCTGTTTCCCGTTTTTACACACTCTTCTTGTGTCTGACGATGTTTCCTCCTACGAAATTGAGCTCACGAAAGCCAAAGTCATCAATGAAATCTGTAAAATAAGGTATCAACAATATTTTTCCCCAGCAGAGATTGTGTTTTTTTTTTTTTTTTGGTAACATATTTTATTTGTTTTTTTATTACAAATTGGAATGGGGCCGACAGCAGCCCCACCCGAAATGGGAAGATTCGTATCATACAAATTTTGAAGTGCTTGACAAATATTAAAGGGTACTATTTATCCTTAATCTAGCATTACAGTTTGATCTCTTATTACTATTAAAAATAAATTGTCTCTTGTATTTAACTTATTATATCTAATTGTGATTAAAAAATTCAATCAAAATTACTTAAAATACTAATGTTACTGCCGGAACCATCCTTACGGATATTACATCGGGGAGAGAGATTGTGTATTGTCTGCAAGTTTATTCATTATACTGGCCGTTCTGTCACTTGCTACTCGAGTGACATTCGGCTCGGTCAGAGAGCCATTTTTCTGGTTAGTTGGACATTTGATCACTATGATGTATACTTTTTGAAGACTCTCAAAACAAAAATGATTTTGTCACAGAACCTTGTCACTGAAGTGTGCCATCATTTGCACATTAATAAATATGTGGAGTTGAAGCAATGATGGGGAACAGTCATTCCTTCAAAACCGCATTTGACTGGTATGTCAGTCCCATCAGGTGGAGGAAAGTGACAACCGTGGGTCTCCTTCCGCGATTTGACTCCTTGAAGTAGCAGCTTCCTGAGCGCGTTGAGCGGCCTCCTGTGGTGTAGTGGTTGTAGCGCTTGCTCTATGATCGGGAGGTCCCGGGTTCGATTCCTGGCCAGGCGACCCGAGTTTGATGGTCTCAAACAATGGTTGCCTGGGACTGGTTGTTCAGTAGGGACGGAGGGGGGCCGGGACTAAAAAGCACGGGATTAGCCCTTGCTGGCTACCTACTTAAAGTGGTAAAAAAAAAAAAAGTTCATCTTTACCTCCTAAGAAGATTATCGGTGGCATAGGGGTCTAAAAACTGCTCAATGATAGTATAGTCCGAGTTCGGACTAGCTATGAGCCCACTCGTGATTTTTTCCTATACTTTCATTGCATATAAATTTCTCTGATGTTTTTGTTTTATTCTCTCTGATTGCATAAGTAATTATATCCTCATTTCATTTCCTTTCCCTTTCATTTTTTTCCTTTTTTGTAGCATCTGTGTCCATTTACAATTATTATCTTAAAAAAGCTTTCCCGAATATACATTTGATGTTTCAAACAGAACCAATTTGTTTTAATGATATTTCCGGCTGAATTATGGGTTTTCCCTGGAAGGCAGCCTCTCGTCCCTCCCAGACTCTACTGTTGCCAGATAAGCTGCTTTTTCAGCACTTTTCCCAGTTCAAACCCATGTAAAATATTCACGTTAATCGCACAATCTGGCAACCCCTCGAGTGAAATAGAAAAAGGTGGAATCCTTCCACTCTTATATTAATGATCTTTCAATACTTAATTCTTTCTTCATCCTTTATTTGCCATCGATCGGTCTTCAATACCATTCGTCTAACATATGCCGTTTTCTATTTTTATTTTTTGGCTCTTAAGTTTACTTCATTGCAGTCATGTTAGTCATTCAACCTGTTATTGAATAGTGGCGTGTTGTGCTTTCCAATATATTGATTGATCTGCCATTTATATTTATAGAAAAGAATCGATAAACAGAGTGTTTGCAACAAGCACCTTAATATTCGATTCTTTTCCATAGCTTCAATGGGGAAATATCAATAATCGATCATTCACGCCTTGCTGCTGTTATTGTACTTGTGCAACCACCAGTTGAATAAAGTTTAAAAAAAATAGTTATCGATGCTATATAAGCTCAACTAGTGTTATGTCCTTGTCTTAACAATTAAGAGTCAAGAAAAAATAAGGGGAAAAATTTATTTTTTACACTGAGGCTAATAGAGGATTGAGACAAAATTTTTTACCAATGAACTAAAAAACTGGAAATTCTAATCCTAATTTTTTTCATCTCCTTGTTTATTTCTCATCATACTTGATATGATTCTTTTAGCGTCTTTTCAGGAAAATCTGTCTATAGCTTAGGATGTTTCTAATTAAAAATTAATGCTTAGCACTTGTCTTGTTTACAGTCCAGAAATATATGGAAAAAGTGTTGCTAGGCCCATCGCAGATATCCTAAATAAATCTACGTGGACAAAACCATGCGTGCTTGCTCTCAACTCGGTGGCTCTTCTTTGCAAAGCAGGAGAGATTGATATTCGCTCTACATGGAAGGCCATCAAACCTAAATTTATCAACGATAAAAGACCAGATATTATCGCGGGGTATGTTTTATTATTCTAATTAATTTTAACATATAGAAGAATCTTAAACTTTGAAGTAACCGACCAAAGTGAGGCAAACTTTTTCTGATTTCTTTGTTAATGAGCAGTAATCTATCACATTGTTTTTAAAGAAACCCCCCCAAAAAAAGCAACGTATTTATTGATGACTAAAGTCCGCATATCTCCTTTTGAGACTACCTGTCATACTTCCTTTTTTCTTTGAAAAACTAGTCAACGTAATTTTTTTAAATCTTTCGTGACTTTTCTTCTTTGTCAGCAGAATATTCTGCTTAAATTTCAAGCTATGAAGTTTGCTTGTTTTTCTTGGGAAAAATAAAATGGGAGCGAAAATTTTGAAACACCGCAATGCTGATACGTGGTCTCGCACTGTACTGCCGTGCTAAGGAAGAACGCCGTATGAGCCATCAGACGTTGCCAAATTTACTCCGAAAAATCACTAATTTTCAGGCATATTTTTGAATATTTTTTTACCAATTTTTCAGATAATTTTGTTCGCAATTTTACCTCGAGTCCCTGAAAATTTCAGGGAAAAATATTCTTATCTTTCCTTAAAATAAACTTTTTATTGAAGGAAATTTGGCAACTATCGAATGTTCATACGGCATTCTTCCCTAGCACGGCAGTGTGGTCATCGATATCTAATTTTTGCCAACAGAAAAAAAAAAAACTGTTTTCTTCTTGTCAGCTAGCTTGTTTTTAACCAAAACCTCAGTGTTCTCAAGCCGCAAAACTGAAGCGCAGGATATTTGGTGTTCAGATAATTGGGGCATCGCTGTAATTATAAAATAAAAGCATCACTCCTGACTTGTTTAAGCATAGCGACTTTGAATATTATTTGTTGTTTGTTGATGGTGGAAGCTCTTCTTCAATAAATACCCTTTTCCTTCAAATTCATATTAATGGAATCAATTAATTTCTGTGAACCTAATTCATTCTTTTCTTTTTCTACCCCCCACAGTTTATGTGAGATTCTCAGTCTAGTTCCCAATGTCTACTCCTACACAGATAAACAGGAATTTTTCACTGAGGTTGTGACAAATTTATGGAATTTCGTGACGCTAAGCTCAGATGAGAAAATTGTCAGCGCTGCATTGAAGTAAGTTGAATTGAACATTAGGAAGTGCGAGAACCTAAGTGCTACAAGCGATGCTTTCATTGTTGAAATTTTGTATTTGCTTAGTTTTGATTCCTATCTAGTTGTTCTTTCTAATAATTCTTTGATTACATTATGTTCAGTCAAGTAATGCAACGTTGAAGCACTCAGTTGAAAGGCAAAATTAAATCTTTCAATAATTTATTAGTTTCAAAAATTGCTTAGTCTTTGAAGAAATCTTCGGATTTGATCATTATCAAATGATTTACAAAGTAAATTAAGACAAGTTCTTCATCTTTTCAGGGATCATATATTTGTGCACCCTTAATAGTAGCGGAAATAAACCATTTCAAAATCTGAAATGATTTCCTTTAAACTGCTGTGTCAGGCATAGAATTATTGATAATTCCTGTACTCTAGTTGCATTATCAATTTACTGGATCTATTCTGTCCAAAAGTTACTAGATTACCAGAGATACTAAAATTATTAGAGTTACGCACTGAGTTACTAGATTTAATTATTTAATCTAGTGTATCCTCTCATATTTCAGAGCTTTTACCAGCTTCAGATTGGAACATTTAAGTGTAGAAACTCTTCCAGATGTCTACAAAAAAAACGCAGGGAAAGCAATCGAAACATCTTTCGCTACAAGTGTTGCAGAGTTTGTGCATGTTCCAGGTAAACATATTTTTCTTCCTATCATCAATTATTAAATCAAGTAATGTGCTTGTAAATTTTAGGCCTGATTGATTCAAGAGCGACTTCCAGGTTTCACTCTGTAAGACGCAGAACTCTGAAAAATAACTGTATTGGAGGTACTGTCTGTGTTATTTTTATCAGCTACAGTTTGATGAAATCGCAGCTGTAATTTTAAAGTTTACAGAAAAAAATCTTGAGATAAATTGTATAATTTCTTGATATTTTTATTGTTTTGTTGCTAAGTTGAAGACTTCAGGATTTGTTCTGAAGTGAAACTTATTACTGACCTCATTACTCACCAGCTTACATTAAAATCAAAGACATTTGCCAAAATTTTCAATGTTCATTGTTGATAGTGATCAGTAATGAAAAAAAAATAACTGGTTTCCTCACATTTTGGTCCTTACAATTTTTCATATCAAAAAGTTAGTCTAAATTAAATACATGGAACCGTGTCTCTGAAAAGGGACGTTATCTTTCGACAGAAAATTTTCCTTAACTTCCTGCGAATACTTAAACCACGTTTTTCTATTACCTGAAAATTTTTGTTTGGGAACTTCATGACTGATATCTCTTCCAATCTTTGAGATTTTAGGGACAAACTTGCGCCAAAATTCCCTGATTTGTTTCCTTCACGCATTTATGAAAAGTTGAGGAAAATTCTCTCTTGAAGGTAACGTCCCTTGTTTATAGATCCGGTTAAATATAATTATTACTCTCCCAATTATTTCATGTAGGGTGGATATCTAAAGTTTTTTTTTTTTTTTTTTAGGGAAATGCTGGTTAAACGTACTCGAGTCCCTCCCAGCAAACTGCGCAGACGCAGCTGTCGAACTGTTTACCAAGTGGTTAAGTGATGAAATCGCAACGTTTCACAGCGGAATATACTCTAAAGTTCTCGATGAGCCCTCCATGTATACATTTCTACAAGAGAGGAGTTTATGCCGCACTTTCGTGGATTACATACGAAAACACTCCTCATCGCCAACGGCAGAAACTACCAGACTCCCCGTATCTCTCTGCCTGCGGATTCTGTCCAGTGATCTTCCAAAACCGTTACCTCCGTTAAAATGGGCCTTTTTATCTAACTACATGAATGAGGGATCAGTTGAGCTGAAAATGTATGCAACGAAGCTTGTTATCAAACAGTCTATGCATAAATCTTCTTCTGCAAATAATGTGCTGGAGGCCAAGTTGTCAAACTCGGAGTTCTCTGACGAGACGGTAAGAAATCCTTCCTTTGAGAGGTAATAGATCGTAGAGGCTTTTTTATCATAATTTTTTTTAGATTTTAGAAGCTGAAAATACACTTTTGTTGTGTGTGTCACCGCCAGGCCTGATTTCAAAAAGTAGTCAGAATAGGCTACACGTTTTAATAGGTGCCAAGTTTGAAAACTATCATTTACAAAATGGCTGACTATAGAATTGAGATGTTGCATATGTGAGGAATTTGCGATTTGACTATTGATTCTTTTGTAAAAATTTGCCAGAAACATGATAGTGCCACTGGTTTTTCCTGAAATCAACTCCCAAGCTCAAAAAAAGCTCTCAAAGTTGATGGCGTAATGGAAGGGATATCCCACACTATCCTGAGAGTCCACCTCTACATCAAGACAAACTCTCCATGCAAAGATAGGGAGCAAATACATTAGCAAGGTTGCTGTGATTTCAGTTTTAGAGTCCCCAAATAAGGTGGCAGCCCTGTCAATGTATTTGCTCCCTATCTTTGCATGGAGAGTTTGTTTTAATGTAGAGGTGAACTCTCAGGATAGCGTGGAATATCCCCTCCATTTTGGCCTCAACTTGAGAGCTTTTTTGGAGCTTGGAAGTTGATTTCAGAGGAAATCAGTGGGACCATCAAGTTTCTCGTGAACTTTTACATAAGAATCAATAGTCAAATCGCAAATTCCTCACACATGCAACATCTCCATTCAGGCCAGTTCATTCCCTTGCGGCTCCTCTAAATTTAGTTAAAATTCTCTTTTACATTTTTCATGTGATTTTGCCTCTAACTATGAATTTAAAACCAAACGAACCCTATATTTCAGTTAGGTCAGTGTTGTACTAAATTTTTATCGATGACAGATACTTAAAGGCACATTGGCAGACTAAGTTTTAATAGAGTTCACATTTCTTGGTTTCAGGAAACAGAAATACTCAACATTTTTCAGTCTCTGAAAGGTGTAATGAAGAGTGTCCACCCTACAACTTGTCAAGGATTCTTATCGATGAGTCTGCAGTATACCAAAGCAAAAATAAGGAGCAATGAAACGGGTTTTTTCTGCTCTATAGTTGATTCAATTAGGTCTCTCCTGGCAGAGAATCACCCAGAAAACGACAAGTTCCTATTCCCAATTCTTCATGATCTGTGGACCGATGTGTGTGATATTCCTGCCTGTTCGGAGAGTTTGATACGCTGCATTTCTGTTTTGTCAGATCAGAATATCAACATGATCTTCCCGCCACCGGAGAGTGGTTCATCAAAATTACACCCTAATTTTATCAAACTAATGTGTGGTCTGGCAGCTATCAAGTTATCATCAGAGTCTATCGATCGTTTGATCAAATTATCAAAACTGGTTTGTGCAAACCGGCTTGGAGTTGACCATCGGTCCTATTTGCAAAGTGAACTACTACCGATTTTTGCATTGCCGATTCCTCATATTACTGTTTTGTTTTTTGTCAAAGGTTTGATGGGGCTCTTGGAGAGTTGCCAAGATGAGGATCTAGAATATCTCTGTGCGATACTTTTTAGGGTTTTAATTGTATATTCTGGCTTAAGTAGTTGTCCCACTGAGGAATATTCTAGTTTACCTTTTCACAGTTTTCCCTTTGCTTTGACCCACTTTATCCGAGGAGAAACTGACAGTTTTTTAACGTTTTTCAAGAAAATGTTGGAAGAGCGAGCTCATGAAATGAATATCTCTTTCAGTTTACTCTTTCGACAGTGTTGTATTGCCCTAAGAAATGTGCAGATTGAATATTTTTCCTACGATACTAACTATTTCACGGAGGCTCTTGAAAAAGGATTGGAAGTGGAGGAACAATTCTTGAAAATAAAACAGAAAGAATGAGTGATTAATCACATTACTGTCCTCGTTTGACTCGAGATCGTTGGTAGATTTATATTAGTACTGGATGCATTTTAAGTTCTGCCAATTGCCAAGGTTAATTGGACCGCGTTAAGCAGAAAGGAACCAAGCCACATCAGCTATTGCCGGATTTAATAGGGCAATTGAATTATATACATGAAAACGGTTGTGCGGATTTTTTTGCAAATTTCAGTGAATTTCCTCCACAGTACAAAGCAAATTTCTAAAGTTTTCAAAGAAATCCGCAGAAACTTTCTGTCGCAAAAAATTAAATTGTCCGATTAAATTTGGCAATAGCTGAAGTGGCTTGGTTACTTTCTGTTAAATACGGTTCAATTACTTTGTTATTTACATTCTGACATCTCCAAACTCTTCGTGTCAGTTTTAAGTAAGCTTCAAGAAATTGGCTGGTATGAACTTATCTTCTTACCGATTACTATTCAGGTTTTCAAAGCTAGTCCTTCAAAGTATTCTCTTGCTGCAGGTGTGGGCAACATATTTCAGGTGACAGATTAACTTTAATTCGATAGAACGTGGTTTCAAATATTGATAGCGAAAGTGCGAAACCACGCAGGTATCTCCATTGTAATGCTTCAAATTTTCCAATTCTATATTATTTTTTCGAAGAGAAAAAGAAAATTTCATAGCTTGAAATTTGTGCAGAATATTCTGCCGATAGGAAAGAAAAATTAAGGGAGTTTCAAGAAATTAATGTAGCCTAGTTTTCCTAAGAAGAAAAAAAATAAAGTATGCCACGAAATCCGCAAAGTCAAAAACGGAGATACTTGCTTCCTCAATCTAGCCATAGACTGATTTAATACCAACTTATGTGATATTGTTTCCCTAGATGATTTATATTTTTTTATATGTATATATGTTTGTAACTTTATAGAGGATCCATGTGTATTTTTCCATAGAGGGTCTACATATGAACCGGCTCATGTGAAAACGTCTGATGTCTAATACAGTGTTTCAGAATTTGAGAGGACGATTTCGTTGTAACTTACAGACACAAGATGGTTTGAGATGTTAGGAATGTAGAACAATTTTATAAGTAATCCCTAAGTATAATTAAACGTTTAAAAAAGAAGTATAATGAAACATTTACAAAAGAGATAGATCTTTTTCATCAGTGTCGTCGGGCAAAAGAAACCACTGCAATTATGAAACACAGTATTCGACAATGGACGTTTTTGCATGAGTCGATTCATACATATTCAAGACAAATATCAGTATCGGCGGGTCCTTCAAATGTTTAAAAATTATAGTGGAACCAATTATTATTTTTGATTATGTCATGATACAAACAATTCATATGGAATATGTGAAACCGTTGAAAATGTATGACTAAATGAGTAACAGTTAAAGACCCTTTGTAGGGGCTGAAAATAAATTCCCTAATAATGTTTTGAAAATGGTAATAATTGTAAGGATATCACTAAATCTATTCCGCGCTCGAAAATCAGATACCTTTTTTGGTTATTGATAAAAATGCCTTTTGCTAAATTTCAAATTTTTCTTACGAACATGAACATGAACATAAACATGAAGAAAAATTGACTGGCAAACAAATTTTGAAATTTCCAATGGACCCCAGGACATTGCAATTGACCCCAGGACAGTCTTGACCTCATGGGGGCAAAAAGAGGGTGTAAATGGAAGCACGGTAGTACGAGGGAGCTGAAAAAATTCCGTCCCCTTTACACTATGACTGTTCACCAGATATTCTCATTTTTCTGGTTGAAAAAAGCATCCACATTTCATCATTAAGAAAACTCAACCAAAACCAAAATTTCGGAAACTAAATTGGAGAAACGCCATTTCATTTTTTATTGTCTCTGTGACAAAGCCCTCTACGTCACCGGTGAAAACAGAATGGTGTGAGGCTCTGCTCAACCTCTCCTCCTCCCTAGAGCGTTGTGTTTTTTATGAATGACCCCTTCCCAAGTAGCATCTCTCAACGGAAAAATCGCTTTATACTGCGATTTTATCAGCCATAAAACCATCAGAATCATCAACATCTAAGCGATTATCCTCAATCTTATCGCGATAAAATCGCGCTTTTATCGCCCGACAATTTATCACGATATTCTCGAAACAAGAATTGCGATGAAAGGCGATTTAATCTCGATTTTATCGACAAAAATTGATCATGATTTTATCGAACCAAAAATTGTGATGTGTAGCGATTTAATCGCTATATATCGCAATTTTTAATGCAATAATATCTCGATAAATTGTCACCAATATAATCGTGATAACCAACTGATAAAATCGCTATTTATCGCGATCACTGCTACTTGGGTTAATGATCCTTTTCTTTTTGATTGTTCTTTAAAAAATCAAAAAGGCATTTTGAGTTGAATTTATTAAAATTTCTATTATATACAGTACAAAAAAAGACATTTTCCTTAAATGTAAAAATTTAAAAAAAAAAAACGTGCAGTATTTACAATAAATACAATAAAAACTTTTGTTCAAATCCAAAGAAAAATAAACAAATAAAAATATTTCTTTCTACCTACAATTAAATTAATGTCACGTCTAAATTCAAAAGAGAAAAGTATTACAAATAAAGCTCAGAATCTTCTGTTTGAGTCCTAATTTGGAGGAAAAGCCTACTTAGAGAATTCCTCTAAAAAAACGAAAAAAGGGGATTAAAAAGTATTTTTTTAAAAAAATGATTTAATAATTGAACGTATTAAGCTGAGAGAAAATATGAGCAACTGAATTAAAAAAATCAAAAGGGACTGCCTGCAGGATTTGCAAGTCTCATAGTTCCTTTTGATTTTATTCAATTAAACATAAATCCCCTCAGCATAAATACGTCCCATTGAAGTTGTCAACTGAAAATTTTCTAAGTTACCTAAATTCTACAACATCTTCTTACATGTCAACTTTTTTGTAAGGATTGCCACAGAGTTTGGATGGAGAAATTCCCTGATATGTCTCTGATTTCTCTGACACCTTTAGGTAAAAGTCCCTGACAATTAAAGATATGCCAGGCGGTTAAAAAGACATAATAGTTTCTGCGCAAATAGTTTCAGCATTTGTTGTTCAAAACGTTAAACCCTTTCTAGAGGCAAATAAGGGTGCCTAAACAATTTTTTCTTGACACTATTATCATTATACCTGACAGTTCCAGGTTTCCCCTGATTTTTCCTATTATTCTCTGACTGTGGCAACCCTGTTTTTCTTAAAAAAACTCAATGGTTAATGGCATGAAAAGCTTGAAAAAGAATTCCCAATGATTATTAAGTTGGACTGAGTGCGGTCAGACTTCACTATCTTAGCACCGACAATTATCTACTATAACGTTTGGTTTGTGCCCAGAAACATTGATAGAATTCATTTCGAGGGCTAGCACTGCAGCCTATAGCTTCTGCTCAGTATTAACATTAAAATGAAAAAATAAATAAATAAAAAATGGTGAAAATGTATCTGTATTGTTTGTAAAGTACGTTGAAAAATTTGAAGCTCAACCTAGGAAACTATCCAAGAGCAGAGGTGATCCAGCCGCTGTGGTTTACATAATCAACTATAGCACGGTCGTGCTGACAGGAAGGGTTGAATGACAGTCCAAGGTTGTCCTGCGAAAAGAAACATCTTCCTTCAGTCAAATTGCTCAGAAATACGGATGTATTAAGCAGTTTTTTTTATGAAAGTTGCTCACAAACAAGGCAGTTACAGGAAAGTGGTTGCATTTCGAGTTGAGCTGCCATTTTAAAGACTGTGACGTGCAGCGGGTACATGCTTTGCCATGCAATCAGGATGTACCCAAAACGTACCCAATGCCGTGTGGCGTCAAGAGGGTAGGAAATGCGACCACCATTCTTTACCCGCCTTAGCTCACAAATATAAAATCAAAAAACCTTTTTTTACTTCCTTAACAAATTTTAGCATGATCCAAGCATATTTTAGGCGTTTGTAAACCTATCTGCAGCATTGTCGCTCTAAAGATGAGCGCCATATTTTGGAAAAAATTAAAGACCATTCATGGATTTTCACTATTTTCAGGCTTCTTAAAACCATTTTTTTGATAGATGTCCTCCATAAAATTCAATAGTTCCAACTCTCAGTGGAAAATCTTGCATGCTGACGGTGTAAGTCGGCAATCACATAACTCATTTGCGGTGTCTGAAAATCTCTGTCTCTAAGTTATTTTTTTTAAAGGAGAACAAATTGACATCATTCCTTGAAGTTTTTGTAGAATTTTCTTCACACAGAGAAGAAAAATCACGGCAGTTTTAAAGAATTGCCGTTGTGTAGTATTCAGTTTAAAAAATTAAGTATGATAGGAAGTCTGCGACATCGCAAACCGAGTTATGTGATTGCCGACTTACACCGTCGATGTGTGTCTTTACCTGTATGTCAATGGCGAAAGTTCAAAACGACGTTTCTTCGTTGAGATGTTTCAAAATTTTCTCTCCTGTTTTATTTCTTTTGAGGGAAACAAGTCCACTTTAAAGTTGGAAATTTATACTGCGTATATTCTGCTAACAGAGTAGAAAAATCAAGGAAACTTTCAGGAAAGAACTTCGTCTAGTTTGCCGAAGAAAAAATGAAATATAACAGGAGATCCTCGATGTCACAAACAGAGATACACGGTTCCGCACTTTGGTCATGGATATCTAGGAATCAAGGTCAACGAAATTGCCATAAAAAAAAATCAAAAATGAAAATACGGAAAACAGTATTCCTGATGTACTTACAGCAACTAGCAAAGTTTTTGTTGAGATATATTGAGATAATGGTATTTTCAACATTGAACACAGCTGAAACAAAGATACTCGGAGTTAAAATTTGTGTAAAAATTTAAAAAAAAAAAAAAAAAAAAAACTTTAAGGATAAAATATTTATTTTTGAAAAAAATTAGACATTTTTTCCTTAAAATTGTCAGATATATTAGATTGAAGGAAAATTATTTAAAAGAATTCCATTACACTAGTTTTCTAATAAAGAAAAAATGACAACGCCTGAAGGTTCACACATCATTTTTCCTTGGCACGGCAGGAGAGTTTATCCTCATGAGAAAATCTCAATATTTAAAAAAAGAGCATAAAATTGTCTCCTTTCATTAATTTGCAACTTTTGAACCTCAATTAGAGAGTTAATCAGCTCTATTATTCGAAATTGCCACCTTAGAGTTCTATAATTCAAAATCACCATCACACATTCTGTGTTCCAAACTAGTAGAACTGGACACTTGATAATTTAGGATGTTTCAGTGACTTTCTTTTGACTCAATTTATTGAAGAAGCTACAACACATTCATGAAATATGGAACAGGATTTCAAATTACGACATAAAGCTTTCTTAAAAACCTCATTTTAAATTTTCTTTGAAACTATTTTCTACGCTTCAAAATCTTGCTAATTCAAAAAAAAAAAATCATTCGTCTTTTGAGTTGTGAAAAAGCAAATAGGCACTCAAGTGAGCTTGACAGAAAAGAGTGGAAAAATGAAGAAACTCTCAAAGAATGAGTTTTGTTGAAAATTTAACAGAGTGAGGCCACCTGTAAAATTTTTAAGATATCGGTTTATTTTGATTCACAATATTTGCCAACTTATTTTATAGGTCACACCACAACAGATAAAGCTACAAAAAATCAAAACTGCAGTTAAGGGGCAAATTGATACATACAATTTTAGGCATCCTCTTGCTATGAATGACAGATCAGTACAAAATGATCAACTCTATGCTGATATGCTTAGTAAGAACGCTGTATGGGCTTTCAGACGTTGCCATTTTCCTTCGATAATAAGCAATTTTCCTGAGAAAATCCCCAATAGTTTTCTTTTAATTTTTCAGACAATTTTGTTCGCAATTTAATCTAAAATATCTGTAAATTTAAAGGAAACATAAGCAAAACTTTCCTCAAAAATGCACAATTTATCCGAGGAAATTCGGCAATTCCGAATTTTTATACAGCATTCTTCTTTAGCACAGCAGTATGGGCTGCAAAAACACGATGCCCACCTTATGCAATCATAATGTAAAATCCAGAGACACTGGAGCTAGAACAAAAATCTGATGCTGAAGTAAAAGGCATAAATACCTGCTCCTCAGCAGCGCTAAGCAGGGCACAAAGATTTGAGTCTGCGGCGGGCAAGCGCCAAGAGGTGGGGCTGCCGGTGGGGGGCATGAAGCTTTTGTTTGTTGAAGAGAAGCTTTCGCTTCTTTCTCTGAAAAATTAACACAAATTTATGAAAGGAGAGACTTTTTCCCTTACTGAAAAGAAGCAAAAATGAGCTACATAGTTTTAATTTTGCGGTTATAGGACTTATGGTCCAATTTTTTTTGTCCACAAATTTTTTCGTCCAATTTATTTTGTCCACGACTTTTTGTCCTTGAAATCTGGTCCAAGTTAAATTCGTCCTGGTAAATAGTTAGTCCTACGAATTTGTTCGTCCAGTGGTATTAGGTCACATTTCTGTGGTCCAGTAAGGTAAAAAAGTAATGTCCAAAACTCATGTCCAATGAGGCCGTTTCAGCTACTTCCTTTCAGCTTTCAGCTACTTTCAGTCATCGTCTGAGTCTTCTTCGTCCGAGTCCGGTGGATCTGCGCGTGGCGTGTGAATCAATTGGCAATAAGATCAATTTATTTCGTAGCTATGGAGACCCTTAAATTTAATCCCAACATCGAAAGAAAAAACCCAGATTTGGTGGAAACTTTCATTTTTCTCTATGAGAAAATAGACGACGCTTTAACCGAATTTGCGACGTACGTTGACCACACGTACGTGCGTGGCAAACCAGCTCGGGGAAGAAGACGTGCGGTACCTCCCCTGTTCCCTCCCGAAACATGGAACGTCTACAACTTAGTTATGGCAGATCGTATTAGAACAAACAACGCAGTTGAGGGCTTTCACTCAAAATTCAACCAAATCGTCGGCACGCATCATGCTAACATTTGGAAGCTCATTGACGCTTTTAAAAAGGTTCAACAGGACACAGAGCGTACGTTAACACAGGCTCGGGGGGGTCATCGCCGCTTTAAACCACCGGTGAGCAAGAAGTACACTACCAATCAGGCAATGATTGCCAACATCGTCCGAAATTACCAACATTACAAGGACACGAACTCACTTAAGAAGTACCTCCGAGCATGTGCGTACCACCTCAAGTTGCACACGCCACGCGCAGATCCACCGGACTCTGACGAAGAAGACTCAGACGATGACTGAAAGTAGCTGAAAGCTGAAAGGAAATAGCTGAAACGGCCTCATTGGACGTGAGTTTTGGACATAACTTTTTTACCTCACTGGACCACAGAAATGTGACCTAATACCACTGGACGAACAAATGCGTAGGACTAACTATTTACCAGGACGAATTTAACTTGGACCAGATTTCAAGGACAAAAAGTCGTGGACAAAATAAATTGGACGAAAAAATTTATGGACAAAAAAAATTGGACCAAAAGTCCTGTAACCAATTTTGCATGCCTTACTGGCTCCCCCTACTCAAATACGTACAAGACTCAGAGACTAACTGGATTACATTTTGCAATGAGGAACCCCTACTTCTGGCCCATCTTAGAAACGACATGCATGCCATTGGTTTCCCTATGCAGATGTGTGCTTTTGTAGGAGAGCCAGAGAAAGTTGTTCCCTCTTGCAAAATGTAATCCAACTAATAATCATCTTGTCTCCATCTCTCACTGGTCAGTCATGAAATATTGATGTTGAGTGACAAAACAATGGTGAAACTGCAGAGATGCGTATCTCGGTCTTCGGCACAGGAGACTTCCTGTCATAATTCATTTTCTATGTGGACAACTACCAAGCGTCATTTCTTGAAATATTCCGTGATTTTTCTTCTCAATTTCAAACCGTGATGTTTGTTCAGTCTCCTTTCAAAAAATAAAATAGGGGGCAGAAATTTTGAAACACTGCAACCAAGATACACATTTTTGTACTTTCACCGTTGAAAAGGAGATTCAAGTAGTTGGCACTAAAATGTAGATCAAAACCTAAAAAAAAGTGCATGAATTTTACGAGGAATTCCTTACATAATCACATTTGAAATACGAGGAAAAAGGCTTAAAGGACAGGTCACATGCACAAAAATTTCTGATTAGGGTGGAGAGCGTTCATAACTGAAGAGTGCTTTCAAAATTCTTGATGCGCCTCTCATAGATCAAAATCAGGGTGTCTGCAACCTCACCAGGAGAAAGTTCCCTGACTTTTTCAGGAATACTATGACCCAAGTGATAGGGATTCCCTGACTTTTCACATTTACAATTTGTACACGTGGAACTAAAAAATGAAAAGGTGTTACCATTACTTTCAATGCCAACGACAGAAACACGAGAGCCTTTTTTCTTCAGGTGTTGATCATTAAAGTAATTTAAATTGCAATTCCTTAAAAAATTGCTTTACTATTCATTGTTCAGAGTGTAACTCAGAGCACTGCCTTCTGAACCAGACTGAGAACCAGTCTGATTGCAAGGACAGAGCATTCTTCTTCCCCATCAAAGTCCCTTAAAATTCCCTGTTTTCCAGACCAGTGTACACTCGGAAAAGTATTATTTCAGACATGTCTTACATTTTGCCTGACAAAAACTTACTAAGGCAAACATTATTTGGTTAATTCTTTCAAAATTAGCGATTAATTATGTAAAATTCCAGAGATTTTGCTTTCTTTGTCTTTCACATGAAGCTTTGAGGAAACGGATCCTAAATTAGCTTGTGGCATAAAGGTAATCTCCAAAAACAATCTCCAATTCGCAAAACAATTTGCCGTCATTTTTTCATAACAGTGACGACTATTCAAATTATTGCTCCAAAGATGTTAACATGGTCGAGAAATTTAAGCGCCTCTATGAAAGTCTCAGAATCAAGAAAAAAATATGAATACAAAACCTTGACTGTCAATCCCTGTAACCTACAAACGACATTTTTTTGAAGGAATCATTCCTCCAGAGGGATGTTCCTTAGACACGGAGGAGTGCAGAATAGAAAATACTTCAAGGACACAGAAATAAAGACTGAAAATACCTCAACAAAATGAGGTTCAAGATTTCGATTAGCTGTTAAACAGAGTTAAAGTGCATCATTAATTATTAAACAATACTTACTTTCTTTTTTGAGATGAAAGAGAGGGATGAGGTACTGATGAGCTGCTGCCCTAGGACAAATAAACAAGTGATACACTACAAAAAGAAAAGTGGTAGATTTTTTTATTTTCTTTTTTCGTCATTAGAAATAGTAAAGAATTATGAGGTCAATGCGCTAGTGGCAAGAACTCAGCAGGCTTACTATTGGAACTGACAGTCGAAGCAATAGAAAAAGTAGACAAAGAGAAAATGAAGGAATCCTATTGGTGGTTGTAATGGACAAAGGAGGTGGTAACAGAGCAATTAACGGTAAAAAATGAGACCCTACAATTAGTCCATCATTTTCCCTATTAAGCTGTAACAATCACCAATTTCAATTAAGGATTGCTGCATTTTCACTTTGTGTTCCTCGCCTATTGCTTTGGTCATCAATTTAAATAATCAGCCTGCTGCTTGCTGATTGTTGAAATTGATAAATAAAGTGATAGACAAAGAAGACATAAGAAGTGTGGAGCGATCCTATTGGTTGAAATGGTTGATTCTTACAGACTAAGGGAGAAAATTATGGACTAACTTTAGGATCTCTTGGGGTGGCTTTTAGTTAGTCTATTACTACCTCATTTGTCCATTGCAACTACTCGCTTCCACCAATAGCATCCCTCCATATCCTTTTTGTCTTCTTTGTCAACAGCTTAGTCTATCAATTTCAACAATCAGCCTGTTGGACTGGTGAAGACAAACTTCCATAAATGGGAGCTAAGTAAAAACATCACAGAGCGACTTCAGCTCTGACTGTTTTTCTTGACTTCAACCACTTAGGCAAAAACCACGCAAATGTAAGTCGAGTATGACCCCAAAAGCAACTTCCTTCCATGTGTTTATTTTTGAGGTGAGTTGCAACTATCTTGAAATTTTCAGATAATTTAGATCTGATCGCCAATAAAAAAAAATCTGAAAAATTGAAGGGAAAATATTTGAAGATTTTCCTGGAAAATCATAGCCAGCACAGGTTGTCGTTTCAGCTGTCTCTGTTGTTTCTGGGTCCCTGATGACTGGAGGTTGAAATTCAGGTGGCAAGTTGTACGTTTCCAATATTTCATGAAATTAGCTAAGAATCATGAGAAGTATAAAATTCATGAGCATTATTTATTAGCCTTGTCTTCCATCATTGATAATGTCTAGCATGGCTCATAGATATTTGGACTTGCCCCTTTTTCACATGATGAATGCTGAAACTAATTGAGTATTTTGACGTACAAAACAGGCAAAAGCTTTGATACTCATGAGGAAAGCTGGAAATTTACGATGGCAGCTGAGGCTTAGTTTCCGAACTTCCATCCTTCTCTAAAAACATGGTTCAACTGCCGTTGAGTTGTATTTGCTCAAGATGTCACTTTGGTGTACCATTCCTTCAGCAAGAATAAACCTGATGCGCAGTTTTTGAGCAATGATGAATCAAAGAAAGTGAAACTTACAGGACTAGTGCTCCCAATATGCTGTTGACGATAATTGTAGAAGCTTTCACAGTCTTCAAATTTGGTGATGCCATTTCGCCGACAAATTAGAAGTTCGGCTAATCTTCTTCGGAGGTTCTTCTCCCGTTGCAGGTTAACTAATAATTGATCGTGTTCTTCAGCTGTTTGAAACTGGCATAACACTTTGGTACGTTCTTCGAGGACACTGCAAGAAATACATTCAGGATTAGGTACGTCAGGAGCATTGAAATTTCAACTTTAAGCAATGGGTCAGTTGCACTAGTCACAGAATTATGTTTTGATACTTGATTCTTGTAGATTAGCTGAAAATAATGAGACCAGTCCAAACCGCAACTTTCTACGTTCAATATTAACCGAGATATCGCCCTTTAAAATGTCAGGTTTTCGACATCATCCACCGCGGCAGTGACACCCTTGGTTTCTTCCTCTTTTGTTCGATCAGTGATACAGAAGGTGCAACGCAAAACTTCAACGACCTTAAACCCAAACAAAATGAGGTGAACTGACTAACCGCCTAATCTCTTTGCAGCGAGTACATTATCTTCTGAAAAGAAGATGCATACAGTGCGAATCCGTCTGTTTCATGAGTTTGTTTACATTCAACATCGTTGAAGTTTCGGGTTGCACCCTCTGCATCGCTAATTGAACAAAAGAGGAAGAAACCAAGGGTGTCACTGCTACAGAGGATGACGTCAAAAACCTGACTTTTCAAAGAATGATATCTCGGTTAATATTGAAAGTAGAAAGTTGCGGTTTGGACAGATCTTATTATTTTTCGCCAATCTACAAGAATCAAGCATCATAACACGATTCTGTGACCAGCGCAACTGACCCATTTGGGTGTCCAGATTTTGGCAAAACAATCAACAAAGGATTTTTCCTGTTGACAAATAAAAATTTGAATTGCACGGTTAAACCACTACATTTAAAAACCTTCAAATTTCTTAAATTCCCCACACAGAATGAGGATGACTTTTTTATTTTTGCTAATAAAGCCTATTCAATTTCGGGGGCTGATGCTTTTAACTTGGAAAGGATGGCTTTCTACTGTTGGATGGTTATGGTTCAATAAAGACGTTCGAAAGGGACAGACAATTATTCTTACCGAGTCTCTCTTGGTTTTTTCTTGACATTCGGTCTATCTTTCATCAAACTGAAAAACTGAGAAACTAGCATATAATCCTTGGCTATTCTTTTTCGCCTGGCTCGTTCTCGGAGTCTTTGAGTGTACATGTCAACCTGTGTCAATTTTAAAGCTGCAAGAAAACAAGAGTAAAGAACGAAATTAATTTAAAAACAGGAAGCTTCGACGCAGGAAAATTTGTATACAAAACTTCTGATGTTCACTTTTTGGATACATGCAGTCTGGAAAAAGTTATTTATGATGGCAGAATTTTTCCTTCTATCTTTGAATTTTGAGGGGAGAAAGGTTAGTGAAAAATTTTCAAGATAAAATTTGTTCTTGGATTTACATTCTTCATTGGTAATTCTACAGGTGTGCAGTGTTGATCTTTTTTGAATGTGGTTTATGGGCACCAACCTTTGAACTTTGATCTGGCCATATATCACCACTCTTCTTGTATAAACCATGTCATCTGTACATGGCGTGCTGCGGTAAAACGATATACAAACATCCAGATGTGGCAAAATTTTCTTTTATGAGACGTTCATTTTTTAGAAAATTTATAAAAATTTTTCATTGAAATTTTCAGACACTGTAGATTGAATTGAGAAAGCAATTCTCCATTAAATTGGATGAAAAATAAACAAGTTTGCCAGAAAATTCACATTTGACTAAAGGAAATTTGGCAACGCCTGAAGGCTCATACAGCGTTTTTCCTTGGCATGCAGGGTACAACTCTGACTCTTGGCTTTTCAGGTACAACACTGAGACGGAGATATACTCTTGTGCGAGAAGAGGAAGGATAAGTTAATAAAGTGAAATTAAGAGCTTTCTGTAGGCATAAAAAAGCCTTCAGATTTTGAATTAATAGGCAACTGTTATAGAGCGCAATTGAGCTTTAAAGAATGTCAAAATTGAAAATTGCCTGCTCAGCATTGTTCAAGAGCTGGGAGGCGGAAGAGAGTTCTTACCTATATCAAGGCAGTCATCTTTGTCGTGGTTGATGGAGAGGTTTGAGATCAAGTACTCTGCTTCATTGTCGAACTCCTGAAAATTTAAGGGGAAAATGTTTTAGCCTACATAATACAAAGAGGGAAAAATATTCATTTGATACAGTCGTTAAAACTCTTGGATAAGAAGTCGTGGCTGTTCAGACAGACATAATTGCGTTTTACACAGGAACGCCTTCAGCGAATTTGAAAAATTAGGACTGCATATATTTTAAAAGAAGCTGAAAATCAAGAAAAAACCTACTTTGGGTTCTTTTGAGGGTACAAAAGTACTTAATATTGGAGAACAGCAGTTTAAAATAATAAAAAAATTTTAGGATTCATGCTACACAGTTTTCTCCTCGTAATTTTATTACAATATTGCAGTGTTGAAAAATATTACTGATGAATCAATCAGAATGGAATGTCTTCTGATTTTGTTTCCTTCGATTTTAGGTATATGAGAAACAATTAAGGTACTGGAAAAATTATGTTGAGTTGATATCATTTTATCTTATGATCCAAGCAGTTTGAGCTGAATAAAGCTCGTTTGGTTGTTGCAAATGACGGCAATATGCACATGCAAATGTGTTACTTCGTATTTCGAGGGACTAAAATTTCTGCAAGACTTTTCAGAAGAGTAATTTGCATTTATCTGTTGAAAATTCATACTGCCTGTTTATCTACTTGAAATGAAGAACGATTCTTAAATAAAATAGCTTCGTATCAGGAAAAATTAACCTTAGGCTGACCAAAAGCTGCAACTTATTGTAACTTTTGCTCTGAAAAATACTCCTTAGGGAATGCACATGATAGTTGGAAAACAAACCTTTTCAAAGTCATCACGAAGCACCATATAACCTAGTTGTGCAGCCTCCTGAGACGAAACATCTAGGAGGGGCATTTTAGAAATGGAGGCATGAGACAGAGCACCCTTTTCTTCCTTGATGGGATCGCGGTAACGTGGTCGCCTGCGCAATGCCGGAGCCCAGCACATTTTACCCAGAGTTGCATCAAGATATCTATGCACATACTCCTCTTTGGCTTCTAAATTTTGTAAAAGTTCGTCAATTTTATTAAAAATGTTCAACAATTTTATTCCTAGTTTTCAACAATTTTATTCAAAGTGATCAGCAATTTTATTCAAAATGTTCAACAATTTTATTTCATTAAAAAATTTAAAACAACCTCGGAAACTAGGTACCATCACTAAAAACTCTTAGACTCTTCAATTTTTCATTATTGTCTGTTTTGTACAAGGGCTGTCCCACAGTGACACGGACATGGTGCTGTGACTCAAAAACTCATCAACGGATAGAGCTGATCTTGAGCTCATTCAAAATATAAAGTAAAAAAAAGCGATTGCGCTAAAGATCACTATACTTGGATGAAAATTGACTAAGTTATGACACTTTAAAAACAGGTTGTAAGAGAATACCCTACCGTTTTATTAAACTTGTTTCTTTTCATTATACTCGTCAAACCATTCCCGTGACCTTTCCCCAACGAAAACAACTTGGGAACAAATGCTAATTGCTTTTTTTTATTCAAAGGGCATGGTTTATCAGCACTTTGTGGCCGATAAACCCATGGTTCATCGAATGAGCCCAAGATGAGCTCAATTTATTGATTGGTTTTGGAGTTACAGCACCTGCAGCCCGATTGTTGAAATTTGTGTCGGCACGACAAGAATTGAAAATTGATATATTACATGGCGCAGATAGGGCTATGTCTTGTCTTATCGTCCCGACATAGACGGTTAAAGTTTCAACAATCCGGCTGCAGTCCGGGTCATTGTGGGACAGCCTTTGTATTTAGGGATTTATAAGACTGATTTCTATGATCTTCACACTACTGCCCAGTAATTACCTGGATGAGACCACTGTTTTTAAAGTTCAAAATTTGAAAACAGTCAAGGTGAAGATGAATGATTCAGAATCTTTCATCTTCACACATTGTAAGGGTACCTGTTTCCCCCACCTGACTAAGTCATCAGCGCCCACCAAAAATATCTGAGAGTCCTCTTTTCAGAATTTTTAGAACAAGGTTTCTTTGCCATTCAGGGTTATAAAATTAAAACGCCACTCGGAGTTTTTCATTCTTACCCTCTGGTGTCCTTGTCTCAATGTGATTAGCTATGTCCTCCCAGTTTCCGAAACCATAGTATTCGGTTGCATCCAGTAAATGGATTTCTTCTTGAGGGGTCCATTTATTTCTTCCGAACAAACATGGCATTCCAGCATCCTGAATAGAACACATGAGAAATTGATGGTTAGATTCAATGCAGTTGTACGATTTAGCCCTCATTTATTTTAGGAATGTACCTAAAAAATTAAGGCACAACTGGTTTTCTTTGAATCAAACTTTAACTGAGGAAAAATTTTACTAAGTTTGAAAATGACACTATCTTTCAAACAGAAAAATATCGCAGAAACAGATTTGGTGACATTACATGATTTATTGGCAGTTGTTTCTGACATCATTTATTGCTTTCTCTGACATTCCATCCTTTGAGGTTATAGGCTCTTTTTGAAATGTAGTTCCTTTTGTTAATGACTTGTTTTTGGAGTTTTTCCACTTCTTTTGATGCGTTCATTGTAGTGGTGAAAAATTATAAGTTTCTAAACTTTCTGCAACATTTTATGAAGTGATTAATTTCTTTACCTGAGACTTACGATGGTTAGAACCTATAATTACTTTTTAGGATTTTAAAAAGAAAGATAAATCTAGAGAGGAACATGCATTTCACAGGGAAATCTGAGGTGTAACTTACGACAAATTGATACGGCTCATCATTCTTGTGCTGTCCAATTTCAGCTCCTGCAGAGAAACACTAGAACATAATGACAAAGAAAGCAGATGTTAAAAAAGACATGAATATTTAATTAAATTGCTTTAATCGTCACTTGACAAGAGCTTCATTGATGAATTTTTTCAGAGTTCCATAAATGGCGACATCTAATTTAGGACAAATGATTGAACAAAAAGCCACCTGGATGACCAAGAATTTTGTTGATAGCTCTGGTAGATTTATTGGTGGGAACCAACTGTCTCTGATTGGCTATCACAAATTCCACAGTTTCTGTAAAAAAACCGCCAACAGAGCTCTAACCTGTTTGTAAAATTACTTTCGGGTTGTAACAGAAAGCATGTCACAATTTAATTATCTTCTTTGACAAAATCCATTTACTTCAACTACCTAAAAATAAGTAAATTTATTTAATCGAAACAGATCTGGAAGTCATTTTTTTTTTGAGGACATAATGGTAGATTGGGTAAAACTACAAGATTTCAGCAGTCACATGGAGAGCAAAGACCACTCCATCCAACATTGTGATATTTTAATACATTATTACCCGACAAAATTCAACAAACATTTCCAGCATGAGTTTAATAGCCGTTTATTACTGTGCCTTTTAATTTGAAGTTCATTTGTTTAAAGATTTTGTCCAAATATAATGTCAAGGATGAGAATTGATCACAGGTTATTTCCAGAGCACCTTCACCCCATAAGAATCAAAGACAACGATGAATGCCCTAGTGGGCAGATAGGAACAATCAACCACATCCTTCTTCATTGCCCAAATATAAAACAACCAACAAATATCTAGAACCTCATGAGAAACCTGGATCCTCAATGATCGTTGATTCCAAAACTATCCTATCAAGAACAGAGTTAGAACTCAACCAAGAACTTGAATCCAACTTCATCAATAATCAAATCTCATGCTAAAGTACCTACCCCTTTACTAAGCGGTGGCTGTTTGTCTAATACGACTAAAGCCAAGTGGAGAGGCTATCTAGAGTGCGCAAGCTCTCCAAAAAACAAAACAAAATAATTATCCGTAGTGAAACCCAGCCCTTAACTACTTTTTAGAGGATTGACCAGATACTAGCACCGCGACTGATAGAACTACTACCAGTGGTTGTGGGCAGATCAGCGATACCCAGTTTTTGAAACTCACATGCGCCAAATGCGCCTAAGAAATCGGTCATGGCGTCTAAAAGATAAAGGCTCTGCGCCAACGTTGCCCGCAAAAATCGGCCCCTCCCTCCCACAAGAAAAAAAATCCAAATTTTTCTGTTTGGTGATTTTTTGACATTTCTCCCAAATTAAGGCTACTCGTTCTGTAACTAGAACATCATGCGTCTAAATTTTCACTGAATGCGCCGTGATATTGAGGCAAAAAGTCAATTTGGCCCCTAAAAATCGAGCTTAATGAGCCACATGGCTCCTGAAACTCAAAGATGAGTTTCGAACACTGATGATACCACAGGGCTCTTTTTTCTATCCTCAATGCAAGGGATCATGATGAACATCTGAATTTTGTTATTCTGTTCTCCAGCTGCTTTCCAAGCATTCCAGTGGATGGATCGCACTTCACTGTGATCCTAACCAAATTCATGAATTTTCCGTCCTGCGAGCGTGTCAGTACGAACAAATGATAATAACAAATCACAACAACCACCAAAATTGAATTTTTCATCACTTGGAACGCCATGGGTCAGTACAGATCGCTCGAGATTCAGTTCCAGTGCGTTCCACTGTGATCTACCCTGCAGCCTAATTGTTGGAATTTTGTGCTTGTTGGGTAGACATAGGTTAAAAGGCGGAGCGTAGGGCTGTTCTATCAGTTGTCGGTAAGCTACCAGAACAATTCCGTTGCAGATAAGTTACGAAATGAGCGCTCATACCGATAGCGATCTGAGTTTTCGGAACTGACAAAAATAAGCTGTTGCTATGTGTACATCTATTTTACGCGCCGCTGCACCAGGCAATCTGATGATCCGACACACGGGGCAACACTGCATCCAGTGTGAGCTCTTAGAACTCAGATCAGGCCGGCTGTTAACGATATCATTGCCACTGTCAGTACCGCCACCGATAACAGTTTAAGAAGATACCAATTGCGTTCCGGCAAGAATTCTTTGGAACACCCCTGGTGGAGAGTGAATGGTCAGCAATGTCTTATCGCTGCTTTATCGTGCCTTTGAAAGATGGAATGGATGACATATTGTTAGAAACTTAAGAGGCGCCTTTAGCTTGTCGTAAGTTCCACCCAACAAAGCAGCGATAAGACATAGCCGAGCAATCATGCTCTGCCATTTAACCTATGTCACCTATGTCTACCCGACAAACAAAATTTCAACAATCAGGCTGCTGTTCCGCGATAAAAAAAAAGCCCTCCTGACAGTTGATATTGAGGTCAGGACTGGCAGATCAGTTTTGGAGCGCAAAGTTAGTGAAAAACCATAACTTTCAGAGCAATGAAAATTAAAGATGCGAGGACTATCGTAAAAAGAAGTAGTTATGGAAAATTACCTGCAGACACAGCTTGAAATCCGGGCAGACTGTGCATCGCACTCTCAGTCCTTGGACTTCCTCCTGGCAGTAAGAACAAGCCCGAGGTTTAGCTGACATTGGCGAGAAGTTTCGAAAGTCGTAGGATATGAAGACTAAGACATTATGTACCTAAGATTTGAGAGGGATATGCTGTGGGGTGAAATCATTGCATTGCAGGGGAGGTAGCTTCTAGGAATATTGAGAGACTCAAAAGGCAAAGCTGCGTTTGCATAAATACACCAAAAAGATGGACAGAAAAGTATATTCTGACAAAGAACACTGGTAGGGCTTTGGAAATTGATAAAATAAAGAAAAAACGGAAATAAAACTAAAATCGTTTTCACAGTCAAAGGCCTTAAAAACAAACAACTCGTCAAAAATGACGCTCACCAATATTTTGTAACCGATGGCATCGATGACTTTGATTTCTGGAAAGTTCTCAATCTTGCAACTACGCTGCGCTAGCGATCCGTCTTGGTCTGCCGCTGATCTGCCGACTTCTTTTGTTTACAATTTGACCAAAAGTTTACCAATCAGTCATTTTAAAGTTTTAAACGTTCGCTCAATCATAACTTAGGTCCAGATCCAGTCCTAATTTCGGCTGAAATTACCGCGTGATACTGTTGCAATCAACTAATTGTGTAGACTTTCATTTCAGTAAGTGCTTTTTCATCTCTCAAACATTTTGCATCATTTCACCCAAGGTTCCTACAGCAAGTCGTAAGTCACTTTTTCATCTCAGCGAAGCAATCAGAAGCATTCGCACTCACCAGATTTTTCAATTATATCATCTTAACTTAGTAAGACGCGCAAGTTATACACCGCAAAATTTGCACCTATCCACCAATCAGGTTGTCTGCCCTATTCTTATCAACAGTAAGTACAAAAAAAATTTGTCTGCCGAGTTATGTTACAGAGTAACTTCATTAGTCACATCCTAATTTAAGCGATTTTGTGCTCTGTAGAGTAATCTGCAGAAACCTAGGTACATAGGCACTTTATAGTTCAAATAGCAGCATTGCAGAGTTTAAGTCAGGACTTATTGCCACTTGGTGACTGGGTTTCTTCTGAAGTCCTATTCCCCAACCGGGAACTAAATTAACTCTCATCGTGAACGAGTGCATCCAGCTATCCATGCATACCTACGTCCATTTTACAGCATTTTTAAAAAATGCTCAAGATATCTTAATGGATCAGGTATATCTCAATTCTGTAAACAATACTTGTGAAAGAAGAGCTGTTGGTCATTGTACGGGATGAGCTGGGCTTTACAGTATTGCAGTGTAATTTATGAATCAATCTCTTTAATTGGCAGGAGTTATTCCTGCTTGAAGACCAAAATGATTTCTGTCCATCATCTTTTTGATAGGCTGTCCTAGTTTCAAGGAGGAGCGTGTGACGAAGTTCCACAATATTGATTACTCTATCATGAACATAAATAATGAATTTAATCAAGAGCTCTTATTTTAATTGGAATCAAAGCCAAAAGAGAACGTGATAATTGCTTTTTTTCTCAGACCCTTCTTTGTCGTTATCAATGACTCCCTTTCCACCTTACCCGGTCATTAAAGTCAACTGAAGGCTGCTATTATTTTTTTCTCCTCATAACGCGTAAGAATGTTAAATAATTTGATCTCATAGCTTTCAATTTGATTCGGTCTAATCAATTTGGTATAGAAAAATCTAAATCAAATTGCACTGATTTTTAAGGCAGATTTTTCCTTATACCTAATCGATGCTCGTACTATCCAAAATTAATCAGCCTGGAAATTCCATTTCCAAGAGGAAAGCAAAAATTCAGGCAACATTATAAATCAGGGCAAAAGTGAAAATCTTTGTGTTATGCTTTGAATTATGAGAAAATAAGAAAAAGTTCCGAAACAGTTCAGCAGTTTTAAGATTATAAAAAACTCGATTTATTAAAATACTCGATTATAAAAAACTAAGATTATATAAAATCTCGGATTTTTTTCTTCCTCTAATTTTTCCCTTTTTTACTTTATCTCGTCTCTTTTTTGGTTTTATTTTCATGATAAATATAATTCACCTCATCAAACAGGGGGGGGGGGGCTTTGTTACTTACCCACTGCAATTTTTAAAACCACTTAAAAAAATGTTGTATCCGTTTAAGAACCCTGTTTTGCGATATGTGTTTGAAAAATAAACTTTTACTGCCAGTCCGAGGAGAAAGCAGTAAAATTTCCAGAGAAAGTCATCCAGGGAATTTTTTGCAGACTTGCAAAATGCAAGGGGAAAACTTTGACAACGTTGCATGACCTCATATTAAATGTAGTGTTGGGACAGTGGTGTCCCTAGAGGCAACGACTGTGACTGTTAAATGAAACTTTCAAAATGCTTGTAATTTTCAGAATGAAAAGGGTTTTTTAAAAAAAACTCATAATTTCCAAATAGGAAAGGCTCCGTTGGTATCTTTCAAAGTCAAATTTTGGAAAGATGAATCAACAGTGAAAAAAATGTTTAAAAACCCTGAAAGTTCAATTGATTGTGAGTAGTTTTTTAACTTTTAACTTGTTCCAAGACGAGTAGAAGAAAAAACTTCCACTAAGATCCACTGCAGTTTTTTTAACTATTATAATGTTTAAAAAAATTGTTCCAAAACTCTTAAAAATATTTATAACTTTTTTTCTATCTTTATTTTTAAAAATAATTGACATACTTAAATTTTAAGAATTTCTAAAAAGTGTTTTTCGACAGTCACTTTTTTTTAACTTGAAACGCTTACAAAAATTGTTCAAAAACTCTAAAATAACTTTTTAATTTATTTTTTTTTATATTTTTTAAAAACTCGTTGGCTTTAATTTCAAGAATTACTAAAAAGTGTTTTTCTACAGTCACTATTTGTCTTACTTTAAAATGTTTGAAACACTGTTTTCAAAAACGCTTTAAAATAGTTTCAAAATTATGTTTTGAAAGACTCATTGACGCTAATTACAAAAAAATTTCCAAAAAGTTTTTTCAACAGCCACTTCCGCTAGGGTGGAGAGACCTTAAGAAGTCCCAATTCGTCACCTACCGGCCAAAGTATCACAAGCGCCATGCGACGTTTCAAAATTTCCTCCGCTTTTTTATTTTTTTACAGAGATATTGTTCGACGAAGCTGTCCGAAAATTTCACTAAATTTTCTTCAACCTCTCTGTGAAAAAATAAGATGGCGGCGGAAATTTTGAAACTTCGCATGACGCATAGAGGTAAAAAGGAGGTGTTTGCATTTTGGGCATCTTGGACTTTTTTTGATGACGCACGTCGGCACGTACGATTTTTATCATCGATTTTCTTGGAAATTGTGTAGTTTATGGATACAAGTCATTCTGTATCCAGTGTTTGAAATTATATCATGAGTAGATTTCAGCAAAAAAAATCGGACGTTATGGTCCATTTTTCATACTTTGACTTCCAGATTTTGCTGGGGTATTCGTACCGACCCACGTCACGGGGTAATCAACCCTCAAGATCTCAAGATGCAAACACCTCCTTTTTTTTCTCTATGCTGAATCCGCCCCCTCCTCATCATCCTGCCGTGCTAAGGAAAAACGCCGTATGAGCCTTCAGGCGTTGCCAAATTTCCTTCAATAAATCACGAATTTTCAGGAAAATTTGTCAACGCTTTTCCTGCAATTTTTCAGATTATTTTGTTCGCAATTTCACCTAAATTTCCTGGAAATTCCAAGGAAAAATATTCATAGCTTTCCTCAAAAATAAACATTTTATCGAAGGTAATTTGGCAACCCTCGAATGTTCATACGGCGTTCTTCCTTAGTGCGGCAGCATCAGCATCAGCGCCACGATCACCCCCTCCCCCTTCGTCCTCCGTCCGTAATCCTCTTCCCCTCAAATCGCCCCCTCCCCATCTCATCCACGCACACATTTTTATAAATTATTTTTGCATTGTTACCGTATGTCCTCCATCCGGGTTTCAAGATCTGTCATTCCTCGATAGTAATTCCCGTGTTTTTTTTTCTCCATTCAGCCGGGAGCGAGGGTCTTGCGAAGTGCGGCGAAGCATGGAGGGTCGCTGTTGAGAGGCGCCGGATCAATATCCGCGGACGCGGAAGTGCGGCGGGTTGCGGCACGCGCCGGTAGAGGGCGCGCGGTCCCCAGGATCCCCGCGAAACGGCGGCAGGCACGGCAGTATGTGGGATGGTAAGTAGCCACGCAACTTTCATCGGGCTTTTCGTCGGCAGAGTCGTTTCTGTTATCAGCGTTCGCTGTTCCCGGGCCCTCGCCGGAGGAGAGGATGTATTTCAGTAGGTATTTTGTAGTGTGACCGCGGGTAACCACCCTCGGGGATGTTATCTCGAGGGGTCTTCCAGTTCGGGGGTGAAGGAGCGGATCTGCTGGAGGATCTTCTGGAAAGTTCGGGCTGTAATGAGGGGAATGTTGTAGCAATTTAAGATTGTGTTTTCATCCCCCTCTCTCCTTTCCGCCTCAACCCCCTCCAGAAAGGAAAAGGGAGAGGGTTGCGGTGAGGTTTTTGAGGATCTTTGCGATAAGAATTCCTAAAAATAGAAGTACTTCCTCGGAAAATGACCCAAGATTTTTCGCAAAATCGGGACTTCGGCAAAGCTGAAATGTTCAGAATTTTTATATTTTGTTCATTTTTTTTTTTTTTTTTTTTTTTTTTTTTTTTTTTTAGGGGGAGGGTGTTATGATGGTTCGATTTGGCATGCGTTTGTTTTCTGTGAAGGAGGATTGTGTGAGCACCTGTGAAAATATCAGCAGGGGATTTGCTGTAGATTTCTCTGAAAAATGAGTCTGTGACCAAACTGAGAGTGAGTTTTTTTCTGTGTTCTTCCAATTATTTTGTTGAAACCACCAGTACAAAAAATTTCTTTGTTTCTTCTTTTTGTGTGAATGGTTTCATGAATCATCTTTTTCAAAATTTAATATTTTTTTTAGTTTCTGTCAAAATTCTTGACAGTTGGATCAAAGCTATGTATCGATTTCTACTTCATATTTACCAAAATTTGATTCCCTAACAGGTGTGTTTAATCTTTTGTAATCAAACTTTCTTGCAGAAAAAATTGTCTGTTGCTGATTTAAGTTTTCTTTATTTTCCAGCAACTATTTTCTTGAGCACGCTGACACCAAAATTTTATGTCGCTCTAACTGGAACTTCCTCCTTAATCTCAGGATTGATTTTGGTAAGTCAAGCTACTTGTTTGAGAAATTTTCATTTTGAAACTACTGAGGAAGCCAATGTTTAATTAATGCCAAAGAAAAGAATAAAGGTCAGAATTGTTCAAAATTGTTTCATAGAAAAAAATGATCAGTATAGGAAAGACTAGTGTCCCAAGTTTTTTTCTGAAAAGTTTGTGTGACAGCTTCTTAGGAAATATGTAGAATTTGCACTTAAATAAAGGCCAGAATAGATAAATAAAGAACAAAAACAGGAGAAAAATTTAAGTAGTTATGTGAATGCTCTATCCTCACAATGAGACTTTAAGTACCTAACCATGAAGTGTTGTTCAATTTTATTTCACACATGGAAAAAAAAGGATTGCTGATTTAACAATGCAATTGTTTAAAAATATGTCCGACATGTTTCAAATGTACATTTTACAATGTGGAAAGCTAATTTAACCACGAGGGTGGTTACATTAGCATTTTTTTATTGTAAAATCTACGTTGAAACATGTCAGACACTCTTTTTAACTACAAAATTGTTCAATCAGCAATTTCATTCTTTCTGTGCACTGAAGTTTCAATTGTACTCTTTTAGTCTTGGTCATTCTCATTGTTGTTGTCAACGAAATTTTCTTTTAGATTTTTGAATGGTGGTACTTCCGGAAATATGGGGCATCGTTCATTGAGCAAGTTTCCCTGAATCACATTAGTCCATGGATCGGCGGCGGGGAAGCTATTGGGAACTCTGGGACATCTAACTCTCCTCCGCAACCACAGCCAGTGCCAGGTCCGTTATACATTTCAAAGTCTTACTTAGGTCTTCAGCCTGTTTATGGTTCTATCAATGAATTGATTCTAATGTTTACAAGTTGAAATAATTGTCAAAATAATGAAGCTGGGCCGAATTTGAACCAATGAAAGCAGATTATGGATGTGCAAATTGTTATGTGTAAATAGGTGAAATGTATTTATATTGACGTGTATTTTTACCTTTCAAAGAAGGGGCTCCATGTACAAATAAATAAATAAAGGATTAGTAACTGTCCATAGATGGAGGGACATTAATGCATTGAGGTAGATTTTTTACTTTCTCGCTCCCCTAGGGTAGAGGAAGTATTGTCATCCTGCAAGGGGGGGAGGGGAGTTGAAATTTCATCATTTCTAGTTTTCAGTGGGGTCGAAAAATCGAATTTTGAGTTTTGAACTGCATGGTGCATACCACGGTTTTGATAGTTGATTCTATTTATAAAAATCGAATTTTTTATGATCACTTACGACTTATTATTAATAAGTGAATTATTTATGCGTCCCCCACTTTTGACAATCAAGTGCTTATTGTTGCATAATTTTTATTTGCAAATGAATGGCTTTAAAGGGAATTTTTTATTCAAACACTTGCTTCCATGAAATTTTTCTCCCCAAAAAGTCAGTGAGTATGAATGAAATGTGAATATCATTTTTCTCCTTAGAGTGTAAAGTATGGCGGAATCCATTGAATCTGTTCCGAGGAGCGGAATATCAGAGGTTTCTCTGGGCAACAAACAAAGAACCACTCACATATTACGATATGAATCTATCTGCCCAGGATCATCAAACTTTTTTCACCTGTGAGGCCGATGCCGGCAAAGCTGAGTATGAAAGTAAGTAAATTATCTCTATCATAATTATTCTCCTTAACAGTTTTTATTTCCTTAGTTGGGGCGGGTGCTTCTATTGTTTTTAACCAAAAAAGTTTCAATAGTTCTGAAAATAAGAGCACCAGTCAAATATTATGTAAGGCATATCATATCTGTACAGCACACAAATTACATAACCGACAGGCTTGACAGTGAATGTGTTGAAACCAGGGTGCTGTTTAAGATTTTTGCAGAGCCAGGAATAGAATGATAAGGTTTTTTCATTTCATTACAATTCAGTGAAACAACACAGCAGGTAGGGGTGGTCGTGTTATCAGACTAAATAATCAAATAAAACAACCTAACTTTAGAAAAGTCGTTTTTTGAAACTCCATCCGTCAATTTCCATGCCTTATTTACCTTTCTTGTTGCCATGCTGAGCAGTTCTCCCCAACCTGAGTCCAAAACTCAGGGCTGCAGCTGCCATTTAGTTGCCTGATTTATTATTGTTCTCTTTTTATTTTTACATCTTTTTTTACTGTGTTGTACATACATCCGTAAACTCTCCAAATTAAATTAGCGAAAAAACGTTCACAAGTAATCTAGATTGTGATGATACTATTATCTAACTCTAGTCGCCAACTTTTAAGTGGATTGAAAGGTGTCTTTCTCTGTGACTCGCCAGTATTCAATTTAGTCCCTATTTTTTCCTAAAACTTTACAATAGCCATTTCAGGAATTGTTCCCATCGGCCAGTACTAAAATAATAATAATGCCAGCGTCGCCATTATAAAGTCTTGAAAAAAATTCGGACTAAATGGGTTTGTTGCGCGCGAGAAATACAGCGGAATTAGTTTTCTCTTAACATTTGAAATTGCATAAAAATCACGCTGAGCACGCCAAAAAAGTCTGGTATCTGCTCCCTGGTGCGCTATCTGCACAGTTTGTAACACACTCTTTCAAGTTGCCTGTGTCTGCGGGCAGTTATTCTCAGTCACTGCGGCTCAGGTTTGAGAGGAATAAGAAAAACTAACCTGATTAAACAAACGATCTCACTAACTTTTTCTTTCGTACGATTTCAAGCGTTTATTTCCCTTTTCTTTTTTTTATTTTGCAAAAACAAAAGCTTAGAATCGATTGAAATCTTACGCAAGGTGAGTTTATAACAGTTTGCGAGATTGTTTGTTCATTCAGGTTAGGTCTCTCTCTGGGCAAACCTAACGACCAGCCACCAAGAAAAACTGCCTGCTGTAAATTTGAAAAAACGTGTTACAAACTATGCAGATTGCGAGCTAAGGAGTGGATTACAGACTTTATTGATATGTCCAACGTGATTTTCAAGGGAATTTCCCGATCGAGAGTGTATTTAGTTGGCTGTATCTCTTGCATGCAACAGCCCATTAAGTATTGGTGAGTCTCAGAGAAAGGTACCTTTTAAACTACAATCTAGGTAGGTTTTACTCACATTTTCATGAATTCAAAGATTCCAAAGTCAAGAAGAATAGGATGTAGGTCTTCTCATGTCTCGCTTATATCATGTATAAAATGATTGATTATTTCATCTTAATTTCTCAGTCATGCAAACTGCTTGGAGAGAAAGGAATCCTGCAGCGCGGGTCAAAGCTGCTCATGAGGCTCTGGAGAAAAACCCTGATTGCGCACCAGCTTACATCTTGCTAGCAGAGGAAGAGGCAACAACTATACTAGAGGTTGAAAGCATTTTGAAGAAAGCTCTCAAGTGTGCTGAGATCAATTACAAGAAATCTCAGTTAGCCCAACATCAAGGCAGTGGGTCTGAGTCTACTTACCGTAAGTTTCATAAAGAGCATCCAGATAATTTTCATTTTTTGAAGATGAAATGTGATTTTTTTGTTATTACCGATGTCTAGCATTTGAAATTTCTGAATATCAGTATTGAAAAAGTAAGTCTGGAATCAGCAGTTTTACATATCAGCGAAAAGGAAATTGTTTTTCCGTTGAAAAATTTGTAACATTCACTGCCAAGCCGGTCATAGTGAATAGCGTCTTTAATCTTGCTGCTGTATGATAGAGACTTTTTCTATGGGCCCTAAATTTTAGAGTACTAACACACACTACTGGTTGTGTACAAAACCGATGAAGAGCATTAGTCTCTCAGCCATTGGCGCACACTAACATTTGAAACATTTTAATTCCTGAGCCCTTTGCACGTTTTTTTAGCCTAACAGTAACGATTCTGCCAAAACGCATTAATAGTGAACATGTTGAAAGGTTCAAGATGGCAGCTCTCCTCTAAAAAATAATCCTAAGAAGTGCTCAAATGAAGAATATATAAATATTCTCTCTTCATAAATTTGGATTTTCTCTCTTGTTTCCAAGAGGATGCAATGTAAAGCTCCCACTATGATAGATTAAATTATTACCACATTTCTATCTTGCTGTTTTCAAATTACTTGTTTTGTACCATTCATTAAAGGCTTGTTTCATTTTGTTTTAATGTAGGAAGGGATACAAATGTCCTTATTTACATTAAACGAAGATTAGCTATGTGTGCAAGGAAACTTGGCCGGCTAAAAGACGCTGCCAAGATGTTTAGAGATGTAAGTAATTTCCTCTACATCTCCAACCTTGATGTACGATTTGATTGATTTCTTTTAGAATTATGTTGATCTCAATGAAGATTGAGATCCCTGAAAAATTCTTTCTACCCTGTGACCATATGGATCTCCTGTACGCAAGAGATGCAACTAAGTAGGTAGACTTTCTACAGGTACAATGGGTCACTTAACTGTGAACGAATTTCGACTTGCGAATACATTTTTCTGAAGGTAAATGACGCGTAGAACCCGATGCACACATTGAAAACGCAAAAAAGTAACTCAATAACTGAGAAATACACAGTTCAAATCACTCAACTTATCTGCAAATTTATAACGCACCGGTTTTGCACCGAACGGAATGATGTCATCTCGCACTAATCAGAAGTTAGCATGGGTTTCTACAACTTCCATCAAATGTCTATATACTCCTCGTACGGAAGAACAATACTAGAGTCATTAGTATGTCTTTAGAATTAAAGAATCAAATCTCATTTATGTTACCTGTAGTAAACAAGCAATAATTCCGCATTGAAATACGTTTTATTTTAACACACATCAGTGGGAAATGAGAGAAGATTGCGATTTGACTACCATAGTACATCACCACCGTTAGTGTCCCGCCTATCGGGTGCGTTTGAAATGTCTTGCACTTTTTGGATTTTTCAAGAGTGGTTTTCTCTGCGATTTCGGCTCCATAAAAAAGTGGAAAAATCACCACATTTTCTACTCACCTCATACTTTTAAAATATTAAATAAAGTGAACAAGGTTTAGTGACTCATTGCCTAAAACTCACAATAGGCACTTTTAAAAAGTCTGAAACTATTTCCTTAACAAATCTCCCAATCCAATCTGTGCAGTTTGTATCATGTTTCTTTAAAATTGCCTGCATGCAGGGGTAGTTTTTCTTAGTTGCAGGCAATTAAGTAGGTTTCCTTAGAGAGGGGGATTGGGGGAGATAGAGATAGAGACGCAAGAAAATCCAATTAAAATAAGCAAACAATTTTGCAAACTATTACAAATTTTCCTTACAAATGGTTTCTGCAGGAGTGCAGAAACTGCCTGATCAAGCGCCTGCCCGGGCGAGTGAAAATGAGGAAAAGCCCCAAAAAATGTGGAAGGAGGGAACATTTTGAAGGGCCAAAAGTCTAAAATCGAAGAAAAACGTCATCTCTTTTTAGATTGGTAGGAAATTTTGTGGAAAACTGATAAGAAAGATGTGGAAAGCCGGCTGGCGGGCGCGTGAAAATGTGGAAGCTTGAAAGATTCTGCACCCCTGGGTTTCTCTTGACTTATAGCATTGTGTCTAACCGGGATTCAGCAGGGATTGAAAAATTTAAGGGAAAATGACAGAAAAATAAGTGAATCTGTTCCAGAATCTGGGGATCTCGTTCTTCTACCGCTTTGACACCATTTTAAGGTTTATGTCATTGCACCTGATCTGCCATTGTTGACCTCGTCAATCTTCAAACGCTCAGAGTGATAGAGACACTTTCATTGGCCACATAATATAAACATCAAAAACGCGTTTGGAATTAAATATTCTAATGTTCGCCAAGGAATTGGCTGAAAGATGAAGAAAATTTATATTCGTATCTGGAATTCTGGGGGATTATATAGTTTTCCCCAAGAATATCCTGGGGAAGTGGGAAAAAAATCCAAATTTCTCATCTAGGAATGTGCTTTTGAAAATCAGGAAAAAAATCAGGGAATGAGCAAAGTCAAGAATTTTAGACATCATGATTTCAGCTTTTTTTTTGCAACTCATATATCAAATCAAATCTATTCTCTCCAACCCTGAGCAACTGTTTGAAATGATTTCTGTGCAATTTTAATTTATGAATTCTTCAATTTTCTATTTTTCCAGTTAACTAAAGAAATTCCTCCGATAATGAGTGTTCTAAACATTCATGAGAATCTCATAGAAACGCAGCTGGAAATGCAAGCCTATGCAGATGTCCAAGCTGTTCTAGCCAAATATGATGACATTAGTCTTCCGAAATCTGCTGCAATATGTTATACAGCTGCGCTACTTAAATCTAGGGCTGTTGCTGACAAGTAAGTTTTCCTCTCAGTCAATCAAGTTTCCACGAAAAAATTCTCTCACATGACCTAACATTAGGACGATTAGGCTCTCATCTCTAAGAAATCGTTACGTTGTTTTTGAGATAGTTGCAGGTCTCAAGAGAAAACACGATTTCCAGGTAGATTTGACCAGGTAGACTTCCCTTGCTGCAGAAAATTACGTTAATATCCCATGAATTGGAAGTCTCATGAATGGACCACTAGACAAGGTACAAATTAAAGCATTTTAATACATGTTTCTTCACTAGAATTTCACGTAGCACACGATTCTTGAATCAAAAATCACTGATTTAAACTCCTAACTAAGATATTAACATTTTAATTTTACATCGGCAATGGGAAATTTGGATTGCCCAGTCACAAGAAACACAATACTGCCCGTGAATCAAATTTTGCACTACAGCGGTTTTGGCAGGCTTCTCAATCAAACATTGTTCATTTCCCACTCTTTTTTGTTCAAAGTGTGAACAATATGCTATAGTGTATGCTATGTCATTTTCGTTGCACGAATCGTGTTCTAGGTTAAATTTTGATGAGAAACATGTATCAGAATGCTTAACTTTGTACCTTGCCTAGTGGTCCATTGAGAATTTATAGTGTTCCTGGTATAAAAAAGTGTTCTTATTGAAAGATCCACTCCATTTTCCTGCAAGGTTGATTGCCTCTGAAATGCAAAGAAAAAACCCAGCATATTTGTAAGACAAGAAACCCTTACTAATAGCTGTTGGAATTTTTCCGAGCAGAAATGAGCAGAAAATGAGCAGAAATGAGTCTCTACCAAGTATGTCAGTTTTCAGGTCAAGTAACCCAGCGCACAGATAGACAGGGTAACAATGCTTTGATTTGGGGCTCTAGCAGTTTTGATAATGCCAATCGTTTCCAACATGAGTGCCTTATCAGAGTGTATCAGTATTTGGAACTAGCTATATTGATAGCTTACGGACAAAAATTTGCTTGAGCACCCTCATCATTGATATTATTAATTTATTTCCAGATTTTCTCCTGACATAGCATGTAAAAGAGGTCTCACTCCAGCAGAAGTTGTCGCAGTAGAAGCAATTCATAGAGCTGTGGAATTTAATCCTCATATACCCAAAGTGAGTTTTTTCATTCTTTGACAGCTCTGATTTTACAGGTTGATCTGTAAGGTAGAGACGTATAATGACTGGCAAATAATGAAAAACGCAAATGGAATCTTCCGGTGCTTAGAATACCCTGGAGACTTCAGAAAGATAAAAATTGCTAACTCTTACAAAAGAATCGTTCAGTTGTGCTAGTCACAATTGTTTTGATGGTTTGAGCCTCCAGATGAGCAAACAATAATAAGATCCATCCAAGTGCATAGTTTCTACATTTAATATTAATGGAGATATCGCCTCTGAGCAGAGCTGGATTTAAAACAAGTGCATCTGCACTGGGCAGCAAATTTTGGGAGGCGGCAAATTATTGATTTTTTAATTTTTATATATACATATATAACTTATTAGAATTAGCGTATGATATCTTCACCGAGAAGACAACAACATGGCTTTTACATGTATTGTATGATTAGGTCACCTTTGAGACTTTTATTTACCTATTACATTATTCGGTTTTTTTTTTTTGGGGGNGTTTGCAATTAAATTTTCTGTACTTAGCCCAAAAAAACTTAAACTGGTTTACAGAAGGCTATATCTCTGTTAATATTCGACGTTGAAACTCGGTGTTTTGGCATATCTTATTATCTGAAATTGTCAAAACACAAATTTGTGACTCGAGCAACTGACTTATTCTGCAGCGCTATGGAATATCATCGTACGAGCCCTAGGAGTTGCCAGATTTCTCCCAATAAAACACAAATTTTTGAGAAAAGTTGTGAGTACAGATATTTTCCTTTAAATTTTCTGATACCTACTTTCAATCAAATTGTGAATGAAATTCTCTGAAAAGTTGAGAGAAAAATATCCAAAAGTTTCCTCGAAAATTTTTACTCAATGGAAGGAAATTTTGCAATGCTTGAAGGCTTGTGTGGCGTTCTGTAGCATGACAGTATAAGAAGAGGACAGTGTTTGTCCACATGAGAGGACCTCCAGACTCTTTATTCAAAGAATGCTCAGAATAAATTTCGATAAAGACGAAATGAAACTATCTCTGAGACCCATTTAAAAAGATTTAATGTTGATTCTTAGAAGTTCTTCTTAGCCTTTTTGGACTCATTGGTTCTCTTTTGTGGCAGTACTTATTAGAAATGAAGCCTTTGATTCTACCACCGGAGCATATTTTAAAACGTGGTGACTCGGAAGCAATCGCATACTCTTTCTTTCACCTTTCTCATTGGAAACAAGTGGAAGGCGCTTTGAACCTTCTTCATTGCACGTGGGAAGGCACTTTCAGAATGCTCCCTTATCCGCTTGAGAGAGGGCACCTTTTCTACCCTTATCCAACTTGCACTGAGTGTGCAGACAAAGAACTATTGCCAGGTATGTAATACCTATTTGTGCTAACTCCTTCAATGACTGATCTTCCTTTTAGGTATGATCTGTAAACTTTATTTGAAGCAAACTATAAGTTACTCAATCAATAATGAGGCTGCTGCAGGGATGCTGAGTTTTAATTGATCTTTTGAGCAGAAAAATCGGTCACAAAATCGATTTTTTGACCAGAAAAATCGATTCAATTGAATCGGTTTGATCTAGCTGCGATTTTGTTTCTGTAAGTCGATGAAATTTTGCGATATTTTCGATTTTTTTTTTTATTGACAAAGCTTCTCTCATAGGCTAAAGTCTATCCCACAGAAGTATCTTTTCAGTTTTGTGCTGAATTTTTACCCTTGAAAAGTTGTTGAAATTTCATGGAAAATGGAAGTACATGGATCATCAAAATGAAATTTGACATCTCTAATGGAGGCCAAAAAAATCGACTTTTACCCGTATATCGATTCAGCTTTTATTGATTTTTAGACAAAAATCCACACCTCTAGGCTGTTGCATAGTGCTGAAATTGCTTAGAAAGTTTGTAAGACACAACTCGCATTGTAAATTTGAGCAAGAAGTTCATTTCCGATCTCAAAAAAGCGCAACTGGATAGAGCCCTCTTCAAAAAATTGTATGCACTTTAAGACTACAACAGAAGATCCACCATCTTGATTCTTGCGTTTTCCTTCAATGCTAAACTGACGGCACGAAATCTTCTGCCGCACTCTAAAGGTGTGTAAACTTATTTGGCGTCAACATTAACAAAGGCTCAAAATTTTAGTTACTCAGAGACCGTTTCTCATTGACCTGAAGCTCATAATGTCGTATGAAGTGACGACTCTTGGTATTGAACATTGTGAATCCAGTGCATACCAACGCCTTTGCACGATCTGCACCTGTGTTATACTGTTATCAAACCATTGGAACTTTTCTACTCATTTAAATTAAATGTTCAAACAAATGTAAACATTTGATAAAAAACGAGCTATTTTCATGATTTCAAAAGGTGCAAGTGTATCCACGATCTTTTGTGACCTTATAAGCATAATTGGGATTCATAACCTCTTGTCATAATAATTGTGACCAGGAAGTAAATGAACAAATGCAGGTAAATGGATTCAGTCATACTCCTTTCATGGCCAAATTTTATATCCTATTCGATCAGGCAATTCAACCATAGTAAATTTTTATTATCTCTATTTTACAGCGTTTCATGATGTAAGTGTCTACCCGAAAAAAGAGCTGCCATTCTTCATTCTATTCACTGCAGGTCTCTGCTCCTTTACTGCACTTCTTGCCTTACTCACGCACCAGTACCCTATGTACATGGGAATCGTTGCCAAAACTGTAAGTACCTACCTTTTGGACAGCTGTAATGTAATAAAAAAGAAACGGGCTTTGTTGTGTTCCACACAGCAAAATTTCCACAAGTGGTTCTTGTGTTTGTAAAAGAAAACCAAGCACTATTTTGCTTCTGAATTTCCTAAGAGTATCTCTTTGATCATGAAAAGTAAAAATTGAAAATTGTAAGGCACGCTCATTAGTATTCCTTAAATAAAAAAAATTGTGAGGAAAATCTTGCAAAGTGAAATACAGTCAAGCTCGATACGTATGTATTCATTTTCAAAATTATTTAGCACCAAGAGAATTGAAAAGCAAGTTGTTTTCGCATCTTGTAGCGAGGTGATGAGCAGGAAAAGTGCTTTCATACTAGAAACTTGCCTTCAAATTGGAAGAAAATGTTGAAATGTTTTTGGTTTCTTTGGATGTATTTCTATCAAACAGATTTATGTGCAGGTGAGAAATATGGGGTGTGCTCGTTAGTTCTCTGTCCGTAAGAGTGAATGAGAATAATAAAGCGCCAGTGACGTTAGCGGCAATGATCGAGCTGTGACGCGCGGGGGAGTTTGTTGTCGGGGCGCTTTAACTCATGAGCCCTGTCCACAACAATCTCGCCCCATGCCTGCGGCTCATGAATCCTGCATTCAGTTGCCACATAGTTCTCTTTGCTGAATTTAAAATCCAGCTTTTCCAATTCTTCGAAAGGAATCACGACCAGTTTTACATTGTTTTTTATGCAGCTTTCTAGAGCACACCTCATATTTCTCACCTGCACATAAACCTGTTTGATAGAAATTCGTCCATTTTAGGAGAGGCTCGAGGGGTAATTTATTTTTTATTTTCTTCTTTCTTAGCTCAGATTATAGGTCGGTTTCTGAAATAGGTACAATCAGATTTTAAAATGCTTTCCCTTGAATTAAAGTCCAAGTTTCGGAACTAGTGGATTACAGCAGTTTTACTGCGTTTCTCTTGTTTTCGTTTCTGGTGCTTGAGCTTTTTTAGACTAACCAATTCAACTGTGTGACTCTGTGAAATGATTGAAAAACTAACCTTATGGTTCTGATTCTAAGTGTATCATATGCGCTACAAACTCGTATTTTTGTTTTCAGATGCTCGGTTGGGCTTCCCTCCCCTTCCACTTTATACTCGACAAATTAGAGGCTCTCCTGCCGTCTAACATCTTGCAACAACTCTCCAGAATATAAGCCAGTTACGCTGTGAAATTGTTGGATTGCGATGGCATGAAAATTTATTTTTTGACGAAATTAGTTTTTAAAAGAAAAATTGAACTGAATCATGTAGCTTTTAAAATATTCCCCTGTCTCCTAAATTTAAGTCTCTATTTAATTAATTATTTATTTTTATCAATAAAAAAAACTGTTAGTTCCTAATGTCCCGAGTTAGTTTTTCTTGACATTTTCAGTATCAGGAAACTGGAAAGAGAAGAGTTTTTTCTGTGCTTAGTGAAGCAAGAACGATTTGTTGGGTAATCATTTAATTAAAAACTGTACAAAAACAAGGAAAACAAAATATGTTTACCACAAATACTTTTGGTGGTGAAAAGACAAGGAACAGGTGGTAGAATTTGTAATAACTATCTATTTGTCCTCCAAATCTGCTCATATTTGCTATAATTTATGATTTGCTTGATAACATCCAACCGTTCTTCTTCAGAGAGAGGAAGCATTTTGATAAATGGAAGAAAGCACTGTAAAAAAATGAAATAATTGAGTTAAAGATCAGGATATTTGAGTTTTAAAAAGGTACACCAAGGTGGGAAAATAATTTCCTTTCGCAGAAAAACGCCTGACCAATCAGAAATACTTTTGTTGATAACTTAAGTTCAAATACATATTTTGACTCGACTGGACAGAAATTACTCCCCTTAAAAATGTCTACCTCCGAACTTCGACTTTTTTGCAGAGGGTGTTACATATGTATTTTCAAATTGGAAATATGATTGATAAGATAATTAGGCACATTTATTTCAAGCATTCACAGAAGTGATGACCTCTCAGAGACCCTCAAAAATTTGAAAATCTAGTAGAAACAGAGACTTACAAAGTGAGGTTCGATGCCCAATTTGGTGAGGAGCCTTTCGCGCAACCTCATGTAACCAACAGGTTCTCCAGTTTTATAACAATGCCCGAACTCTCCAGTGCCGTAGATACAATGCCACTTTCCTCCAGCTGATGGTAAAGTGGTTTTCAAATATGCATCAGGCCTAAGTTCTTCGGGTATTGGTAAAGGCCTTCCTGTCTCTTCCTCCAGACAGTAGATTATGTCTGTGAAACAGTGATTTGTCGTCAGTAAAATCCTATACCAAAAGCTTAAATCGACAATAAGAGTTTCGAAGCAGTTCTCACAAAATTTAGAATCAAATTAGATGTATCTTTCAGGGTTTCCACTTGTTCTCAATTTTGAAATTCCCTGTGTTTTTCCTGCAGTGTTGGCAGAAAATAACTCTGCTAAAATGCATCTGTCGCAGAGGTGTAACCTAGCCACTCTGCCGAGACTCTGGTAAACTTAAAAACGTTAATTTTAGCTTTTACAAATCTTGTCCAACTTCACTACTGTAGAATACTGTTCTACATTGAAGTGATTATGTGCAAATGGACGAAATTCAAGGATTTTGAAAAAACAGAAATTCCAGAGTTAGCATCCAATTCCCTGGGTCTTCACTCTAAGTTGAATTCCTTGGGTTATTGAGTTGAATTCCTTTAGTTTTCCCCGTAGCTAAAACCCACATCTTTTCAATTTTCACTAATCTGTAAGATTCAAACCTCATGACAAGCGAGACATAAGGGTTGCAACTATTTCATTTTAACATGTAAAAACAATGCTTCTGAAATTTTCTGCGGTTTTTGTTTACACAAATGAGATAACCCCCCACGGTTCGTTTCAGAGGGAGGTAAATAAAATAGTGTTGCCCACTCAAAATTCCTTCGGGATCTTGAAGTAGGATGCATACACAGTCATTTAAGCCTAAAATGAAAATATTCTGTCGAGCTCTTCGAAAATAAAATCGATTTTTGTGTTTTTGGCGCTAAAATGGCCTTCAAAAACGATCAATGATTCAATTCCGATGGGTTGTGCATATGTAAAATGGTACATGTATGATGAAATCTACGTATTTTTGGACCAGGAATCGATTGAGCAGGGTCCCGAATCGGTCCGAAGCTTCATTGACCGGAAAATGGGCCTTTTTTTGGATTTTAGGGATGTTTTGGGCCCATTTTTTCCCAATTTTGTCGTGAGAAAACCTGTGCCGTCATGGGTATTGATTATAAGGTAATTTCGGGCGAGAAATCGAATGCGCTTGGTCCCGAGTCACTCCGGGGCTTCTTAGGCCGAAAATTTTTTCTCGGCTTGGTTGGGTTAAGATTATTTGTTTGACCGAAAAAGGAGGGAAAATAGTTATTCTGCATATATAAATATCATAAATCCACAAGAGGAGTTCATTTTTCGAGTCCAAATCCATACCGTCTCTTCATAAAGCGCATACGATTTCTCGTCAGAAGGTCTTTGAAAAAGAGAAATTGATGTGTACGGCATATTTTCTCGGTCGAAATAAAAAGTATTGATAGGAATACCGCTGATACCGCTGGTGGATGTATTCCTTTGGATATTTCGTGATTGATATTGATTTGTTACGTTGCAGCACTAGAAATTGAACTAGATCTCATGATCAGAGAAATATGTATTTGGAAAATTTGTCCAAGTATCATGAAAAAAAAATATTCCTCATACACAAAACAAAAAAATAAGAATAAGATCATTGGTTATGGTACAATCAGCAGCTTTGCTCATGCTTTTATTTACAGTTCGGTTAACAAGCTCGTACAGACAAGTTGTTAGAGAAGTAGTACAAAGGATCCATGCCAAAATTCTGGGAAAATAGGAGTAGCAAAAAGATCAACACACAATGAAGATCCAAAGAGTAATCAATCAGAAATTCAAATTTAATGAAAATGATTAAAAGTGAAGCAATATCAATCGGTCAAGTTTGTAGTGATGGTAAAAAGTAAATGAAAATGAAAGTAAGAACTCAAATCTACATTTAATTCAAGTCAGAAAATGAAAATCAAAAGGCGGAATGGAAAATTGCGGTGAAAAAAGTTGAAGCAGATTTGAAGCGTTCGCAAAAAGTCGCTGTCCACACACAAGACATATATATGGACAACAAAATAATGGACATCCAAACATTGGTTGAATAAGAATCATGACTGTGCTTAAAAATTTAGACATGCGAAGCATTATATTTACAAACTGCACGCAATAATTGGGTATCATGCATAGGACTTTCCTTTAAAACCTTAAAGCTGAGCCAGGTTAGCTGGAAGTCATGGTGGACGGCCTCGACAGCTTGCTCGCTGTATGAACCTAAACCGTGTCCATATTTTTTGCAAAAATAAGGAACATGATGGAATACGGCATGTACTTTCGGAGTGACAGGAATCTCCAAATCTATTTAGATTTGGAGATTCCTGTCACTCCGAAAAGCTCCTTTAGCTTTAGCTCCTTTTAAATTTTTCGATTTTTGCGAGATAATTCTCCTGTAAATCATTTGTGAAACACCCTTTCACAACATCTCTAAAATTTTTGAGCACCTCTACATATTTTAAGCAGGTGAGTGAACTCCATAAAAAATCAGTATGCTCAAGTAAAATTCGACATGCATTCCCATTAAATTCTTCGGATCCATGCGTCTTTTGCCGCTTCACATGACAAAGAGATGCCCATTTTAGTGCATCCTCTTCATTTTCTCGAGCCATGTGCTCGAACAAAGTGTTCACGACGCCCAATAAAAGGTGGAGTTCAGGTGGCGGGATTATATCGATGATAAGTTTTTCGTCATCGTTGTGAAATACAGGGGGATTTATACAATTTTTAAAATTTTGAGCTCTCTTTTTTTGAGCTCCTGACTTAATCCATTCAGAATAATTTTGCATACAGCTACCAATTGATCTGTAAGAACCTACTTCCTGCAGTGCATTTTTTGGTACATCACACCATGTACAGGGGTGGCAACTTGAATGTGACATTAATCCGACGAGAATATTGGTCAACTTAAGATCACATGCAATGGTCGAATCAAAATTATTAAGAGACAGTTTTGACCAAAATATTGACACATTAACATAATTTTCTTGGGCGCGTGGTACTAACCCTATTATAAAAAGTTTTTTCACGCCAGAATTTACAAATTTTCTCGATAGGACGCCTTCTTTAAATTTTTGTCGACTTTTTCTACCTAATGCATCTGTTTCTGTTAATTCAGGAACAGAAGACTGAACTGAGAGACAAATTTTCAAAAATTCCTGTCCGCCATCGACACCTATTTTTAAATGGACATCAGGCATATTACGTGATTTCTTTACAAATTCAATGAAAGCTCCAACATCATTGCAAAATACAAATGTTTCATCATATTTACTTTTGACGTCGGATTTCACATTTGAAACCTCAATTTGCTCAACTGTAAAAAATTCGTCTACATTGTGAGAGAGTTGCTCAATCTTTTTCTTTAAATTAGGCTCAACTATAAGTTTGTTTTTTGAGGCCACTCTCATAGTGTTGGCAATACCGAGAGTGGTTCTTGCACTAAGATTGAACGATGTTTGCACGTTATGGAAATATTTCGCAGAAAATAAACAGTTATTTGACGTTTTGGGGGTCTTATTATTGACGGAAACTTTAAGTGGCTTTCCTTTAATTTGGGAAAGCGATAAAATTGAATCAACATTTTCACCATTATTTGCAGATTTTGAATCAATTACTTTCTTAATAAAGACTGATGAAAGTTGTTCAATGTTTTTGGAAGAACAAGAACCTTCAACGAGTGAGGAAATATTGCTGATAAGAGAGTTTTTATTACACTTATGTCGAATACCTGGTTGTATCTTATTGAAACACTTACTGCAGCGTTTTTGGAACCTCGGTTTTTTTGATTCACGATTCATCACAACTACTTTCGAACTTCCAAAAATTCTAAGTCTAGGGGGTAGAACTTGACCACTTTTGGATAGATTAGCGTTCACTGCACTCCTCGCCAGTTTACATAGATGACAGTTATAAGAAAAGCCACTTTCCTGGGACCGGGTTTGTTTTTGCGGCACAAATGCTGAAAAGTCCGGTTGTTCCTTCAGCGCAGCTCCTCTGTAAATGCTTCTTCTGCACTTGTCACACAGAACACGTGGTAAAAATTCATTGTTTGGGTCATACTGTGGCACTAAGTTCTTGATTTTTCTCTCCAAGTTCTCCACAATGTTCTGCACTTTTCCTATCCCTAAACATAAGAGGCACAAGATGCGTCTGTTTTCCTCGTGGGTTCTAGGTCTATTCAGTCCCATATTTCACTGATTTAAAACACTTCAGTGTAAAAAAAATCAACAAGAATCCAGCTGAACTATAAAATTATAATGGACCACTAGACAAGGTACGAATTTCAGCATTCTGATACATGTTTCTTAACCAAAATTTCACGTAAAACACGATACGCACAACGAAAATTACCGAAATCAACTCCTTACGAAGATATTTAATGATTCTTGATGTGTAAATTCAAACCAACCGCTCATGAAAACTCAATGCTCTGCGTGATTCACATCGCGCGCTAAACGTTATCATGACAGTCTCTTGCTATATAAAAATCTGGTAACCTCAATCTTGACGCTTTGGCTCAGCTATAGCAAATTGCTTATGGTTCGAACAACAAATTGTGGGAAACGAACATTACTCGGTTGAGGAGCTTGCTGAAACCGTTCAAGTGCGCGATTTGACTCACGTAGAGCTTTGAGTTTCTTGTGAGCGGGCAGTTCAAAATCTGCGTAACCAATGTGAAATAAAAGGTTAATATCTTCGTTAGGAGTTGGTTTCAGTAATTTTCGTTGCGCGAATCGTGTTCTACGTGAACTTTTGGTTAAGAAACATGTATCAGAATGTTTGAATTCGTGCCTTGTCTAGTGGTCCATTCNAATCTTGACGCTTTGGCTCAGCTATAGCAAATTGCTTATGGTTCGAACAACAAATTGTGGGAAACGAACATTACTCGGTTGAGGAGCTTGCTGAAACCGTTCAAGTGCGCGATTTGACTCACGTAGAGCTTTGAGTTTCTTGTGAGCGGGCAGTTCAAAATCTGCGTAACCAATGTGAAATAAAAGGTTAATATCTTCGTTAGGAGTTGGTTTCAGTAATTTTCGTTTCGCGAATCGTGTTCTACGTGAACTTTTGGTTAAGAAACATGTATCAGAATGTTTGAATTCGTGCCTTGTCTAGTGGTCCATTTTGAAAAGTGGACTGTATGTTTTTAATTTATGAAAGGCCACCAGGCCGCGCGGGGCCGGCTACAGAACAAGTCTGGATTCCCTAATTGAGTCTTGACGAGACGATTTGGAATACCAGGCTGCGCGGAGCCGGCTTCAGAGCGAGTCTGGGTTTTGAAAAAAAAAAGAACGCGAGAATTTTGAATCTTATACGAAAACAAAAAAAGAAAATCATGAAAGGAAGGCTTAAACTAATTTAGATGAACATGGAGAAATTGATACTTACGTTGCTAAACAGAAAAAAGACCAAGAGATTCAAATTGCCGAAGAAAACGCTGATGAAATAAAGAAAACTAGCTTGAAGAGCTTTACTACGTTGTAATCTTCCTTTTATTTACGATAAGCTTGGAGAGCTTTGAAGAAACTGAATACTAGCCGCGTATCTGAATCACTGCTGGAATGCCAGCGGGAATCCAACAAGCGAATTTAAAATAGATAGAAGGGAACCTACAAGTAATACCACTGGATGCTGGTAGGATTTCTCAAACGTCACGGGATCCCAGTGAGACGATTAGAGCAACATGTTTTGCCACTGGATTATCAGCGGGACCCAATCAGCATGCGATCGTGAAGTGTAGGCGGCCGTACGGGGGACCCTACTTGGAGCTGTTTCGGCTCGATATTCGCGAGATCAAACAATAAACTAAAACCTGAACTTCTTATCGAAACAAAATGAAAATCTGAGTGAACTAAAAGTAACTGTATGGTATCCTCCTTAGGATACAAAAGTAAAAATAAAACTTTCCCGAGCCTTTTCCTGGAAAGGCGGGATCAAAAAGGACGGCATGGCTTACAAGACCCGCGCGCCATCTAGTGGATTGGCGCGGTACTAGCCTTTTGCCGGTCGAGCGCGGAGGGAAGGAGTGCGCTGGCCGACGCGGCGGTCACGGTGGCTGCTCGCACGCGTTGCAATGAAAAANAAAAAAGGCCCATTTTCCGGTCAATGAAGCTTTGGACCGATTCGGGACCCTGCTCAATCGATTCCTGGTCCAAAAATACGTAGATTTCATCATACATGTACCATTTTGCATATGCACAACCCATCGGAATTGAATCATTGATCGTTTTTGAAGGCCATTTTAGCGCCAAAAACACAAAAATCGATTTTATTTTCGAAGAGCTCGACAGAATATTTTCATTTTAGGCTTAAATGACTGTGTATGCATCCTACTTCAAGATCCCGAAGGAATTTTGAGTGGGCAACACTATTTTATTTACCTCCCTCTGAAACGAACCGTGCCCCGTGAAGTTTCTGAACTTGATGTAGCATTCATAGTTCGCTTTAAAAATGGCATGTTCATTAAGTTCATTAAATTAAAATGTAAATATACATTCCTAAATTGACTGTGAAACTCCCAAATCACGTTTCTTGTTTGCGGTGTTTAAAAATCTCTAGTCCTGTTTGATTTTTCTGCGGGAGAACAGATCAATTGAGTAACTCTCCATTTAAAATACAAAGTATGACAGGAAGTCTACAATATCTCAAACGGAGATACGTCGTTTGGGAGTTTCACCGTTGATATGAAGCAGCCAAAATTTTGACTCATTGACACGTACAGGGAGGACAGTGACTAAAAAAATCCAGGCATTCAGAGAAGAGATTAGAATACTGCATACCAGGTTTCATGAACGAAGGCAGGATCGACATTATTTTTGCATACTCTTGCCCTCCGAGAAGGTCACTCAGTTGACAGTACATACTATAGATTAACTTATCTGCTTTGATTCTACTATTTTCATTTGGAACGTACCAAGCTGCTTTCTGCAAGAAGAAGAGAAGAAACAATACAATATGTGGTGACTTACAATTAGACTGAACATATTTCACACGAGACAAATAATTATTAAAATCACAGATATTGGGGAGGATCCACCCTTAGAATGGTGAATACAATTTTCAAGGAAGAAGTGAAGGCTTTCTTAACTGGAAAGAGGTAGTTTTATTTTACTATAGTTGCAAGGTTCTGAATAGGATTTTTGTTTATAACTCATTGAACCTTCACAGCAAACAGGGAGCAAACTTTTTTATAGAGGGGATTTAAAATGAGTTTTAATAGACACATGGATCGCAAGTTGGTGTTCAAAAGTTTATGATTATGTATATGACGATGAGGAGATTTTTAACGATCATTAAAAATCTCAATTTTGATTAAATATTTTCTAATTCAGGGGCTCTTCACCCCAAGAAAACTAAGAGCCCGCAAATTTTATTTTACAAGCTTTCAGTACAGGTTCTAACGGTCTATTTGAGATGAAGATATTGAAAATTGATGCAGTACCACCTGTCCTTTTGCTAGACGAAAGTGGTATTTTCGGTTAACCGTATATTTCGGCTAACCATCTTTACAATCTAGATTTAATGGTTCTGAAACATTTTATTTTAAAATCTACACTTAAAAATTGGTTTTTAACATCATATATGCAACGATGTGGGTTTTACAGCTTAATTTACCAAATTGGTGCTAAAATCGCAGGTTGAGAATCGGTGAAAACTAGGATATTTTGTTAAAAATTGAAGAATGACCTTAGAGGCAAACTATTCAAATCAGTTTCTTATTTTGGTGCATAGATCATGTAAAAAAAAAATTGATGATGATCTGAGATGGTGGGTGTCAAAATCAATATTTGAGTGTTGAGTTGACGTGGATTGATCCGACCAAAATTGTACGTAGAGCACAAAACCCGGAACGGAAATCACTATAATCAACTCCTGACTAAGATACAAACTAAAAATAATAATAAAACAAGGCTAAACAACCCCTCTAAAACGTTGTTCTAACAAAATAAATCAAGTAGGGAAAGTTTGAGTTTCCTAATTTCAGCAATTCCAGTCTTAATCAAGGTATCAACCTCGCTAGTTTACATTGATAACAGGTTTGAATTTCCCACACACAAAAAAAAACAATAAGTAGTCAACTAAAATCAAATTGCAAACTGCCACCGTTTTGGAAGGCTTCTCAATGGGCCAATGTCCTTTCCTTGCCTTGTTTTGTCCTGAGTGTTAACAGTGTGTGACAGCTGAGCCGAAACGCTCAGACTGAGATTGTCATACTTTCCTACTGCAGAGACTATTATGGTAACGTTTAGTGCGTGGTTTGACTCTCGTGGACTGTTGATTTTCCATGAGCAAAAAGGTTTAGATTCATGAACCAAGAAATACAAAATATCTTAGGCGTTAATTTCAGTACTTTTCATTACGCAAATCATTTTCTATGTGAGCTTCAGGTTGGGAAACATACATCAGAGTGCACTTTGTACCTTGTCTATTGATCCATTCTGCAATTTGACAGTCAATGAGTGAGAGAGTAACAATCTCTAATGATAGGATAGAAGCGTTCTATAGACAGATGTCTAGGTAGATTAGGTGGAATACATTGTGCAATATGGAACTGATATTTCTGACTTATTTCAGAGACAATCTATGTACAATTGGTTTTCAAGTGGAGATAGGTGCTTTTATGGAAATCTACATTACGAAGTGCAGTCCACGTAGAAAATTAAAGCAGGGACAACTTACATCTTTCATGCTTTCCTCCAACTCAGGGGATAGTAGCGGCCCTTGATATGAGGGAGCCTCTAGTTTCACCCCTTCGCTTAACTGTAAGTAATGAACGGGCACACTAAACCTATTGAATCTCTTACCTGTAAAACAAAACAAAAACAAGGTATTCAAGAAATGAAAGGGACAATTATGACCGTTTCACAAACTATCTTAAATGCAGATCATTGGTTACAAGACAAACGATTTTTCAGTCAAGTATTGATAAAATATGAAAACTTCATTAGTCCCCGATCTATCAAAATTGATCGATATATCAAAGATATATCAATATAATCGATATGTGAGTTAGATATACTCGTACTTGATGGCCAGGCAGTGTTCGCTGAATATGAGGGATAGATGGGCAAACATTTGAAATACGGGAGAGGCTTGTCCCTGGTCTTTTATTAGCTTATGAATATGTTCTGTTCCCATTTTTTTGGCCAAAGTATAAATCAAACATTTTTCACTGCAAAATTTGTTGAAAATATTGCCTGATATCCATGGTTTTTTTTTCCAAACTTTGAATGGTGCAGTGGGTTAGATTTTGAAAGCTTCGCTGTGGAAGGCTTGACATATTTACAGTTTCAAGGACCAGCTTTCGTCATCTTTTAGCTCTCTAAAAACGTTTCAAGGTTTTTATTTTGGCTGGATAGATGTATGGCTATATTTTTAAGAACAAAATTGAAGTTAATTTTTGAACGACTGATGGACCCAAAAATGTATTAAGAAAAAAACATAAAGAGGCAAGTATGAAGGAAATATAATTCACAAAAACGATCATTTTACTTAATACTAAAATAATTATAATAATGAGGATTTCAATTTTTGAGCCGGTCTCATTTTGACTCTTAGGCGCATATTACCAAATACTTAAAGAAATTTTCTGAGGCTTACCAAAACAATGGACAAGGAATTCGTGGGAAAAAGCTTTGGACAGAAGGTCTTCTGGATACAGTTCTTCAACCTGCATTTTGTTGAGAAAAATACTAAGTTGCCTTGGGTGCTCCATGATTTCATCCTGCCGATCAGGGCTCTGGAATTCATTGACAGTTAACTCATATATGTTTGGAATTTCTTCACATTTGTAGTTCAGTCCAGAAAGACATCCAGCAACAGCTGTCAACTCCTACATGGAAACAAAATAGATTAAATATCAAATCAAACAACTAGGACTTTTATTTTTCTATTTTTTGAGCTTAATATGGGATCAAATTCTTATAAGATGGACGAGATCAAATGTAATTGAAGCTGCTAGAGGCTAAAAAAAATAAAATAATACCTAAAAATAATATTTAAAATTGTGGAAAGCTTGTTGATAGGATCATTGATTTCTTACAATTTGAATACATCTGGGGAACGTTTCACAGGTGCAGAAACTTCACCTTCCCATTTCTCGAACTGACCAGCTCATTTTAAAAAATCCTTTTCCAAATGTTCAAAGTTGTAACCTTTTTTGTCTAAAAAAATTAAAAACATGTCAATTTCACTGCAATTCTACAAGGGACACAAAAATTTCACCGCCATTTGAACTTCTTTGAGAGCTGGCCTGCCCAATTTTCATTGCCTTCCCATCTATCGACGGGGCAGCCATGTGATCATGGAGTTTCTAAACCGTTGGAACTTGTCGTGGGTTCCCATGAATGATAGAACACCTACGCTGATTAAGACCAACCGACCTTTGAATGATGTATGTTTTTCAAAAAGAAGTTGGCTTTTGGAAAGTAGCATTCGTATTACTTGTGGCGAGGAGATTTGTGACGGTCTGCCTGAGAATAGACCTCATTCCGCAGGAACTCAAAATGGAGCTATTGATGCCAGAGTGTAGAAGAAAGTTTTAAGAAAATTTTAGGACAAAATCGCTCAATACTGTTAAACCAAACTAGAAGCATGGCAGTTTGAAGTTCGCAATTCGAAAAATATACTTTTAGGAAAACGCTGTTTTAAATTTTAATCTGTCACACATTCAGTTCAAAAGCTTGCTGAATTGGATTGTGTTTTGCAATTTGGGACTGCTATATCTAACTCAGATTAAAAATGATGTATGTATCATTAGCTTCCCTATGCATATGGGTGTTTTTACGGATGGGCTAGGAATTGTAGTTCCTAATTGTAATGCAGCTTCACACGCTGAATTTGTACAAAAATCAACTCCAGTGCTCTCAACTAATTCTCCAGGACACTAGACAGACTTATCTAAATTTGGACTGCATTTTGCAATTTGGAACTATAAATTCTGGCTAATCTGGAAAAACGCTTATCTGCATAGGGAAACTAATGGCACATACGTTGTTTTTAAACCGGGACAGAATTTATAGTTTCAAATTACAAAATGCAGTCCATTTTAAAATCCGATTTTTCCACCTACCCAACCAGATAGAATTAATGTAGCTCTACTGAAAAGTTCAACACCTATCGGTAAGGCCTCTTCCCCATGATAATTGCATATTGACAGCCAAAATGCGAAATCAAATACCTCCATTGCAATGTTTTAAAATTTCTGCTCCTATTTTATTATTTAGAAGAGAAAAAAGCCAACTTCATAGCTTGAAAACAAAATATTCTGTAAAAGGAAGAGAAAAATCAGGGAAGTTTTCAAGAAATTACGTTTACGAGTTTTCCAATAAAATAATGGAGTATGAGGGGAAGGCTCATGCTACAACGTCGCGAATGGGGATAGGAGAGTTCCCTCTTTGGCCTTTGATAGTAAGTTCAAAAAAAAGGGTTGCAAACTTTTTTAAAAAGCATTGAAGGGAGGAAAATTTGAGAGACAAGAGTTTTTACTGTGAGCTAATTCTGAATTTTCAGTCCGGAGACTATGCATGATTCCAAACTACGATAGTCATGTACCTCAAATTACTTTAAGGAGTGTGTCTTCTTACCTTGATTCTAGCTGTTTTCATATTCTCTTTAAGTTTCTGAGCCAGAGTTTTCAGAATTTTATCATTCTGAATATGATTTTTGTTCAAGAGGCTGGCAATATGTACACATACAACAAATGGGTATTTGTCGGATCGTTCGGCCAGGACAGGGATAAGATTTTCAACTAAGTAATCATGGTGTGTAAATTTTAATGAGTGGCGTATGCACTGAAAAAAATTAATATTAAGAACGTTTAGTCATGTTACTTTTTTCCTTCATCATTAAAATAATTGTTTATGAAAAGGAACAGATCACACATTCACAACCAATTTATTTTCCAAAAATTTTACAAGTCCGACCAGAAAAATACACAAAAGACGGCAAGATTTGACCATTGGTTGCCACAGAATTCAGAAAATGAATTTCCCTGACAAATTGTTAAATTCCTTGACATTTGAGGGTCTACAGGGGATGGATAAAAAGACACAAAACTTGCCACTTCATAACCCAATCATCCATTACTTGTTGCTAGAGATGTCAAAAAAACATTTTGAAAAACAAAGACTGGTTGTTTCATCAATTTTCTGTGACTCTATTGTCGTTTTTCCTGACATTGCTTGATTTTTCTGCCTGCAGTTACCCTGATTGTAGTGAGTGGGATCAGCGTTTCAAATTGAAACTTCATGTCCAAAATTTTGGGGTCCATTTGGCCTGCAAGCTGAATTTTTACAGGACAACTACAAGTTTTTATGAGGCAAGATGGTTTTTGATAGAATAGTTTGAAAGGAGCAGGGACATTGCAAAAATCAAGGCTGTAGCTACTTATTTCAACAATATTTTCAACCAGTGGTGCTACTGATCACAGCTTCCTCGCTGAGCGCATTTGACAGATGTAGCTCCAGTGAAGGTAGAATGTTGTTTAGCATGACATCATAGTATACTGAAAGCTAAGAGAATGAAACAATAGACAAGGATGAGAGACTTTTAATGGTAAAAACTTTATATATTGTTAATGATGTTAATTAGGAGTTACTTATGGTAATTCCGTTGCGCGGATTGAGTCATTCTAAGCACAAGAAATTTTGATTAGGAGCCATGTTTTAGAGTGCTTAAATTTGCATTGACACCTTGTCTCTAGTACATGTGAAAGCTGATTCGGAGGTCAGCTAGTGAGCTTGAGTCTAAAAGTTGCATTTGTTCAAGAGTGACATTCCTTACACTGATGTGACACAACTGAGCCGATGGTCAATCACATGATTTGTATAATATACTCACTTTCAGGATAGCAGTCACAGTAAAATCATGAACAATATCTATATTCTCAGCGAGTCGATCGATTATGGCCTCCACCAGCTTGGGCTCTTTGATAGTTGTTTGGCTTTTGAAGAATCCCAGGCAAATGATGCCGAGTTCATGAATGGTAAATTGATCAATTTCTTTGTACATCTTCCATTCTGCTTCCATCATGTTCACACTTGGATGATGGCAGCGAGAGGCATTCAAGAAAAACATTAATTGAACAAACTGCGATTTCGTTAACCTGGAGAAAAGAAAGGATTCAACTTGTCAGCTAGAGGAGAGTGTGAACGAATGGTAAAAAATTTTAAGATGAAAGAAAAGGCGCAGATATTTTCAGTACTAGATTGTTTCATGATTAAGTATAAGAATTTCAAGAATCGATTTTTTGGGACAAAATTAGACTTTTTTGCTGAATGAACTTTTCTTCAGAACTGTTCACTCTCGGGACTACTAGGGCCAGATAGAAGGAGCGGCTAGGGTGCTGGAGGAACCGCCTTGGCCTCTGGCCATGCAGACTCTTACGCTGGTATTATTATTTTTTTTTTTAAAGAGCGGTAATGCAAGAAAACCAGACCTCCAATAGGCCAACTGACTCCACAATCCCCCCCCCNCCTAATTTCCTTCAATACAGGTTTCATGGAAAAGCTAATTTGAAGCTTCCGGTTCAAAATATGTAATTTCTGCAAAAAGCTATTGAAAATTTTAATCTGTCATGTTCAGGGGATGAAATTGTCGTATTGAAATGTGATTAGGTAAGACCCTACCTTGGCCAAAAAATGAACTATATTATCTGTATATTATTCTTCAAGAAAGAGAGAAAATTATTCATTGAAAAATTGGATCTAATTTTTTAATCAAAGAGGACGAAAATTGCTTTGCTGAAAATTATGCTCCCATGGACTGAGGGCTCTATTCTCAGAGTCAATTAAAATTCTATGGCTGAAGTACAAACCCACGTATCTCCATTCCAATGTTCCAAAATTTCCGCTCTTATTTTACTTTTTCCAAGAAAAACAAGCAAACTTTATGGCTAGAAATTTAAACAAACCATTCTGCTGACAGAGAAGATAAAACAAGAGAGTTCTTCAGAGAAATTACAAGTGCTGGTTTCCCTCCAAATATTAGGGTATGATAGCAAGTTTACAACATTGCGAACAGAGAGACAAGGTTTCGAACTGCGGCCGTGGATAATGTAAAGTAGACATATGTCGAAAATTCTCTACAGAGGTAACGTTTTGTGAAATGTGAAAGCTTGTTAGAATTTAAAAAAATGAAACTAACCTATGAGTTTTTCTGCCAACTTTTTTCAGGCCTAGATAAACACAGTCGCTTGATTTTGCTCTGCCAATCAAATACCAGTGAAGAGCTGCTAATAAGATTTGCGAAGTCTTCCATGAACGGACTCGCATCACGCATTCCTGATCGAGGGCTTTGGTCAGATGAGAATAATTTCCACTCCTTGTATGATCATGGGGCCACATAGCTAAATTCCTCAATATTTGGAGAATTTCTTCATCTGCCATGTTTGGGAACCGTTTTATTAGAGCTTCTGTCATAGGCGTAAAAAGCTCATGAGAAAGTAGGCAGTACTCTTGTGGTTTCCGCTGCTCACTAATATACTGGAACTGCTCCAGAAGTTTTGGTATACTGTCTGACCAATCCATTTTTTGTACTTCAGAAGGGTTCAACATAGTGGTATTGTCCCGCAGCTTAGGAAAAGCATCCATTGCATGCTTGATGCCGAAACAACCATTTTGTAATACTTTGACAGCAAAAGTATTCTCGAGTTCAACAGACTCAAGGGACGTTCTGATAGGGGTTTCAGGCTGAGCTTCGGAATTAGTTGAGAAACACATCCGTGGCAAGAATTTCTGCAGAGGACAAGAAGTTAGGATTGGTGAAAAGTATCCGCTAATGGAATTTGCGGTTTTGCTAGGCAGGCCATGGAAACAATATCTTGGGGCGAGTGAATGGTGGATCTGAAGTAAAAGTCTGGATGCCATATCAATCGACGGAGTCGTGGTACTGTATCGAAAGAAATTAAGCAGTGGTTCGACTGTGGAGGGGGAAAATTGCCGAGTTCCTTCGATTACCTGGATGAACAAGGTATGAGACACAGTTTTCACCTGATGGCACCACGGTCTTGACTTTGAGCGTTATCATTGCTTCACCAGATTTATCACTGTAAAAATTTGTTATTAAAACTGAACCGCAGACTGATAATGGACCGCTTCTGAATTCTGATCTCGACTGATTGGCTGATGGCTGATTGGTAAGAGACAGATATGAGATGAGAATGAGAAATAGATTTTTTTCTCTAAGATTGAGTTTGAGATGAGAATAATGGAAAATTTAGGTTAGGTTGTGTTTTTCTTTTCGTTTTCTCGTTCTCAGGCTGTCCACTGATAAGAGATCAGCCAGCACAAAAAGATCCCTAACCAAGTCCAGGAAACTTGATTTTCTGACATAATCATTCGTCTCTAATATATTCAGTATTATATACTTCTCATTTTATATCTTAATTTAAATTTTTTCATACCTCCTACGCGAGAAAAACGCATGGAAAAAATTCCGAAGTGAGAAGAGGGGGAAAAAAATTAGTGTAAAATGATTTGAAATTTACACATCACTGGAGCTGCATGACAACCGCGTGTTTATTTATGTTTTGTTTGTTTGCTGTCATCGTGTTTTTGTTGGTTTGCTATCACAAAAAATTTAGAAGGGTGATCATGATGATGTAAAGTTGAAAAAATCAAGTATCTTGGATGTAAAGCTCAATTTATTTCAGCTCAATTTCACTTTGATCTCTCTCGTTAGCTTTTTCTTATCACCAATCTTTGTCAGTAAATAATGTGTTCCTCATCTAGCAAATGCTGTACGAAGTGCTCCTTCTTTTAGTCAAGGCTTACTCAATGTATCAAAGTTAATTATGTCTTTCGGAGCAAATCATACGAAAGAGGGAGACTTCACAAAGACAATATACACTCTGGTAAGTAACTCACACTTTACAACCCTTTTAACAAAAAAAAATGGTTTGGATGGAGGTGGAATACAAATGATCCAGCAATCTGAACATTACTTATGAAATCGTATTAATGGACCACTAGACAGGGTACGAATTTTAGCATTCTAATACATGTTTCTGAACCAAAATTTCACGTAGAGTACGATTCGCGCAACAAAAGTTATTGAAACCAACTCTTAGCGAAGATATTAACGTTTTTATTTCACATTAGTTAGAAGGAATTTGAACTGCCCGCTCACAAGAAACTCAAAGCTCTACGTGAGTCAAATCGCGCACTACAACGGTTTCAGCAAGCTTCTCAATCGAGCAATGTTCATTTCACACCATGTGTTGTTCAAACTATAAGCAATTCGCCATAGCTGAGCCAAAGCGTCAGGACTGAGGTTGCCAGATTTATATATTGCTGAGACGTTGATGATAACGTTTAGCGCGCGATGTGAATCACGTATAGCATTGAGTTTTCATGAGTGGGTGGTTTCAATTCACGCATCAAGAATCATTAAATATCTTTGTAAGGAGTTAATTTCGGTAATATTCGTTGTGCGCATTGTGTTCTACGTGAAATTTTAGTCAGGAAACATGTATCAGAATGCTGAAATTCGTACCTTGTCTAGTGGTCCATTGCGAAGATACGGAGAGGGGATGAAGGTGATGCACATTTGTGGCTATTCTATTGAGGCATTTCAATTCGCAGCGCATGGGCAGATTCAGATGGATTCCTTTCATATTTATTTGAAGATTTTTGCCTGTGGATGCACTCCGAATAATTTGCTTGTCCCTTTTCCAGTCTAAACTATCCCACTGCATTGCCATTTAATGTGGAGCAACTGTAAATTCGCTAAATCGTTTTATATAAATGCAAAAGCTAGCTATCAAAATGTTGCTTAAATTACCTAAAACTTATCCCTCCGTTGAAATCTTCAATCTTTAATGCGCCTAATTTTGATGAGCTCTACTGCTTGTCCCTTGTTTTTCGTCAAGCTCAAGTGACGTCGTTGAACTGGCATGCGATATATCGCACCGGTCAGGTCAAAAATCTTGGCAGATTTGGAATTTGTAGCCAAATGATGGATGATAACCCCTGTGTATGAGCCTAAAAAATCATTTTAGACCTAAAAATTGGCAAAATTTAGAGAAGTGAAAACAGAATAGTGCTAGGAATTACACCTCGCATCCAATAAAGAAACCGATAGCTTTATTAAGCGCGAAGTATTTTTCCTAACGCTATCTCCTTTCATTTCTCTAACTTCTGCCCATATTTTGGTTTAGAATGATTCTTTAGGCTTATACGCAGGGGCTATCATCCTTTTTTCGCTACAAATTCAAAATCTGCCGAGATTTTTACATATGTATGTTAAATTATATTTTTCTCAGTTCCAGGTGGAATCACCTACCCCAGTTTAGGGAAAGTTTTGATGTTTGTTTGTTCAATCGTTCTATTTCTAATGTTCTGTTTGTAAGTTGTGGCTGTTAAACCTGCTCCATAAGTTCTTTTTGCTCCTGGCAGTGTTTTCCGTTGTAAAAATTTGTTTGTTGTACTTCTATATGAAAATGAAAATTATTCATTCATTCATTCAATATTGTTCTCATTGTTGGTGCTGGATCTCGGGTTCATTTTGGGTCTATCAGTTACTAAATTTTTTTATTTACCATTTTCTGAACAGAAAATTTCTAGTGCTCACCCTCTCAAAATGGTGATAGTAATTGATGTCTTCCTTTTTCCCAGGTCAAAAATCAGCAGTACAGTGAAGTTATTCCATTTTTGACCATGATCTTAGAATCAAACCAAAATGTAAGTATCAGCATAACAATCTTGCGTAAAGGAAGTTCAGAGATTTCTACATTTACCTTTTTCTAAATTGTCTAAGCTAACTCCCATTTGGGACCATTAAGGTCCTTGGAGTCTTTAGAGTTCTGGAAGTTCCACTGTCGATAAAGGAATCGTGATATTGAATTTTCTTTCCCCTTCAAATAGTGGATAAACTATTCTGAAAGGACTCTTCATGGAGTGGCTCAGAAATATTACAACCCAATCACTTGACTGTTCAAATGTTCAGCTTTGTTCCACATTCTTAGTTTTAACCCTAATCTCCGTCTGAAATTTGAAAATTTTTTCACTCATTTTCGCCTTGTCGCTCAATTTGCTGGAATGATTATTCAACAGTCTCGTGCCGCTCTTTCGTTACTGGGACACTCATATTTCTACTCACAAGACTTCGTAAGTGCTGCCAATTGCTACGAACAACTGATGCTTTTGCACCCGGAAGAAGTGGACTACAAGCTATACTATGCACAGTCCTTGTACCAAGCTAACCTCTTTCATGAAGCCCTGAAGATGACACACGCAATAGATGATAGCTCTTATTCCAATAAGGTCACTTTTGTTCTTCATTTCAACTCTCTCTTCATCATGAAAAAATAGGTTTTTATAGCTTAAAGACAGACGCATCAAAGACATCAAATTTACAATACAAAATATTGAACACAAATTTGTTAAACAGACCATAAACAGAAGTATTTTTTTTACAAGAAAAATACATAAGAAATACAAATTACTTCTCTTTACTTCTTTGATCACAAATTGTCTATGTACAATTCTTGAACTCTGACCATATGTACGACTCATCTTTACAAGCTTTTTTATTTACTGTTTTCATTCTCATAAAAAATCTCTGAGTTATTTACAAGGTGTGCTATTAGGAAAGGGACCCTTGCGTGTGGAGGAATATTTTCCTGGAGGTTATCATACAGAGAAGAAGAGGGATAAGAATACATCAAGGATATAATAATTAATTATTATTTTTTTCCTCAGAAATTGTCAGAGTAGTAATTTCGATTCTAGTAGCTCTTTGCTGTTATGTTACCACCATATCTGTAGGAACTTGAACAACAATCTGCCAATCAAATTTACAACCACAATTTGGTGAAATTCCAGAGTAGGTAGATGATTCTTCTAGCTCACCTCAAGTGAATCCAGGTGTTTATTTCTTAATGCTATCAGGAAAAAAATGGTCGAATCTTATACTTTTATGTTGACTTTTTCATAGGTAAACAAACTAAGAGCTGCTATCAAATATAGCGAGGAGGACCTTCCAGCGGCCAGAGCCCTTTTGGAAAGTTGCGACCCTGAAGATCCAGATACTGTCATCAATTACGGCTGTTTGCTTTACAAGGTAAAAAAACAGAAATGACGACTTTAATCAAGAAGTGTCACAAGTCAATATTTCAAATTGTAGCATCAATGCAATTTTGGAAGGGGATAATAGGAGCCTGGAGTTTTAAAAACTTGCAACCTAAGGACGAATGTAGATAATTATTGAAGATGTAAAAACTGAGCTTTCCTAAGCTAACTCTCCACCTTCAAAGTAGATTTTGATATATTGATGGCAAAAGTGCAATACCATGTATCTCCATCTTTGATTTTATATGTAATTTTAATTACATACATACATAAAGTCGCGATTATAGCGCCGCCTCGCGCTCTGCGACGCCCAATCGCCATTGCCCCCTATCCTCCCAGAGATCATCAGGCAATTGGCACCTTCTGATCTCCTCCTCCACCCCTTGTCGCCAACCTTTCACAGGACGTCCACGCCGTCGCCTTCCGGGAGGAACCCAATCGAAGACCTGCTTGGGCAACCGATCATCTGCCATCCTTCGCACATGTCCATACCAGACCAACTGCTTGGACCTGATATCGTGCACGATGTCCTTTTCCACACCCATTATCTCGCGTACCCTTTCATTGCGGATACGCTCTCTTCTCGATATCCCAGCAGACCTTCGCCAAAAGTCCATCTCGGTTGCCCTAAGCATGTCTTCAGTTCTTTTCTTAAGTTGCCAGACCTCACTCCCGTAAGTTACGATACTCTTCACGATGACGTTGTAAATTTTCCTTTTGGTCTCCTTGGAGATACTCTGGTCCCAGAGAACCCCATTTAGCATCGCGATAGCTTTCCTGCCTTGCACATTCCGATCTTTAATGGCTCCGATCTTTAATGGATCTTTAATTTTAATTAACTTTGTTAAAATGAACATGGTGCTCTGCACCTATATCTTCTTCTTTTTCTACTCCTAAAATCCTTTGTGCGCGCAACACTTGTTTCTCTCCTCAAAATTATATGTCTTTATCCTGTTGAGACATTATTATTCTGTTATTCATAGCTATAATTGTTTACATTTCCATTCTGAAAGGTAACAGTAAATGCACATCTGCAAAAAAAATATGCAAAAAAATGTATCACCATTGTGGTGTTTCCAAATCTCCGCTCCTACTTCTTCTTCTTCTTCTTCTTCTTCTTCTTCTTCTTTTTTGAAGAGAAACAAGCCATCTTTATAGCTTAAAAGTTATACAGAATATTCTGCTATTAGAGAAGAAAAATCCAGGAAGTGCTTAAAAAATTATGTTGATTCATTTTCCCAAGAAACAGTAAAGTATGATAGGAAGCCTGCAACGTCACAAACAGCGATTTGTGGTTTCGCACTTTTGTCATCGATTTGTGGTTTCGCACTTTTGTCATCGATACGTAGACATACAGTTTGTTTATTAGCGCATGAGCACTAATTATTTCCTATTCTGCTGGATGACCTTGCGTGAACTTTAGTGAGTGATTGAGAATGTCTCAAAGCAGGGACCATTAATTCTTCCTCCAAATTTTGCACCCAGTCACTTGCTCGCGTCCAGTTCGGCATTAGTTTGTCGATGTCAGCTTCCTGGCAGCTTTTATTAGTTTCTGACAACCAACAGATGCCCGACATAACATGTTGATAATGTTTGTTTGGTGCTCTGAATGCTGCGAGTAACGTGAACAACTTCTGTTGATTGCAGGAAGGACTCTATGAAGAGGCATTACAAAAATTTTCCGCTGGAATGGCGGTTGCTGGCTATAGTCATCATCTCTCATACAATTTAGCTCTCTGTTATTACAGGCTAAAGGAATTTACCCTAGCCTTGAAGCATATCGGTACTTTATACATAATTATCATGTGCACCGTTTATGTTCTTAATGATGTTACAATTTAAGAAATTCAAATTTGTGAACTTCAGATGCACCCTCCAGTGAATTGAATTCGTTTTGATTGAAGTTTCACTAACGTTTAAACTATAAAAATCGATGAAAGTAAGACACATTCACTAAAACTCATGCACAATTCTCTTTAAGAGAATTTTTTTTTCAGGAGAAGTTGCAGATTCATTTTTTAATCTATTTCTTTTGTTTGGCTGCAGTATGAGACCTTAAAGTTTAAAATTGAAGCATCAAAGCAAAGAATTTTGATGGCAAACTCGCTTTCTTTGTTTAGTTTCTCTTCTGAAAAAGAATTCTGAGGTTTCTTTTTGAAGGGACAAGGTCTAAGGTGATAATAGTAAAACCTCCAGAAAAAACCTCCCAAATCGACTATTTTTATTCCAGACCTGTTCCACTTTCAAAGTTAAATTCACCATATTTAATATAAGGCCCTTATTTATAAATTATTTTATCAGCAGTAAAATTCATCTGTACTTAATCTAAGTTGCATGTATTTTTGTGATTTATTTATCGCTGTTGTACCAAATTTTGACAGGAAAGTAAAAGACACAAACAGACATCCTTTTATTCTATGCATGGTATTATTCTAGGCACAATTGTAGATTCTTAAGTTTTTATTTCAATGACCTCCGTGCCTAAATGGAATTATAGCACTAAATTGACTGAATTTTTTTTTTTTTTTTTTTGCAATGAAGCACCTGTGCCTACAGTAAATGTCTTTGACATTTGCTGCTAATATGACCCAAGTAATGAGGAAGTGTGTTTTTACTTCTCTCTACTAGCGGATATCATAGAACGCGGAATTCGAGAACATCCAGAACTCAGTGTTGGAATGATCACAGAGGGAATTCAAATGCGCAGCGTTGGAAACACCACCACTCTTCATGAAACTGCTCTGATAGAAGCATTCAATCTCAAAGCAGCCATTGAATATCATCTGAAAAATTGTAAGTTACCATTAAGTCTTTTTACTCTTCAAAGAAATCTTAATTTTACATTTGAATATTATTTTGAGTAAACTCTAAATTCCATATCGTGTTTTATCAGAGATCATGGGTGGCGGTAGCCACCTCCGGACAAAGTCTAAACTCGACAACACTGGAAAGCCTCCAAACGAAAAAGGTGGCAGCCATATGATTTTCACTGATAGAAAGAAACCATATAATTTTTCATTTTTTTTCTCACTTATTTTCAAGTAGGTTTTTATTCTCCTTTCCGATTCCCCTATTTTGATTTTTGATTTCTGGGAAAAAAGGATCTTTGTACATGTATGCAAAACATCCCCATCAGCAATTTTTGTCAAGTTGGTGACAAGTCACTGTCCTCCATAAATGGTCCATTTCATCCAGGATAAAAGGTAGTTGATCTAATTTCATTTGAATCTTAATTCAGAAGATTGTAGTTCCGTTCTTTTGTCTTTACTAATATTCACAAAACTGAAGCTGGGACTTAGAAGTATTCAGCCAGGTATTTTTCAGGACTGTAAGAGGAGAACTTCAGTTCCTTCTCTCATTCTCTAAAAATGCACTGCTGTAAGCTAGTAATCATTACCTGCATGCAAGTAGTTACGAGAACATTGTCGAAGTGTTAATTTGTCTGTATGACAAACTTAATGTTGTATCAACGTTTTTGGAACCCATCTACGGAGTGAAAATCTTCTATCTTAGGCTAGTTATATTTTATCAGTTAATATAGTGTTCTTGCATGGTTTTAGTTGACAGCGCAAAAGAGGCAATTACTGACATGCCGCCTCGCTTTGAGGAAGAACTAGACGCAGTAACTTTGCACAACCAAGCCCTGGTGAACATCGACGAACGACCAAACGAGGGTTATGAGAAACTCCAGTTCCTCCTTCACCAAAATCCTCTTCCCCCAGAAACTCTTCCAAACATCCTCCTGCTTTATTGCAAATTTGACTGCCATAATTTAGCTGCAGACGTTCTTGCTGAGAATAGTCATTTAACTGCCACGCATCTTTCCCCGGTGAGCATTTCAAAATTTGTGTATTTAACCATCCGCAACAGCACTAACTCCTTAAAGAATCTTAGATTTCATTCACTGCCACAGAGGGTGGTATATCAGAACTACAGTGTCTCAAAAAGCCAGGGGTTCAAAAAGTTCTTTGCCTCTACACTTTATGAGGTATCTGTCACATTGCTGTCTGCGCAAGATTGCGTCCTTCACTATTCTCTTAGGACTATTTATGATTCAGCGCGTCATAAAATTTACATTGCAAAAAGTAACGGGTTTAGCAATGTCCTCTTCAAAACCAATACATTGAATGGTTTCTTTCAAAAAGTGGTGCATCCATATCGACGATGTAAGTCGGCAATCACATAACTCGGATTGCAACATCGCAGATTTCCTGTCATACTTTGTTTTTTAAACGGAAAACTACTCAATGGCAATTCTTTAAAACTGCCGTGATTTACTTCTCTGTTCGAAGGAAATTCTGCATAAACTTCAAGGAATGATGTCAATTTGTTCTCCTTTTAAAAAATAACATAGCGGCGGAGATTTTCAGACACCGCAAAAGAGTTATGTGATTGCCGACTTACACTGTCGATATGAAGGAAGAACACTAAAATTTAAAAAATAAAAATCCTGAAAACCTGAATGCCCTCTGCCTTCATATTTTGTCCCCCTCTCCAGTTGTCTTCAAATTTCTTTTGCGACCGGCCGGTTGGCCAGTCAAGTGTTTTTTGCACCTCTGCAAAAATTCCTCAACTATTTTATTCCATCTCGAGCGAACTGTGATCATCAATTTCCTTGAAAATTTCTGATACTTTTTTGCTTTGTTAATGAGCAATATTAAACGAAAAGCAAGCCATGGGATAATGTTTTGTTTAAAAAGTGAGTAGTTTCAAAAGATTTTGCAAAATCACAATGCTAACATATGCCGTCGCTTCTCAGCATAAAAGCGGACGAAATAAGCCTAAAACTAGGCTTTACAAACTAACAAAATATGTCACTATTTATCATATTACTTGTGTAGTTTTGAATTTTTTTGCATCTTTGCTTTCTACAGAATTTTATGTTGCATGATGTTTGAAAAAGCTTTCATAATTCAGAAGAAAATTAAGTAATTCTACACTCAAAGAAACTTGCTTCAATGTAATGATTAAAGAATAGATTAAAATATCTTCATCTTATGTTTATGCACATGTTCTTCTTCACATATTTCCTCACCGTTTTATTGTTGCAATGTTTTAAAATTGTTACAGTATCTGTATAAGTTCATTGATGCCTTGATCACTCAGCAAACTGCGCCTGAGGAGGCCTACAGGAGGTTTGATGAAATGGCGTCGAAACTAGCAGAACAAATGCGGAAGCTATCAAAGCAGGTTCAAGAAGCAAAGATGGGTCAGGATAATGGGACATTGAAAAAACTTTTAGTAGAATATGATGATTTACTGGACAAGTAAGTTACACTGCTCAAGCAAGTCCTTAAGCAGTAAGTTTTACTGCTTTCAATTATTTTTAAATTGACAAAATTGCATTGGCTTAAATGATTTTTCATTTTAAAATTATTGTATTTTAATAAATACTGCCTAATTATCCACTGCTTTGAATGGGAAAAATTTGAACAAGTAAAAAAGTGGTTCTTATAACTTACATAGAGCGTTGAAAAAGTTTTGCACATTCAGTTTTTAAGCAAACACAAGTAGCTATTGATCTACAGTTTATGTGTGCTTAAAGTCAGCTTAATTACTTGAACAACGAGACCAATATTAGCTCTTTAGGTTAAATAGTGACTGAGAAATGGGGTTTTGAAAATGACTCGCCAAGAGACCCTCTCCAGGATTTTTAGTCATATGAGGAATCAAAAATTTTGTACCTGAAAGTCAAACAGTGAACAAAGAGTACTACTGCTCCATTTCGACAATTCTACAGCAGCACATTGCCAAAAAAAGGCCGTATATATTTAAGACTCCTAAATGTTGCATCAGGATAACACGAAATACGCGACTGCACATGGACCTGTTCACCCAAGAGTTTATGGAAAGAACAACATTAGTGTGCGAGAGAGACAGAAAATAGCCAGGAGGCACGCTAAAGTGTGCAAGAGAGGCAGAAAATTGCCCGACAGGACTTGGGTCGTTTTTCCGTAGATATTAGACTTTTTTGATGCGCTCATCGTAATTTTCAAGCAAATTTACCTTCTGAAAGTGAATTCAGTTGGCTGTATCTCTTGTGTGTGACAGACCCATTATGCCCAAGGTTGTGATGAGGAATCCAAGTCTCCCAAGAATAGAAGGGTAAAGTAATATGCTCTTGTTTGTGAGGGAGACAAGTTGTTAATTTAAAATCTGCACGGCTATGGTTCATACGAAGTTAAAATTACTGTTATTACTTTAAACTTCATTGCAGGTACATTCCGGTAATGATGGCTCAAGCAAAAATCTTTTGGGACAAAGAGAACTACAACCAGGTGGAGAAAATTTTTCACAAATCAGTGGAATTTTGCAAAGAAAATGACACATGGCGGTTACACGTAGGGCATGTTCTTTTCATGCAGGACAACAAATTCAAAGAGGCAACTGGATTCTATGAGCCACTGGTCAAGAAGTATTACTCCAATGTAAGCATTCCTTTCTGATATCTGATGCAATGATGGATTTTATGATCTCGGTAGTTACTACACTGCAAATAAAATTATTCTGTTTTGCTTCATAAGAAAGAAAAATGAAAAGGACATGCATTCTCATCTGTTTGATTCCTAACTGAAGGAGTGGAAACAGGCTCTGTCCAACAAATTGTGTTAGTGTATCTTTTCAACGGATTATGGTTGCTTTTTCAGATTTTGAAAGTTAGTGCTGTTGTTCTCGCAAATCTGTGTGTGTCGTACATTATGACAGCACAAAATGAAGAGGCGGAGGAACTGATGAGGAAAATAGAGAAAGAAGAGGAAAGATTAGCGTATGAAGAACCCAAGAAAAAAGTTTATCACCTCTGCATCGTTAATTTAGTGATTGGGTAAGAGACGCTTTATTATAAGTTCAATGATCCTCTGAGTTTTCAGTTTTTATCATAGCATCGTCTATCGGCGCATAGTAACTATGTCTCGATGGCTAAGGTTGAAAAATGTGTCATTTTCAATCATGGCATTGGGAATCTTCTCTCTTAATTTTTACGACATACAAATAAGTAACAGTTTTTGTGGTGTTTTCTGTGAATTTTTTCACAATGTAAAAATATTTACAGAAAATTGCAGAGACATTTCGGTTAGTTTTTGTGCAAAAACAAAGAAGCAGGTGAGAAGTATCGACATGCTGTGTTGAAAGCGCTTGCCTTTGTGTTTCTGAATTTTCATCGTGACATCCTTAACTCTTTCTTTTAAAAAATGTGAGTACAGTTTTCAACCTGTAATCAATTAGGTTGGCTAGTCGATAAGCTTCATGTATAACATAACATAGAATATGAAGTCCAGAGCCAAATTTAGGTGAGTATTACCGGTGCTTCGACAGCAGGCAGCAAATTTTTCGAGGCAGAGAACAAAACAATGTAAAATCTCAATTTTCATTCCCACATGTACCAATTGTCGATGCGTTAAATTAGAGAATTTTGATAATTTTGCCTAGGGAAAACCTAATGATAAAAGGAAATTTTTTTCTATTAAGTCTGTGGACACCCTAGATTTGTACAAAAAAACCGCATTTTCAATGAAGATGCTCACATTATTATGATGAATGGATTTTTAGCTTTTTAAGCACCAACTAAATCATGTGATTTAGAAGGATCAACAATATGAGAAACTATCAAACAATTCAGAATTCAGGTCTTTTATAATGAATCTTTAATTTTTTTGTTTTTTAGGACATTGTATTGTGCAAAGGGAAACTATGAATTTGGAATCTCAAGACTCATCAAAAGTTTAGAGCCGTATAATAAAAAACTTGGAACAGATACTTGGTAAGTATTGATTCTGTAATGTTTTGAAAATATTTCTTTTGAGAGGAAAATCACTCGAACGCAGTCAAGATGGAGCCTTGATGTTTCGAAGCAGAACTTTTATTTCTGAAAAAATATTGAGTCTCTGATTCAAATTTTCCCTTGTTTTGCTTAAATCCCGTATGTGAAGAAGTAAATTACTTTTTGAAGTAAAATACGTGATTTATTGCCTCTTACATGATTTTTTAGGACTAATTTCTTAGCTTCCGGAAGTGAGTGGCAGAGAGATATTTAATGAAAATAGAACCTTTCCTTTCAATGATCGAAGAACTTGCAAAATTTTATTCAAATCAAACTTGAATTTTTTCATAATGCCTTCATTTGTCATAGTATTGATTCCCAGACAAAAGCATCTAACTGTATTTCAACATTGTAACATTCTAAATCAAGTATTGTATTTTTCTGAGACACTGTTGTACGGCTCTAGCTGAAACCTTCACTAATTTTCCCCACATGAAAAATATCAGCACAATTTTAGTCAGAAATTGCAAAGTTACTTTCTTGAAAAAACATTGATTTGTTTCAATTAATTTTGTAACCTTGGAATGGAGTTTCGTCCTTTCTTCCGGGAAGCAATGTCATTAATTTCAGAAAATTAATTTCCTTTTGTAATCGAAGTACCTAATGGCAAATAATCATCATGGATCTGAGAGGGTAATGTAAATCTCAGGATTCATGTTTTCACTATTTGCTAAATAAATTCATTCCACGCTTTCAGGTTTTACGCAAAAAGGTGCATGCTCTCATTGATCGAAAATCTAGCAAAAAATATGATCGTAACGCGTGATGCTTTCTATCAAGAATGCCTCATGTTTCTAGAGCAATGCGAATGTAAGTGCACTCTTTATTCCTCAGTGTTTTTTCTCTTTCAGGAAAATTCTGCAAATAATTTTCAATAATTTATCAGGAGGTTCGCTTAACAGATGACATAAGCATTTAACATCTTATGACATTAAATTGGACTGCATTTTGCAATTTGGAACTATAAATTCTGGCTCATGTGAAAAAACACTTATTTACATAGGGAAACTACACATACATACATAGGGGCACATACGTTTTCTTTAAACCGGGCCAGAATTTATAGTTCCAAATTGCAAAATGCAGTCCAATTGGTCATAACAGTTTAAGAGGCTCCGAAATGGACGACTTTAAGAGACAATCTAATATTATATATCCGTGAAATTGCCCAAAATTGGCACAATATAATTATTTTGATGGCGCAAGTGTGAAACCACGTATGTTCGTTTGCTACGCTGCAGACCTTCTACCATACTTTATTTTTTCTTTGAGTCACAATAATTTTTGAAAACTTCCTTGACTTTTCTTCTCTGTCAATAGAATATTCTTTATTAATTTCAAGCCATGGGGTTGACTTGTATTTCTTCAAAAAAATAAAACTCGAGTGGGAATTTTGAAACATTGCTATGGAGGTATGTGGTTTTGCACTTTGGCAATTGATTTGTGTAAAATTAGATAAAGACTAAAGAATGAGACATGAAGTTCTTAGAGAATGACTCTTCTCGCTTTTGTCTCCAATGTTTTGTTGGTTAAAATGTGTTGAAAACTCATGACCTTCACAAAAATACACAGATGAAAAATTATGCAATTTTGCAATTATGCAATTTTTTAAAAGAGGAATGATGTCTCATAATACGGGCGCTTAACATTTTTCTTGCTGCAAAATTTTGACCTCTTTTATTCAATGAAAAGAGTAATGCCCCAAAAAACGGAACAAGTTGATGGTAAAATTGCAAAAATGCTTATTTCAGTTGCGGTGTTTTGAAATTCTCACTCCTACTTTTAAGAGGAGACTGAACCAACGTCATGGCTTGAAATTTTCGTAGAATATTCTTTACATAGAAGAAAATATCACTGAGGTTTCCAAGAAATGATGTCTAGTATTTTTCTTTCCAGAAAATGAAATATCACAGGCAGTCTGCAACGTTGCACACCGAGATATGCAATTCTGCAGCTTCTTTATATTGATATAAATGGAATGCTATGAGACTCAATTTATTCAATCATTATAAACATAATGATTAAATTCAATATCATTAATTTGTTTTTTTTTTTTTTTTTTGCATAAATATATATATTGATGATGATCAAATTTTCTCTCAGAACAAGCTTATTGAAGAATTGATCTCTCAATGAGATGATACATATACATTTTATATCCAGGTATTATTTTTTCATGTATTTGTTGCTAATTTGGATTGCAGAACACTCAAAGATGTGGTTATTTTTTTACAGTGTACGGTCGTGAGGTGCTGACGTCAACCCCAATCATTGTCGGGAATTCAAACTTCCACAACGGCAAAAACACTGTGACCTACGAAGCTAGACTTCTAAAAGCTTTACTGTTGAAAATGCAACTGCATTGAAAATTTCTCTTGGGCTCAGATTCTTGTTAATTTAAAATTTGTCTTTTTAGCAGTTAACGTATGTTATTTCCATAGGAAAACTAAGAGTATTTAAATTAAAACGAATGCAATGGTGTTCTTTCATGCCAAATGTTTCTTCAAAGGAATTAAAAAATGAGTTGTCAGGATTTGAAATTTCTAGGTCTTGCCAGAGTTTGTCAAGGGCTGACATCCCCAAAATTTCTTTCATTGATTTTAAATTCCCTTTAAAAATCTGAAAGTGGTGTCATCAAGCACATCAAAAACAAAAAAAACTTCTTAAACTATTTTGAAAATGATAGTCATTTTATTCTGAAAATAAATCTACATTTACAGTATTAACAATAAAAAACATGTATCAGTTTTTCATATTATTCAGGTAAGTGCACTTGAAAAAGCAGAAAGCAAACAAAATTGACAGTTTCTCTTGAAAGTTTGGGGATACAACTCATCCCCACTAAATGAGACTGATCCCTTTGCCATGTACAACAATACGCAACTCATACTGCACCTTCTTTTTCCATAAAAATCTCAAGTTGAAAAATTATCTTCACTTTGATTATAAAAACAGAATAACCGATGATAAATTGATTCTTAAATTGCGGATGTAACTTTAAAAAAAATATATTTTAAGGCATTAAAAGCACCACAAATTTTATTTTCTTGTCACAAGAAATTATTGCAAGTCAGAGGTAATTTACAGATATGAATTAATGAACTCTGCAGAGCGAATTCTCCGTATTTTCCTGAGCAATAATTTATTTAAAAAAAAAAAAAAAAAAAAAAAAAAAAAAAAAAAAAAAAAAAAAAAAAAAATTATGAGCCTTGCATTAATGAACAGAATTAGATTTTTTGGGGTCCCAACGAACTATTAACTTATTAACTTGAAGCCACAGCTCTGCGCTGGGCCAGGTTTGAGCCAAACCCTGAACAAACTTAGCATCAATGTTTACGATATACTGATGATTCTATGATAGACCGCTTTCTTGTCAAGAGTCATGTGAGGAGTGTGACCAACTTATAACTTATTTTGTACTTAATTTATTGCTTAGTTAAGGTATTTTCGTGTTGGTACGGTTGAACATATAACAGAAAATTTTCCTAATTTTGACAGCAATAAAACAATATGAAATGATTTTAACTAATTTTCCTTCCTGTTTACTCAAAGAACATGTGATGAATGTTTTGTACTTCGATTTTCAACTTTAGAAAATGAGTTTAGGAATGTTAGGAGGTGTTCAAAATTATTCATTTTCGCATATTTTATCATAATACAAGTTCTAGATGCAGCAGGGTCAGATTAAATCATACGGTAAAAAATTTAGAATGAAAACTATTGAATGACTTGACGGCCTGTATAAACTTTTAAAACCAAAGAGATTTCATCAAATCTTTTGGGTTGACAACATGATAAACAAACTTTCATGGTCAATAAAACAACAACTTACAACGTCAAATAAAGTTTTGAAAATGCAATTAAAGGGATATAAAATGAATAACAAACTTAGACAAACAATACATGATACTTATGCAAACAGATACACTAACTAAAAATAATGATTTCTCAAAGTAATTTGGAGGGATGATTTGGTCTACATGATTTGGAAATCATACATAGTATTTTGAAAAGAAAAATAGTCCTAGTATAGAAAACGCATATATATTTGGTAATATCTAACTTACTGTAGAGGGGAAAATGTAGGGCTTATTGCACGGTCAAGAATTATGATGAGCTGAAAAGGCCTCAATACACATGCTTTTATCGCAAAACAAAGGGACATTATGCCATGAGAAAAACATCATACGGCTATGGGGCAATTTCAAACACAGACTTGAGCCTTATGAAGACTTCATAAGGGTGCAGCTTTTTTCAATTAATGATACTGATGACTTTCAAAATGTCCTAATCTGTGTAACTACAAACGTTTGGAACGATTTTACATTCACGATTCATCAGTTTGATTTTTTCAAATGATGATTTACACCCTAGAATGTCATCCCAGCAAGTTTTCTCATTAGAAACAGAGCCTTTTGCTGGTCTGTTGTAAATTTCGTGATTTTCAAAAATCACTTTCCTTAATTGACATTTTCTCAACAATAGAATTTTGATGGAATAGGATGGAAATATTGCATTATATTTGATGCTCTGCCAAACGTCCTACAATGACTACCACAGAACGCAAGCATCATGAACAATCCACAGGATAGGCTGCTTGCAAAGCCTAGCGTAGGGCAGCGTGAAAGAAAAATCCATGTCGTTGAAGGATTTGTAGCAAGGAAATCATCATAAATCAAATGCAGTGCAAACACTGAAAATTGAAAAGAGCCTTTCGCGTAACAATGCATAAATGATTCATCAACTTCTCGGATAAAATTAAAAAAAATTACTCTTTAAAGATACTCTTTCAAAAAAAAAACAAACAAAATCTCGAGTCCACTAATTAAAAAACTGATACCTTCATCATTTAAAATCTGAAACTTCGCTCCTATGAACATAGAAATGTGGTGGCTGCTTCAAAATATGTCACCAGTGATACAGGGGCTCAGTTAGGCTGGTCAGATTTTCCTGGAAAATACTTAGACACTTAGTACTCAGCAAGTTTTAGGTAGATTTTCTATGTTTGGGCACAAATTTGTTTCGCAGGCTAAAACTTAAGTGTTTATTTTTCAGTATTGTGAGCCGTTCAACTGGAAAATACATACTTTATGATATTGTCTCAGATGTTTAGCAAAATATTTTCATTCTTCTTCGTGCTTTTCCAGGTTTTTTTCGGTCTCTCTGATTTTCTCTGTTTTCCTTCATGCTGGACACCGTGCAGCACATAACCCGCACGGCATACCACAGCAAACGCACATAAAATAGCAAAATTCACATTCACCACCACGTACGGCCAATCCTCTATGCATTAAATTCTTCAATTGATGTGGAGCTGAGAGGGGACTGCAAGATTCAGTCTTGTAATATGCACTCGGTGGCATCTATTTAAAAATACAAATTTTATACAGAAATTTCTACAAAAGTCATTGAAGATACTCAGGGACGTTCTGTTCTCAATGATTAAAACTAATGATAGTAGGAAGAAACTTCCCCAGGGCTGCCACAGAATTTCGAAAATGAAATTCCCAGACAACCGAAAAAATGCCGGATGATTTAAAAGACAAAATTTGAAATAATTATCAGGCAAAATTTGTTGTTAGAAATGTCAATCCTATTATAGAAAGCAAATAAAGATGACATGAGAATTTAACCCGGACACTTTCGTCAATTCCTCGGCGTTTTCAGGTTTCCCCTGACATTTCCCAGTTTTCTCAGACTGTGGCAACACTGGTTCCCTTTTCACTATTATTAAATCATAACTGTCAGAATTCTTACCGAACTATAGATATTTGTGCAGAAACTATCTTGAAACAGTTACTAATGACCGGTTGCCTGAACATGGTCTTCAATTTCGCATTTTCTCTTAAACAACTCGCAGCATGTTGCACACTGGTAGTACCGCTTCGATGAGTGGTAAATCATATGCCGAGCAAGATTATGCTTGTTTGACAAAACTTGATGGCAAACTTTACACGTGAACCTCGCGTGCCTGTGCTTGTTATCAACATGGTGATCCCGGAATTGTCTTGTTCTGAATTTCTGCTTGCACTGTCTGCACGAAAAGCTCAAGTCAGGCAAGTGCGTGAGTTTGTGCGAGGCGAGACTATCGATGCCCTCAAATTTCAGAAAGCAAGTATCACATTCGAACTGATCAAGCTCCTGATTGTACGAGATAAGCCACCTCATCATGGATCCGTTTGGATGTAGCTCTTGACAAGTTCCTTTCATTTTGTTTGATGGAGCGAAATGTAAGAGCCGATGGTCAATATACTTGCGACTCGTTTCACAGACTACACCGCACAGATCGCATCTGAATTCTCCTGAATTGTGACGCACCTAAAAAAAGAAGAGAAAGGGAAAAGTCATGAAATAGAAGAAATTAAAGCGAATTACTCATCATAGCTATCAGCAGGGGTGCGCAATATACTAGATCATGCGATAAATTATCGCGTGAAATTGAGGAAGGCCTTCCCGATTTTCGGAAGCGCGATCACGCGATAAAGTATCGCGTGAAAATGTGGAAGCGTCCCAAATTTTGTGGAAATTTTTTTTCTTTCTTTCTTTCTTTTCGTTTCTTTTCTCGATCTTCACTTTGAATCTCATATTTTTCACCGAAACAAAAAAAAGGTCATCACTTTTTGGGGAAGGAGTCACGAAATTGTGGAAATTTTTTGAAAATTTTTTGTCGAAGAGGAAAAGCTTATCGCGCGAAATTGTGGAAGCATAGTAAAATGTGCACCCCTGGCTATCAGTTACTGCATCATGTGAAGAGGCATCAGGGAGAGAAATATGAAATTTTAACAGGTGGAAAATCTAAGTATTTTGATCAAGCTTGTTATTTTTTGATCGTGCCAAATTTATTTGAAGCTGAGGGGTTACTACAATTTGATTAGTCCTCTAGAACATCCCATTTATTCAGGGTCGTAGTCACGGCTAGCCCTGAATAAGGGAACCATTTTTGCCAACCTTGATTAAAATGCGAAAGTATAACTTTGGAGACGGATCATTACAAGGAATTGAAACGGTTTGCCACCGAATGAGGTACAATTACGAAAGAAAAAGTTCTACAATTTTGAGAATCATCAAAGTAAGTTTGCACCTAAAAGCCTTGTTTCCAGCATTGTTTTAATTTTATAAAAAATGAAAAAGCAAATAGAAAAAAATTGAGCAGATAACTGAGGGAATTTTAAAATGGTGGGGCCAGCAGAAAAATGGAAGGCCAAGAACTTTTTGCACCTTTGGTAGAACTCGCATCAGATAAATTGGCAGTTGTTCACTTTCGGTTTGCGAGCAACTGCGTTGCAGTCTTCCACTGGCTATCAAGGATTGACCGCAGGCAATGATGCCCACGAGAGCAGACGCAAAAATTGGTCTACTGTGCATAAGAGTCAAAAGTAAACCAACAATAAAAGGCACCAAATGGAACCACCGCGCGTTAAAATCCAGAAAACTGGAAACCTCAATGTAGAGGGGAAAAGCTCATTCGAGCACAATTTTACCCCAATAAGATATGCTGTTTGGTGCAACACTAGTTAAGACCATACAGGAAGGCAAATGGTTGTGTTGCACCGAACAGCGTATCTCTTTGAGGGAAAATTGTGCTAGAATGACCTTTTTCCCTCTGTATTAAGACTGCCAGTTTTCTGGATTTTAACGCACGTTGGCTACATTTCCAACCTACTGTCTATACAACTTGTGCGTCTATCACAATCAGTTTGGCAAAAGTAAACGACTAAAAACTCATCTGACGCAATACCTATGTGCCATTGTTTGGCAAGTTGATTAACTGCAAAAATAATAGGTACCTGTTTATGGGTGTTCAAAGTGAATTGTGACTGGAATCTCATGAGACAAATGTCACACTCAAAATAAATTCCCTCTTCATTTTCCAGAAGATCATCTATTTCTGGGTTCTTGTTAATGACAACAATGCAATTATCAGTGACTTCAGTTTTCACTTCTGCAATTGGAGCAGGTTCTGGCTCTACTGGTTTAATCTTTGCTGAGGTGATTCCTTGAAGTTTTCCCCGCAGACTTTCACTCATTTTAATGATTGTGTCGAGATCATTGTTCATCTCACATTTCACATCCACACGCACAGTGGGCTGTAGGTCACCGTTGGGCTTTTGATCCGAGTCATTGCTGTCGCAGACAACAAATGCGTCGTCATCTTCATCGATCGGTTCTGTTTTGATCTCTTTCTTAATTTGAATCGTTGAGCATTCAGCCATGTTGGAGGAGAGGAAAATCTTTTTAGATACAAAAGAAAGTGAAACACCTATTTGATTCTCAGGCAAAGGAGTACGATTACTGAAACAGGAAAATAAAGCCGAATTTTAATATTCATCCTAGGATACATTGGGCTAAATCTATGGTGAGACGAAAGAAGAACAGGAGGTGAAACCAAATGTGAACCTTTACAAAACGAGGTGGATAACGATGGCTTGACTCGGACACCACCTGTCTAGTTTGCAACAATGAAGACTTCTCATATTATTTTATTATTTAATTAGAGAACTAATCAAAACAATTTTTTTAGAGACATTCATGATTTTAAATATTCAATTTAAGTTTCCAGCAATGAAATCGTCTCAATTGTGCAACTGTTTCCTAATCAGATTTGCTCTCTTTTTCGTTTAGTTTTTATAGTGCACTTTTCTTGCAATTTTTAGGAAGGTAAGTCGTCAGACTGTAAGTCCATGCACTTTAAGGTGAAGGGCTCGATGTCGAGTAAATTAAATAATTAATTGATAAAATGCTCTTCTTTACTTCCTGAGCAGAACGAGCTTTTCGATCAAACATCCGACAGGCCAATTCCAAGAAAAGCAGAGTTTACAGATGAATATAATGGTACTATTGCACAAGCCATCTTATAGAGACACGGCATTGCCATTGAGTGAGATGTGCGAGGCTTTTTGTTCTTCAGCAGTTGGCACATCCATCTGGACATCCGAGTTGGAGAACAGCAAGCGAGGAAAGAAGAGCCACTCAGCGGGCTGATTTTTAAAATTGATAGACAAAGTGATAGACATAGAAGACATAGGGAACATGGAGCGACCCAATTGGCTGATATGGGTGGTTGTTACAGACCAAGGGGGAAAATGATGGACTAACTACAGAATCTCTCATGGGTTGCCGTTAGTTAGGCTATTACCAACCTCCCTTGTTCATTGGAACCACCTGCTTCCACCAATAGGATCCCTCCTGCTCCTCATGTCTTCTTTATCTATCGCTTTGTCTATCAATTTCAATGATCAGCCCCCAGGAACCAACATTTCTTTCGGAAAGTGTGTTAAAAAATACTGACAAATAAATTCACTTGTCAGCCTCTTTTTCTCCTACAATCTGCACATATAACTTCGGTTTTGAGGCTCTTCATGCTGACAGGTTGTTTATAACAGAAATACTTACTTGATGAAATTTTGAAAGTGCCAAAACTCTAGGTTTTGTGTGCAGGGCCATTAGATGATACATATCGACGGCGTAAGACCGCAATCACATAACTCGGTTTGCAATGTCGCAGACTTACTGTCATACTTTATTTTTTAAACGGAAAACTACTTAACGGCAATTCCTTAAAACTGCCTTAAAACTTCGCTGTGCAAAGAAAATCCTGCAAAAACATCAAGGAATGATTTCAATTTGTTCTCCTTTAAAAAATAACGCAGAGGCAGAGATTTTCAGACACCGCAAACAAGATATGTGATTGCGGGCTTTCGCCGTCGATATGCAGAATAGAGAGAACTGATGAAAATTTCTCTTAAAAATGGAAGCAATACAAAAAATTTACTTCTGGGTGCTTGAGGGGTAAGAAATGAGTTAGTTCTTGAAAAACCAGTACTATTATTGTGGAAAGTTCAAATCTGATAGGTGGCTGGGCCAATGCCTATTTCAGCTGACAATGCGACTTCATCGCCAGCCATGTCTAGGGTCTGGAAGATGAAAAGTTACTGCATGAGAACGGTATACTTATAAGAATGATGCTAATGAGACGTCAGAGAGCACATTTAGCTGAGTTCATGAAGGACACGCTTTCAAAATTGCTTAAAACTAAAGGTAAATAAATAGTTTCTCGTACATACCCTAAATCCTAAATGTGAGCTGTTACAGTAATTCAATTCAGCTAAACGGTGAGGAGAGAACTTTTGGATGGCGCTTTTAAAAGTTAGATGGAGAAATTTGATTAAAACACAGTTAGATAGCGGTACTCATTGTAAGTTATTTGATACAGGACAGGAACTTTCCTAACGTTTCTAAATATGTTTTTTCGATAACCTCAAAACCACTCTCAACTTTCTAACCTAAAAGTGCATCTAGCATCATTAATGCGATGTTGTCTCATTGCTATAAGTGTATCGAATATTTATTAAAAACAAACTTGTAAAACAATATAATTTTATTTGGCAATAGTGCCCTTTGATGTGTAAGAACTTCTCATTATCCTATATATGAGGTTGTCAGATGTACATTTTCTTTTTTTTTGTAGTCATTTCGAGTTGCAATTTTAAACTGGCAACCTCACAATCCAAACAAAAGAGCGAGAGTGACAGTCAGCCAGCGTCGCGTTTGTAAACATTGTCAATAAGTTGAATCAGTTCTTCGAAAAGACTCGAAATTTCCGTACTTCGGGCCATTTCGGGTGATCGGGTCATTAATCAGTAATCACTTTGGTCTTCATGATATTCCGCTGTGCAATTCCGAGTCGACAAATTCTCAAAAGTGTCACCATCGGAATCCCCCAGCGACGTAAGTTTCTGTACACCCCAAGCTCAAACCTCCAACATCTCTAGCTCACTGTCGAGTCTCTTTTACTCCCAAGCGTTTTGCCTTACCTACTTCTAAAGTTGTCTTATTTGTGTAGCTCGTCGTTTCCTAACCATCATGATGAATGGCAAGGAGTCAAAATGCTTTGTCTTCATCGATCTTGAGACGCATGATCTCTACAGACCCAGAATTACGGAAATCTGCATGATAGCTGTCCTACGAGAGCACATCGCAGATGCCCACCTGAAGCAAGAATTTTCTGCTCCACGAGTGTTAAACAAGCTCTCAATCTGTATGGCTCCAGAAGCGTCAATTCATCCAACAGCTGCAGATATAACAGGTAACCAAAAGACAAGTATATTCAAGCTTTCGTTTGCGTTTGCTTATTTCGTTGTCCCTCTAACGTGAGGGCGTATCTCAATTTCTACATGAGCCCTGCTCTCCACACAACTCAATGCTTTCAAGGACTCACTCGGACATAGAGATACGCCCTTACGTCAGGGGAGCGACGATTTGTCAATTGATTAATGTCTAGTCTTGTGCCGAGGATGTCGTTTTAATAATCAGGCTGCTGGTTGACTCTGGAGTCAAGTAAATAGGCAGTTTGCCTGTTCCTTTATCTATACTACCTCTATGTGGGCTGATTTCACACTGACTCTCATTTAGCTCATTCTCCTGTTTAGAATTGGGGAAAGGAAAGATCCAACAAAAGTCGCATCAACCTGAATGCAGCAATCATCAGTCGACCCATATTAAGAAGGAAGGATAAGGAATCCTATGTATTGCTTGCTTATTATCTGTGCAGGGTTGATAGAGTTTGTGTCAGATAACTTGTCCTTTCTCATTGTACGCGCTGCAGTGCATACAGCGGAAAAGGACAAGTCATCCAAAACGGGCTATGGTACCATGGTAGCGTTATCAACCGTTAGTCAGGATGGTCATCTTCAGATGCATACGGCTAAACTTGGAAACTCAGTGTAAAGTTTAATTGGAGTGTCTCAAAACTTCCACCTCTTTTTAATTCATTGTTTGGAAAGTCGCTATCTGATTGCGTTAAATTCTCTTACTTAATTTGTCCCACAAGTAGAGGAAAAAGTCACAGAAATTGTTATGAAACAACGCTAATTAATTTCTGAATTATAAGTAAAGTACGACTAGAGGCTAGAGGTGTCATCAAATAAGTTGACTTTGGTTTACTTTCGATTTTCAGGTGTTTTCACGTTACTGCTATCCACATGAAAACATCAAACTCTCGTATAAGGGAGAACACAAGCTTGGATAGGTGCTTTAATACTTTCAAACCTTGTGACATTTTAATTTTTAGCCACACAGAAATCACAACCACATAAATGTTGCAATTAATAACTGATAAGTAGTTTTTTACGTTACAATCATGAGACAAATGTTTTTAAGGTGGATCGTAGTAAACGATCCTTTGTGCGGAGGCGTAAATTCGTTTGTGTCTGCAAATCGAATTTAAACAAATGTCAACTTATCTGATGACTCCTCTATGGAATGTTGGAAAAGCAGGAGTGCAGAAAGTTCATTACTTTACGCTTTCACCAGCAAAATGCAAATTTTCCCTACGCACTATTACTTAGCGCAGTCGAAGTAAATTTGACGGAAAATAAGCACAATTGAAGTAAATCTGACTGAAAATCAGTGCTGCTACTGCCGGAGTGTACACCGTTCACCTGGAAATGCAGATCGCCAGTTCGGGAACACTCTGCACCCCTGTGGAAAAGGAGATGTACAGTGTTAAAGTTCAGCCATCGATAAATTGTTTATCGCCAAGGCTGCAAATGATTCGTTAAGTTAACCTTTTGGGAGTTGACCATAAGGTAGTCCTGATGAGATAGATGAGGTTGCAATTTAAAATCCATGCTGTAGCTTGGTCGCTAAGGTATGCATTCAGTCATGGAAGAGGCGCTCTATGGAGGTTAAGAAATGAACTTCAACTTCTGACCGTTCTTTGCAGAATGCAATGCACTTTGTAAACTTAAAATTTTTCGGCAACTCACGATTTTTTACCCAGCGCTCAAAAGATTAACCGGGTAAAATTCATGGTGGTTGAAAATGATAATAAAAGAACATTTGTAAGACTGTCATCTGGATGTATTAGTTCACCCTTGTAACCCTCAAAATAAGAGAGACGAAATCTGGGAATTATATGTTTTGAGTGGCAAAGCTATTTTGGGCTTTTATCAGTACTCAGACGCACATGGGTATTTCCAAGTCACGCACAAATTGAGGGATTAGCACAGGCAGTTTGAGGTTTGAACAACTCACTTCCAATCACTTCTAATTGAACTGTCCTTCTAGTTCTCGTAAATTTCCGCTAAGTGTTTTTCTAATTCCTCATTTTGTCAGGAATTTGATCAAAATCAAATCTAAATGTTGGGTTTATTTTCAGGACTTTCAAATGAGCTGTTACAAGAATACCCTGTCTTCAATGAGCAAACTGGAACGATGATTCAGACATTCATTGATTTGTTGCCGAAGCCTGTTTGCTTGGTTGCTCATAATGGGCATAAATTTGACTTCCCTGTCTTAAAGAATGCCCTGCTGAAAGTCAACAAGGTACAGTGATTTTGAGATTAACCTCTTGGAACCTCTTCATGAAGAGATCTTTATTTTTTGTTCTGTAGTTCAAAGTATTTCCTGATTCATTTAAAGCACCATACATTCTAGAGTAAATAAATATAATTTAACAGGTTTGTAGATGAATTTTTCCAGTTAAAACTTGATATTGGCTGGACTCATATCTTGATACATAATTTAAAGGGATAAAATGCGATGCTCGTTGGTTCAATTTATTTATACTGACGGTTATATCAGTGGAAATAAAAGAAAACTGTAAACGTTTGGAACTCTATAGTTTCTCTTCAGAGCTTTTTCTGCACACAAGAAAACTGTCTGTTGAAATCCTGATTATGTAGTTTGGACACAAAAAAAAAACTAAGGGAAGTTACATAAAGCCTTTGGTTGGTTACATCAGACATAGACGTTTCCCCTTCCTTTATTGGGCTAGATAAGTGACCGACACCTGGTCGGTTTTTAGGACCAATTAATGCACAACAAAGAGGAAGGTATCATCTTCCTTTGCAACGGACCAATCTCATTGCTTTATTTCACCCTATTCTCATCTTCTCCAATCGACCCACTGTTATTTGGACAGCATTCAGCATTGAACCAAGCCACAACACCTATTGCCAAAATTAAGGGGGCATTTTAATTTTTAATAAAAGAACGTTTGTGCAGATTCCTTTGAAAATTTTAAGGAATTTGCTTTGTAATATATGGAATATTCACTGAACTTTGCACAAAAATCCGCACAACCGTTTCCATGTAAAAAATTAAATTGCCCAATTAAATTTGGCAATAGCTGATGTGGCTTGGTTCCTTTCTACATAATGCGATCCATTTGGATTGAGTTTAACGGAAACGCACCAAGCCGCAATTGAAAAAAAATTGGTTAGGAGTAGTTTTGAATGCAACTAGTCGTAAATTTTCTCCTAATTTAAATTCAAAGTTGAGAAAAAATATTTGGAACATGGAAATAATTAATGAGCTTTGCACATAACATTGAGTCTTATTAAGGAATAAAATAATTTCCAACCTTTTTTCCTCGATTCAGACTTTATGTGTCCCCATTAAACTCTTGTCATCTCTACTTCAGAGATGTAGGTATAAAGTCTGTGGGAAGTCAGTCAGCAGCAGTCAGAGTACCAAGGATGAGAAATCATCTAACAGGAGTCAATGGTTTTTTTGGATGAAATTTTTGCCGAACATCAAGAGTTGAAAGCATTTTCAATCGAAATGATAATCATAGAAATCTAGCGATTGTTTCCCCTAAAAATTTGTTTTACATGCAAGTTGTAATTTTTTACGGAATCAATCATCTCACTGGTTATCTTGAACCCACCATTTCTCTCAATACAAGTGTTAAAATGGCATCAACGAATTATTAAATTTGCTAAATTTACATATTTAAAATCTTTAAGAGTCATAACTCACTCAAAAATTAAGCTATCAATTTGAACGTTTTTACAAAACTTCACCAAATTTGATCACCTTTCAAACACTTTATCACTGAAGGAGGGTTGCCTTGCAATAAAACTAGTTTCAGGCCTGCCCTTTAAGGGCTTCAAAAATTTTGAATATGGTAAAAAGTATCCCTTATTGATTGAAGAATTTACCCAAAATCTTAAATCTCCAAGTGCAACTGTTTTCAACTTCACATGGGGGTCGGAGGTGTAGAATTTCTAATCACCTGTATTTTGCCCAGAACAGCATAAGAGTGTAATCGTAGCACAGCTATTCCTGACCCTCCAAAGGCATTCTCTGAAAGGAGATTGGAATCATTACTTCTAGCCTTTTTATTATACCTATTGTAACTTAATAATATCAAGGTTCACTTTCACTAATTTCACTTTCTCTGTAGTAATTTCAATTTTATTTTTGCAGGATATGCCCGAGCATCTCAGGTGCTCCGACACTCTCCCTGGGTTTAGGAAAGTGTTCAAAGATTGGAAGATGAAAGCTGAACTCTCATTTGTCGAGACTCTCAGCCAAAACGGAGTCCCTTTGACAGACGCAAGTCCCCTCAAAACTCTCAACGGATCAACGGTTGGATGTGACAATTTATCTGATCAAAATGGAGCTGCCATCAAAGAAAGACAAGAAGCCAGAGTACCAAATGGTGTAACAGTGACAAATGCAGCAGTAGAGTCCAATGCTGCAGGAACTTCTAAAGTTCCAGAAACAACTCTTCTTGATTGGGGACATGACAGTGAGGATGAAGCTCTTGCACAGATGGACCTTGATGCTATTGTTGCAGAAGCAGAAGCACAGGAATTTCTCTCGCAAATTGCAACACCATCAGATTTGCGGGAGAATTGTTCCCAACTCTCGTGGAGTAAACCCGTGCGAGAAACACCAAAAAGACCTCGGGAAGAAGAAAAGAAGTCTCCTGAGATTATTTTCCTGGACCTGGATGAAACCGACTCAGAGAGTCAAGGAAACGCTAGTGGCGAGCCTGCAATCCTTACACCTGTCAAAGTGCGAAAGGACCTGTTCCCATTTACAGAACCCGCTTCGTATAGGCTGGAAGATGTGTACAAGAAATTAAGAGGCTCGACACCTGTGGGCCACCGAGCTGAGGCTGATGTCCTAAGTATGTTAGAGTGTGTTCTTGTCATTGGCCCAGAAATCTTGGAGTTCTTTGATAACAACAACATTTTATTTGCTGATATTCCAGTTCCTTTGAGATATAGATAGTCGTATGCATGGAAAGTGTGGCATCTGTCCAAAACTGTTGCAGCAAAATCCTTTTTTTCCCTGCATGTTTTGTTAAATTTTTTATTATAGAATCAATACCTTTCAAGTTAACTTCTATGTAACGCCATCCGTTATCATAATGGAAAAAATATTTTTAGGCTTTAAAATTAATGATAGTACTTTGCAGACTTAGTAATTATCAAACTGCTCCGAAAACACTATATTTTTTTTGGTAAATGGCTCCAGTAATGGCTATGAAATTTATCAAAGTTTGTGGAATACACTGTTGTATGCATACTGAGTAGAATCGATATAATTTTAAGGATTTTATGGAATGTAGAGTACTCCTTTTGAATCATATTTTTAATTTACAATGACCACGAGAAAGGTATGGCCCTTTAGGTGCGCAGATTAATGACGGGAAGTGGCTTATGTCTATCATTTCTATCAATTTGTCAAAAGATATCCATACAATTGCATCCCCTTCACAGACTTGTGTGCTTCAAGTGCTGTGTCTGAAAAATGTATCCTCTCACGAAATTCTTGGCTTTTATTTGTTACTTCAAGCAGAGGTTTTGAACAGGGTTACATATGGGAAGAAGTGAACCTCCTCTGAAAGAAGCGGAGCTCTGATGTTAGGACTCGGCACAAATTTTGAATGTGGATAATATAGAGAGCTAACATATTTAATAGTCTACTATGTGTGCAGAAGTTTTTTCCCTCTGCTTTTTCTGTCCTGCCTTTAATTTTTCGCAAAGTCCCAACATCAGTTAACTGCCAGTTGCGGCAATTTCGATTACTCACTATCAAAAGAGGGCACTTACAGTTCATTCCTTTTTATTGTACACGCCTTAGGGTTCTCAAAATGCAAATCATTTTCTCTTTCCTCGTTTAAATAATATTTTGCAAGCTCTTTATTTATTATTTTCTGAATGTATTTTTAATACACTACATTATTCAGTGTAGATTTTTGGACCCAGAAATTTGTGTTCTGATTTAATAATTGATCTATTCTGTTCCCCAGACTACTTTTTACAGGACCAAGTAGTCTGTGTCAATTTTAGAACCTTTGACTTCGGACATTTTTGTAAACTTTTTGTGCAAGTGTTATGATTTTTCTCAAATTATCAAATTTTCCAAAGCATGGAATTGGAAAGGTTTGATGTATGATGCATGTCAAAAGTATTAGTATTAGAAAAAAATGTTGGCAAGAAACAGCTGTCATTCAACACCAATACGATGGATGAAAATTTTAGTGTAAATTTTACAACCTCATTCGATTCTGCCTCTTCGGAAGCTTGAAAGCCTGGGCCCTGAGGAAGCTTTCAAATTTTCTTTTTACTCATTTTCTACCTGATCAAAGTTTTTTTAATCACTAAACTTAAATCATAATTTAATTTTGGGAGAACATTCATTCTGAAAAAGCTTTCATAAAAATTATCTCTTTACAATTTACAATTGATACAAAATTTCAAATTTTACAATTGATTAATTGTGTTCATGATATTATTTACCATTTTTCTATGCAATCCATGTGTCATTTATGTTGTTGCAAAACGTGTTCCATCTAGATTATCTATTCTTTTGTGTAATTTGACCAAAAGCAGATCGATGGTTGCAATATTTGCACTCAAAGATAAGAACAGCGGAGAAGCAACTTTGAAAAATGATAAATTAATGAAGAACAACAATCCTTGTTGCATTTTATGAGCTTTGACTGTCATTCAATAGTATTGGGCAAATAATATTAAGAGAAAGTTTTTTATGAAATGCTAGTCTTTCGGATACTTGCTGTAAAATTTAAAGTAAGCAATAGTAGAACAAAGCCATAAATAGATGTACAATGAAAGTTTGTTATGACTAAATCTCTCAGAAGATGGAGTTTTTGTTGATGCTTCTTCAAAAACCAAGTGAAAAAATACGTTTCAGACGAAATCGTGGGAATGTCGATCAAGGTTTAAGTCAAAACTTTCTACGGTGTACAAGCTTTCACTGTATTTTTGTATTTAATTCCTTTGTAATTCAAGACTGAGTGCAAATCATTGTCATCATGGAAAAGAAACTGTATGAGGCCTTCTGATTTTGGGAAAGAGTATTACGAAGAGAGTTGAATGAGAGAATGGAAAAGCATAAATCAAAATTAAAAACTCTCTGTGAAGGTTGTCTTCAATATTTACCCTTGTTCTCACTTCTTCTCACATCCTTTTCCATCGCTTTCTCAACAGAAATTGAGGAAGCAACGAAATATGCCTTTTGTTTTAAAATCGATATAATATTCCAAGAACTTAAAATTTTAGTTAAGGATAATGGATGTTACTCACAGCATCTTTGAATTTACCAATGAAAAAGAGTAAAAAAAAAGGAAGAAAACAGTAGGCAGCTGTAAACAAATTTTCCTCGTTAATTATTAATTATTAATGTGATGTAAATTTTAGTGAGTCTTTCAAAGAGGTGTGTCGCTGTACTCCCTCCTTAGCTGTAACTAGTTGTACCAATGTCTTTCAAACCAACTTAATCTCTTAAAATTTTATATTTCTGAGTTGTTCATTAGACTTGTCAGAGCGTGAAGCATTACATTTTTTGGTAATAAAAATTTCAAGTACGTAAAAAGTACTACCCAATTGAATATCTGATACAACGCACTTTTTTTAAGGCTGATGGTTCCAATTGGAATATATGCTGTGTTAAAAATCTTACGCTTACATTAGTCCTTATAATACATTTTACTTTAAAACAATACTCAAAGTTTGTCCGAATTTTATCATAAACTTCATTATCAGCATGAAGTACTCCTTTTTGAATATGTAGTTGTTTATTCGTTGAACTGATGTATATAAGTTAAACTTAGTTTTAGTACAAATTAAATTTATTGCGATCAATTTTTTTCAAAATTGAATGTTGTTAATTGTAATTTGTTGTAGATATAAGTGCAAGTTACCCTGCCATTAAACCGATCGGCCATTCATTTAAAACGGAGATTTTTCCCACTTTCATGCTGTTGAACTAAAACTTGGAGCTTGGCTGTCGACTCCAAAAAATTTAAAATTTACCTATAAGGTTGTGAAAAGGCACTTTCGAATTTAGTAGCTGGAACCTTATAAAAGTGAAAAAAATTTTTGCACGAATTCTTGCACGCATTTATTTGTAATTTCAAATTTTCTCAGAATAGTTGTTTCATCCAAATTGTTGTATACTGTAACATTTTATGTTTTCTATGCCATTAGTTTTACAGTCAACCGTTTTTGTAATAAATATTGTTTAGCATGGAATATTTTGATTTTTTTTACTTGATCCTTCATTTATTTTGTTCAAAAGAACTTTGAATGGGTCAGTTGCGCTGATCTGAGAATCGTGTTTTGATGATTGATTCTTGTAGATTGGACGAGAAATTAAGATCCTTCCAAACATCAACTTTCTCTACACTTAATATTAAACGAGACATCGCACTTTGAGGAGTTTGGTTTATGACGTCATTCACCGCGGTAGTGGTGCCATGGTTTCCTCCACCTTAGTTTCATTAAACAGTGGTAAGTACACGGATTGGCCCTGGCTCCTTGATGTGGAACACGGACAAAACCAAGGTGGAAGAAACCATGGTATGCACTACCGCGGTGGATGACGTCATAAACTGAGTTTTTCAAAGTGCGACATCTCGGTTAATATTGAACAAAGGAAGCTGCTGTTTGGACAGATCTTATTATTTTCGGCTAATCTACAAAAATCAAGCATCAAAACACGATTCTGCAACTAGTACAACTGACCCATTCCGACTCATGTTCAAGTAATGAAAGCCCTTTTCCTTTGAACAAAACCCTCTACTTCTATTTTTATCAGGAGTCATTTAGAACCCTCCAGATACTTAGGTAGCTTCACATTGAAACTAGACTCAGATCGACCCTCACTGAACCTTTAGGAGAAAAAGGGTTCCAGCTAGTGCCAGTTTTGCCGGTCCAAGGCGCCGTGGAAAGAACTTGGATTGATACGTTCTTTTCTCTCTTTACCATCACACTTAATGAAGCGGTACGACTTTTTTCTGTGCTTTCAGTGATCATTTTTCTGAGTTTGCACTCTTCCATTCAGGTATCTATCTCAAAACAGGTAAATTTTCAGAAACCCCTCCTCTACCATTTTAGCCTTTTTTTAGATGGATACTATCCTCCTTTCACATGAGGAAGTAGCAGGTTTTGCTTTAAGGGTGTTTGTCTGCACTTTCACATGAAGAATACGAAAGTAGTTTCAGGGGTATTGGTCGTTAAAAACATAAAATAGTTCTGTTTGTTTCATGCGTGAAAAGAATTATAACTTTTTTAGTGATGATGATGCATAAAACAAAAATGGAAAATGTTAAACATAAATTTACAAGGAACATTGTCCATGAATAATCTTTCAGCCACAGACAATAAATAATCAAAAACAAGTTGAATGTGAACAAGACTTTATTTCAGTTTTTTCCTTCTTCTTTTTTTTTTATAATAAAAAAGAAAGATCAAATGTTTACCAACAAATTTACCTCTTGTGTCCACATGTTTCAGTTTTGAGAGCTTTGAAAAATATCCTTACTAAGTATAAAATAAACATGTGACCAGGTATGCGAAAAGATGACTTAGAATGAAAGGCCAACATCACTCAGGTCAATTTATCAACTGTCCGAACCTAATAAAAATCAATGTCTAATAAACTCAAAAATATTGTATCAAAAAAGTCGATTTTTGGGAGCTCCTTCGGCAAAAGACAAAAAATTAACTCCTCAAAGCAGTGACTTTCACTTTCCCCATGCTTGGTCAAAAATATATTTATAAACTCGACGTTGCAACTTTAACTCTCGGGGTTTTTTAATATAGAATCAAAAACAATTTATTGATTGAGCCTCCAAGAAAACAGCGACTGAACAATTTTAAATGATTGAAGTGAAAGATGTTGATGGCTAAACTTGGCCTTTCGAGGCCTTTGAAAAAAGTGTCAAAATCAAGCAGGCACTTTACATAACCATTCAAACCACGTGCTAGAGTGTCATGAGGTCATTTTCTAATTATTTTTATTTTTTGATCAACAATTTTTGACACAGGTATGACTAACATCTGATGCTAAATTAGTTTGCATGCTGAACATCAACAATATAATTGTATTTCAAGTTTTCACAGTTGGATGATTAAAAAGTTAGTGATGGTGCACAATGCACACACAAAACAAAACGGGGAAAAATTTAACCAACTTTCAAAGGGAGATATGAGACGGTAAATTTCCTGTCCACCCTGCTCTAAGCTGTTTCCTCAGCTCAGCACAGATTTTTTCAAATCCTGGTCGAACTGATAAATTCATATTTTCCTCTGGATCAATACCATGATGGTAAAGTTCCACTGCTTCGACTGCACTCCAGTTGGCCTTGAAAGTTATTGGATTGAACTGAAGCCACTCTGTGTATCGGAAGACTTCTGTCCTTAAAGAGTATCCCATTATTTTGATCTGGTTGTTGTGAGGTTTGTCGCTGTTAGGTTTCATTGAGGGGTACAGACCTGGACGCGGGTATTGACTGAACACACCTGTTTTCCATGGGATCTTTGTCCTTTGATGAGAAGTGTACTGGTTTATCAGGGGCACCAAGCTAATTCCCTCTGAGCAAAGTTCAACCGTCCTAGAATCTACTGGGCACAGGGGCAGAGGTTTCAGGCCAACTAAATCAACAAGGGTTGGGAAAATATCGACCAGTTCAATGAGTTCATCTACATATGAGAAGGAATTCGTGTTGGGATTGCTTCCATCTGTCTTCCCGGGGATCTTTAGGATGAACGGTACACGGACAGCCCTCTCAAAGTTGCTGTACTTTGACCATTCTCCATGCTCGCCCAATGACCAACCTGTGAGAGATACTTCCAAGTTAATCTAAAAATCTTACTCTTTTAACTACAACTAAGGAATACAGGCAGAAAAAAAGTGATTAAGATTTGAGCCAAAAACAATTATTGAAATCAAAGAAAGCGCAGATTTTTTTTTTTTTCGAACAAAACTCGTTTTGATGAGCATAGAAATGTAACAAAGCAGGAGTAATGCAGCTGATTTCGACTTGGTTAAAAAATAATGCAAAAATAACTTCAATAAAACAGTCCAAAAAATAGCTGAATTCCTCTTTGCTGTTCCAATCTGCAGGCTGATTGTTATTGGGGCTGTTAGGCTAAATGTTAGACAAAGCTGTAGACAATGAAGACATATGGAGTATGGAGGGATCCCACTGGTTGAAATGGGGGGTTCTTATAGACTAAGGAAGAAAATGATGAAACGACTGTAGGTTCTTTTGTGGGTTGCCATTAGTTAGTCTATTACATACCTCCTTTGTCCATTGCAACCACCTACTTCCACCAATAGGATCCCTCCATATCACTTTTGTCTTCTTTGTCTATAGCTTTGTCTACCAATTTTAACAATACCCCCCCCCCCCCCTGCTGAAATGAACTTCACTCAGAGCCTTGCATGGTTTCTGTGCATTATTCATTTGTTGTTGGGTCCGCGAAAATGACTGCACATTTTTGTTTTTCAATAAATTAATTATGACTCTTTATACCTAATTTTCTTGCAACTAAAAAGAGAAAATTTTGCACTATTGATACACCTAAAACAAATTTCCCAATTTATAACACATTGTAAAATTGACACTAGAAGTAATTACATTCCTACAATTCTAAAGGAAATTTCTAACATGGAAAAGGGTAAATATGGGTGTAGGTAGAGCGGGTTATGAAATAATTACAAGTCTGAAAAGTTCCTTACAAAGTGTTTTCAAAAATTCAAAGATACCTATCCTTGGTTAAAAGTCAATAAATAATGTAGTCATAGTGTCAGATCTCTTTCTTTCAAGACAGAATTTAATTGAAATTTTTCCTCTTACAGGAGTTTGTGCAATGTTCCAAAAGAAAAAATGTTCATGTTGAATACGATCAAATGCTAAGGTTAATTTTGAATCAATTCTCTTTTCCCCCGAGCACTCATGTTAAGGTTACTCACCATGATCACTAGTTAGAAGAACAATTGTGTCTTTCTCAAGACCACTTGCAGACAAAGAGCTCAGTAAGTGTCCAATCAGGTCATCTATGTATGATACAGCGGCGAAATAACTCTGCCGTATAAGGCGTACCCATTTATCTGGAGAGAAATAGAATTATATAACAAATTAGAGAGAAATGAGAAATAAAAAAAATGAATGAAAGAATCATAAAACATGATTCAAACTTAATAGCCTGTTCATTTGTGGCTAGGCAACTTTTCATAATGAGGTTGAAACAACATTCGATTTTTAGGGCACATTTCAGATAATTTGTCCTTTTTCACACTACGCCTGGGATACGGAATTCCCTATTTGACGCATACAGTGAAACAGAACAAGTTATTTGAGACGAGCTATGGTTGGAACTAAAGAACAAATTGGATGATGATAAATTAAAACTAACAAGATAAACTTGAATAATAGGCACCGTGAATTCAGTAGCTCTACTTAAGATGTGAGAACCATCGATTAGAGTTTGAATTTAAGGAAGGGCCTGAGACGCCTTGAAGCAGGTTAGTTTTTAAATTTCATGGCGCTCTTAATTTCTTTTAGCAGTTTCTTTTTTCTTAATTCTTAATCTATAAAGAATTCAGCAGATATTAATTATAGAAGAATAACCTATTATTTCCTGAATAACACAATTGTTAAAACCCCTAAGCCTGCCAAAAACTGTTGAACTAACTATTATAATAAAAAATCTTGAAATAGAAAAATATAATATAAAAAGCACACTTTGTTGACTTGGTTTTGTTTTAATTACACTCTGTTTTTCATTTCAATGAGTTATTGTTAGGTAGTGTTCAAGACGTTAGCTGAAAAGTATGAGAATAAATTGATGCTTTTAGAAAAAAAAACATTGAAATGTTTTTGTTTGGCGATTTAAAATCTAATCCAGTTTTGATAAAGTCCAGAATATCAATGGCTGAAGTGAGAAAATGTGTATCCCTGATTTCTACTTTGTAATCTCTCCTCCCCTTTTCAAATTTTTAAAAGAAAACCAACCAATAATTTCCATTTAAATTTTCTATGAATTCCCTTCACTCATTCTAAAACTAATTACATGAAAAACATTTTGATTACCTAGTTCTTGAAGAAAATAACACATAATCAGAGATTTTACAGCATTGAAATCAGGTTACGAATTTTTTAACATTTGGGCATTGATATTATACTTATGCAATGAATTTTCCACTTAACTGTAGAAACTATCAAAAGTAATAAGATTTCAGTTGCTTTTAATTTGCTGGCTTTACGATAAGTACAATTATTGTAAGAACTGAACATGTTTTGCACCTAGACAAGGAACAACTTCTATGCATGTCAAGAATTCTCTCAAATAAGGGTCTTTTTATACTTACGAGTGTTTCTGCTTCGTTAGTGAGCCACCAAAAAGAGACAAAATTCCACATCAACATTCGGGTATTGTCAAATTACAATACCAACTCATTCAAGAGGAAAGTTACGAAAATTTTTCCTTGAGATTTTTAGATATTTTAGATTTAATTGTGAATAAGATTCTCTAAAAAATTGGAAGAAAATATTCAATACATTCCCTGAATATTAATACTTTATCAAAGAAAATGTGGCGGCATTTGAAGGCTCATTCAGCATTCTTCCTTCGCACCGCAAGTTAACCAGGAAACTCAATTCATTACTATGCAAGTTACACTTATACTTCAGAAATACTAATTTCACTTACTGTACCTTTCATTCGTCCGTAAGGGAATGAAACATTTAAGGCTTTGATATCATCTCTGTCTCGAACATCTGTCCATGGGTTCCATGCTACTGATGGTAAATCGATTGGCTTCTGTCTCAGGGCGGGGACTGACACATTGTCAAAGGGATGAAAACCTAAAAAATAAATGGAGAGAATGACATGATTCAAGGAAACATCCAATTTCTGAGTTATGGAGGTTTTCAATACTTACTTAGCAATAAAATTATTCATGGTAGATCACATTATGCTCTTAGCCATACTCAAAAAAGGTGTTCCCACTTCGGAACTGCCGAAAATAACACTGAAATATCTTTGCAAAAACGTCGCTGCAACTTAAATTTTGGCAGTAACGTTGAGACAACTTTTATGCGACCATATTTTGCTGAGCAGGTCACATGCTAAAGTTCTCTGCTAAGTTGACTATGGGATAAAGAAACTCAGTCAAGTCACAAGCCACAAAGTGGCATCATTAATTTACGCATTCACAAAAAACTGAATTGAATTGTGCAGAAATAAAAGAATTTGAAATGGACCACTAGACAAGGTACAAATTTAAGCAATCTGATACATGTTTCCTAACCAAAATTGCACGTAGAACACAATTCGCACAACGAAAATTACTGAAACCAATTCCTAACGAAGATATTAACGTTTTTATTTCACATTAGTTAGAAGGAATTTGAACTGCCCGCTCACAAGAAACTCAAAGCTCTACGTGAGTCGAATCGCGCACTACAACGGTTTCAGCAAGCTTCTCAATCGAGCAATGTTCATTTCCCACCATGTGTTGTTCAAACTATAAGCAATTTGCCACAGCTGAGCCAAAGCGTCAAGATTGAGGTTGCCAGATTTTTTTATCGCAGAGATGTTCATGATAACGTTTAGCGGGCGATGTGAATCACGTAGAGCATTGAGTTTTCATGAGCAGGTGGTTTGAATTCACGCACCAAGAATCATTAAATATCTTCGGAAGGAGTTGATTTCGGTAATTTCCGTTGTGCGCATCGTGTTTTACGTGGAATTTTGGTGAAAAAGCATGTATCGGAATGCTTAAATTCGTACCTTGTCTAGTGGTCCATTCCAAACCAAATTTGGTTGGAGGTTGAAGTTTAAAATTACAAGCAAATATTTTCTTACGCAAATATTCATGTGGATATTTCAATGGAATATGTGGTTTATGGAATCCGACAGCCAAGAAAAACCTCTTGGATTTGTCATGACTATGCAAGAAGGTCTTGGCCTCATTCAATAATTCCAAATCTGGCAAAGTACCACCAGGTTGCTTCGAAACTCTCACGGGACATACCAAATTCTTCCCGAGTTTGTTACCAGACCGTGAATGACACACTTTGGCATTTTTGTATTTTTCAGTTGGTGCATGATAGGGAGAGTCAGTCCAACTGTATGGCTGGTCGTCACTAAAGTTGCTGGAAACACCTAAAACCAAAGATAAACCCTCGTAAATTATTCCATTTTGAAAAGGCCAGAGGATTGATTGCAGCCAGAGACAAGAGACCCTCCACTGGCCTCTTGGCGACAGGTGGAAGCTTCTACTTTCGGGTTTTCAACAATTCCTTATGGACAATTATTACTAGGGAGCAACAGTCATCACCCTAGTTTCGGCTTTTGACTCACCTACATGGTCGATGATGAGTTTCGGACGACGTCATGAGCCAAACAAGTTTCCCAAACGTCGGCCATTTTCGGCTTGTTTATAAAACAAAACTGCCAACACGTTGTTGAACATCAACCATGTAGGTAAGTCAACAGTAGAATGCTGAAGTTCCGAAAGTAAAAGCTTCCACAATGGCCAAGATACTAGTGGAGGGTCTCTTGTCTCTAATTGCAGTTGCAGCTGATACCTACTAAATTCTGCAAAAACGAAAAAAAAGAAAAAAACTACAGGGTAAAAGAGGCAATTACTCTGGTTACAGAAAGTATAATGGAATATTGAAACTACCAAACTACGGATCTTGATTTTGCTGTTCGAGAATTTCAGCTCACATTCCCTTCTTCTGATGAATATTGGTCAACATTTTTGTACCAAATTTTCAGAGAATATTCTAAGAAGAATGACAAGAAATCAAATGAACTTTTGTGAAAAAAACAATGATCAGGCCTTCTTAAAATATGTGAAAGACAGGAGATTCACAACATCTTAAACCGAAATACGTGATTTGGTAATTTCGTCATCAATATGCTACTGTGCCATAGAGGGCTTTTACCAGTACAAATGAAGTTTGTAAATTCCAGAGGAATAGATTGACACTCTCGTCAATATTCATCACGACCTTTCATTGTAAATTTTGTACCAGCTTCTACTGAGAAGCCCTGATTTCAGTAAATTCTGTTTTGTCATGAAAAGTCACCGGACTATGAAAAATCATAACCAGATTACGAAAAAAGCACGGAACAGAAATCACATTGTTTTGATTAAAAAATAACTACTGACATTGACTACTAATGTGTATCCTATTCACCAACATGCAACGCATATTTGGAGAATTTTTTTCAGAGATGGAATTCAGGATGACAAAGACATATCTTTGTCAAAAATCTATTTTCACGGTAAAATAAGTTATTCCTTTTCTTAGTGCGTATCAGGAATGACAGACAATACCAAGGAGGATATTTGAAAATTATTATTTTTGAGTAAGAACATTACTTTTGTGGAGACAATATTATTGAAGAGACGGATGATGTAATGCCTGAGACAACAGAAAAACAGAAATAACTTTCAAAATTGTAATAAAGATAGTTCACTTAACATCAATGAGGATTAAACCCATGTATGGGTACCCATTGGATAACCCACGTACAATTTCATTAGGCTCACGATTTAATGAAAAAATTGGATTTCAAAATAGTTTCTCAAAAATGCACATCGAAAATTTGTAATGTCTGTGACGCTCTATTATTCAGTTCAGCTCTTTCTGTGGTTTACTTTTTCGTGTGAAACTCTGAGGAGAAAAAGGGGATCCTTCTTGCATGGGTTTACTAAAGGATTTTTTTACACTTTTTGCTCCGAATAATCAACCCTTCATGGCACTTTCAAGAGTCAAGAGTACTGGTTGTTAGGATTATCTCTTGATTACAAAAGTTTCTGAAATAGTTATTGAGCAGTTATAAAGCAAAAAGTAAGGTTAAAAAAGTAGAAAATAATAGTCTTTTATGTTCAACCAGATGCTGATCATTCAATGACAAAATTACATTGTGATTCTGACAATAAGAATAATGCTTTGCGAGAAAATGAAAGATTGAAGACTAGCTGAAGACAAAAACCTTTTCAAATCATGCATACCGACTTAGCAATGTACTTGGATCCTTGGCGTCACACCTGGGTGAAATATTTTTCCAATAGAGGCAGTGCAATAGTTATTTTCCTTGAAATACTGAGGAAGTGTTGTAAAATTGAAAACAAAGGATCTCCAATAATTGTAAAAATCGTACAAATGTAAAGTATCCGGTCGCCTGCTTGTTAAAAAAGAATTTCGACTTGGCGCACATAGAGCTTGCTGAAACATAGAAAGCAAATTGTAAGTCATAAGAAGGCGCTCAAGGAGATGTTGACTGTCATGATAAGGAAGGACGCCGCATAAATCTTTGTACTTAGCCAAAGTTCCGTTTATAAAACACAAATACTTAGGAAACCTTGCAAATATTTTCCGTCCAATTCTTCAGGGATTCTTCCTCTCAGTGAGTTCTAAGATAACTGAAAATTTCAAGAGGAAATATAAGTACATAATTTTTCTTAAAAATATATATTTTAAGGGAAAAAATTTGGCAATGTGCGACTGTCCAAACAGCACTCTTCCTTAGGGTGGCGGTTATGTACTCGGTGGCACAAATATAGGGCAGAAGTCTGATCTTGCAATACAAAGGGAATCAAACAAAACATTACTAGATAAAGCCATCAAGAAAACTTGGACTTTTTTAAAAAAACAATTCACCTTCAGTGAAATTTGGTGTAGCTTTACGTTGCAGAAAGCTACAGGACACATCCTACCAACATTACGAAGACCACAAATTGCAGCTTGAAGTCAACTTCAGTGGAACAAATACGGTAGGAGGTGGAACGATAAAATTAACAGAGGAGTGACCATGTCAAGCATACATCATGTTTGTTTTCCGTAAAAGTTCTTGATTCAGTTTGTAAGGAAATAATAAGGCAGAACCCGCACTATGGCCACTATTTCAGAGTCCTGATGGGAAGCAGTAAGGCCTGGCGCCTTCGAATTCCCTGAGAATAAATACGTTGGGATTCACTGAAAGACGCTCTGGATGAGATCACAATTGGGCAGCGTTTAACACAGAGGAACCAAGCCACATCAGCAGATTGCTAAATTTAACTGGGCAATTTGACTTTTGACGAGAGAATGTTTGTGCAGATTTCTTTGAAAATTTTGAGATTATTGCTTTGCACTATGGAGTAAATACACTGGAACTTGCTTGAAAATCCAAACAACCGTTTTCATGTAAAATTAAATTGCCCAGTTAAAATTGGCAATAACTGATATAGCTTGGTTCCTTTTCGTTTGACGCTGTCCAATTGTAACTGCTTTAACTAATTGTAGGTAAATGTTGACTACGTCTGTTAAACAGAACCAAGCGCCAAATTGAGTTCTTTTTAAGGATTTCAGAATCCCAAAAGCGCGTTCTGTCAAGCGAAACTAAGGGCCATGGAAAAGCATTGCGAGTGTAGGAAAGACTAGCATCACGTTCCACAATAACCACCAATCCAAGCCCCCCTCTTCCTTGCTCCCCCTATGGCGCTTAGTTCCGTTTGATATAAATACGTCCATAGGTAGGTATGTAAGCCACCTCATGAATTGTTATCAAATGGTTGGGGGATATATTGCTAGTTTCCAACAAGTTACGACCAAGCTTGTTGTGGAACATTTTATGCAGTGAATAAATTTTGGAAAAAAGGTGAACTCACCAAATCAAAACAGCTATATCTATTTCAAGATGTAATGAGAGTTAAGACTTACTTATTGATCATATATGTGGAGAGGAATGGCTATAATATACCTGGGCATACGCATGCTGAAAAATCAAGCTATCGTGACTAAAACTATCAATGTTAGGGGTGTAGGCATCTTCATCAAGGTAGCTACCCAACGCAGGACGGAGGTCGTCCACAACTATCATTAGAACATTCTTAGCACGGGAAAAGTACAGGATTGTGAGAAAAATTAAGAGAACCGCATGTACAAAACATAACTGACGCATGTTTGTTTGTTGACAGTCTTATCAGTTTGTTGTGATGTAGCATCGACCAACATATACAGGGGCGCGACCTAGTTCGCGCCCTAGGAAATTTCGGTGCGACGATTAGCAACCCGCATTGCAACAGGTACCATGCAGCATGTAGAATTAAAATTGAAAAATCATTCATAGCCGTCGAAACTTAGTCGTCCGTGCCTCCTTGAAGTTTAACTTTTCAACTCGTGATTCTCTTGCCATAACGGTATGAAAAAGCACGTGAGTTGCAGAGACAGAGGGTGTTCTCTTTCTCAGATTCATAACAGAAGAAAAGGCAGGAGGGATAATCCATTTTTTGATTGGTCGATCGCTTCTCCGCGTAAGACGGGAATGCGAGTACCCGCTCTGTTTCTCAGCTACGCTGGCTTGCTAAGGAAAAACGCCGTATAAGCCAGAGAGCTTCAGACGTTGCTAAGTTTCCTTCGATAAAAACCGAATACACTGGGAAAATTGTGAATATTTATTTCCAAAATTTTTGGACAATTTTATACGTAATTTAATCTATAATATCTGAAAATTTCAAAGAAAAATATGCATGAATGTTGTCAAAAATACATGTTTTATCTGGGGAAATTTGGCAACTCTCGAATTTTCATACGGCGTTCTTCCTTAGCACGGCGGTAAGTAGGTGGTATTGAAGTTACCCTAGATTTAGCAAAAATGAACCAGCATGATAAAAGTGTTGTAAAAATGTTGCTTCTCCATAAGCATCGACGAAATTTCCCAGAACTGCAATTTTTTTTGTTTCCCACCAAAAAATTGGCAATCTATAGGAAAATAACTGTGTAAGATTTAATACTGTATATATCGTCACCTTCCAGGCAAAGTATCACAAGCGCCATGCGACGTTTAAAAATTTTCGCCGCCATTTTATTTTTTTACATAGAAATTATTGGTTGAATCTGTTCGAAAATTGCACTGAATTTTTTTTTGTGCTGCCCATAAAATTCAGTGAAATTTTCGAACAGATTCAACCAATAATTTCTATGTAAAAAAATAAAATGGCGGCGAAAATTTTTAAACGTCGCATGGCCCTTGTGATACTTTGCCTGGAAGGTGACGATATGTTGAGTATTTTTAAAAGAAAAGAAGAAGTTGCACGACTTTGAAAACACTGTGGTCTCGCTGATCCATATGTAATTAAGACCTTCCTGCTGCCTGTTAACTCATTTTTTTTCAATTTTTTTAAATGAGGATGAGGCCAAGTTTATAGCATGACCTATATATAGAGTGCTCTGCTGAAAGAGAAGAAAAATTAAGATAGTTTAAAATAAATTACGTTGAGTAGTTTCCATATGAAAAAATATGGCAGGAAGTCTGCAACATCGCAAAAGGAGATACAAGGCTTTACACTTTGATCATCGATTGTTAATATCTCGTTCAAAAGTTGATCTCCGAACGTCTTGTTGTAGGTACCAAAGAATGGGGCATTATGCAATTCGAATGAATATTTGCAAACAAACCAGTGATTTTAAATCCCATTTATTTTTCTTCTTGCAATAGTAAAAGAGACAGAAATTGGAATGGCTGAAGAAAGAAGGTACAAGAAATCGAACAATTAGTGTTAGCTTTTGAAAATAAAGCTCATAGTTTAACGAAGAGGCTTGTGATCTGGAGTGCACGATTGAAAATTCATTTTATCTTTGTGCACTTTCATTGGTCTAATCTCAAAATGTGACAAATTAACAAATTAAAAGAGTAAATCGAACAATGAGAACAAGTAAAAAAATAAAAAAGATAGGCTACAAATAAATCTTTGAGGCACAATTCTGTGAATACAGTAAAGGCGAATTCCTCTCGAATTAAAGGGCAACTAGAAATTCTGTAACCATGTACGTTTCTGCGTGCTCTAAACAAGGTGGATATTTCTAATATATACAAAGTTAAATAATTTTACAAAGAAATAAATAACTTGAGTCAACTAAATTCTAGCATAAATTGGTTTCCAGAAAAGTAAACAGATGGGTGAAACATGATTAAATCGAATTCTGGCAGAGGGGTGTAAGTCCACAAAACCCTTCCCAGGAGAAGCCAAAAACAAACTTTCTCAGAAAGTAGGACGACTAAAGTTTTTGGAAGTATTGAAATAATTTTTGAAAAATTGACAATTTTGGACTTGCGCCCTTCGACCAGAACCGATTCAATTGTACAACAGCATTTGAGTAGGGGTACCTTTTTATACGGAATCTTTTGCAATACGTATCTCTATATTAAAGTGGATGGATATGTCAACATATATAAGCCGTCAAAAAGAGTCTCCTAATAATACAAAAATACGAGGACGGAACCATTTTCAGGAGGAGCTACAAAGGCCCAATTATCACAAAAAGAAAGATTATTCTTGAAATATCAAAGCTGCTTCCCAGCATCAACCACAAAATTGCACACTTTTCTTGAAAATCCTTTTTGGCTACACAATAAGTTAGTTAAAAGTCAAAATTTTTCTTGGTGTTTGAGAATTTTTAGATCTGGTTCCCAGAGTTAATCTAAACACTGTTGAAAACTTCCAGACAATTTCAAGGCAGAATTCTTGATTGGAAAGTTCTGAAAGTACCAAAAATAATTGAGAATTTCTAAAACTGAGATGTTGAAAGGACTGGAATCCATTCATATGTAATGAAAGTTCTTGTATAATTCTGACAAGTCAGTGGGTAAATATTTACCCGATGGCGAAGCAAAAAACTTTGAAACCCCTCAATCTCAAAACAAAATCAAGTACACACCTGCAGTACTCTAAATTGGACCGTGTTTAACAGAAAGGAACCAAGCCAAATCTGCTATTGTCAAATTTAACAGATCAATTTAATTTTTTATGAGAGAGCGTTTGTGCGGATACCTTTGAAAATTTTAAAAAATTTGCTTCGTAATATAGAGAAAATTCACTGGAATTTGCATGAAAACCTGTACAACCGTTTTCACATAGAAAATTAAATTGCCCAATTAAATTTGGCAATAGCTTTTGTGGCTTGGTTCCTTTCTGTCTAACGTGGTCCAATTATGGTTCCTTAGCGTCAGCAAAACTGAAAAGTGAAGGATTTAAAATTCTGCCAACAGCAGTGAAAAGTTAAATAGTTGAACTGAAAAAAAGAGTGGTTAAAAAGACTCAAACATCAACAGCGAAACTGCGAAAATGCATATCTTAGTTGTAGCTTTTCAAAATCTTCGCTCGTATTTCATTTCTTAAAAGAAAACAGAACCACCATCAAAGCCTGAAATTATCAACAAATATTCTTCACACAGATAATAAAAATCACTAAAATTCTCAAGAAAAGACGTCTAGTAGTTTTTCATGTGAAAGATAAAAAATGACAGGTAGTCTGCTACTCTGCAAACCAAAATGTGTATTTCTACAGTTTCACCATAGATATACAGAAAAGGAGAGAATTGAAAGCTGACACATGGTAATGTCTGTTAACACAGTCATGTTGTTTCAAATGGACGGAGAGAACCAAGGTTCCTTAAAACTAATTAAATGTATAACATCGAGATAAAATATACAAAAGTCAATTATAAGATCAACAAATGGTGATATAGTTACAAATAAATAAGAATGCTTCAGAAGACCCAAACTGAAGCTATCAGAGGGTAAGCCTTAAAAAAATATAGTCACACTAAATTTACTCATTTCGATTTCATTCTTGAAGTTACTTTTGTGTAAAAGAAAAGGGTAAAAAGTATTACACAACAGGGTGCTATGGTGTGCGAATACATGTTATGGTGTAATTATTTTTACTCTTTTCTTATATGTTTTAAGCACACGCAAAATGTAATTCAAATATTACTTTATTAACTTTATTTATATAACCAATGCCAGTCAAGGCACACTCTACAACAGATATAGACAAATGAAATTTTAGAAAGCCGTTGAAACGCGTAGATTTGACAGCATCCAATGATACGACTGCGACGCCATATTGAAAACTTATTTACTTTCTGTTCTGAGAGTGAGTCTCGTCAATTTCATGTTATTTTTTGTGTTTTTAGTTAAGTTTTTCGTTATTTTGAGTTTCATCAATTTTTAAATTCATCTGATAGCTTATTGAAGCTACCTCATTGTGAACTGCGCAGCAAAGACGGTACGACTTGCGACGTCACTTGATAGCCTACATTTTTAGCGCTGCCACTTCAGCACCCCATTTGTCCATATCTGTAGTAGAGTGTACCTTGAATACCAGTTAGCAACCGATAGTTGAGACACAACTGCAAAATTCTGAGAACATTAATTGGACAAGAATGTTTTTCAAAGAGCAAATTGAATTGCAATTTTGAAATCATGAATCGATAACTGGCTTTTCCTACTGATAACTGTGACAAAAGGAGTTCACACCTTTGCAAAAAAATTAAGTGATCAGCAAAAGAAATAGCAAAACTTTTACTCATGAGACATGACGTCCTAACTAAAGGTGATCCAAAAGTCCTGCAAAATCCTTGTAAATCTTTGAATTTTCGCCCTTTTACATGAAGGTCCCCCTAAAATTTTGCGGAGTTCTAAACGTAGTTTTTTTTACCTAGGATCACTCACAAATTTTCAAGTCTCCATTTTAATTTAGAACAAAAGTTAGAGAAGTGGTGCCTATGTGGAACTTTTAGGTCACCCCGTATTTACTTGTCAGAGCAGTAAGGTATAGCTGTAAGTTTGATTCATGGAAATAAGTCTGGAGTTGGCTGAGACATTAAATGATGAGGACATGGACAATTAAACATTTTTTTTGCTAAACACTTTGAAAGATTAAAGCTTCCTTGTTCCTGTTTGCACTCTCTGAGTAAAAATGTAAGAGAGAAGGTGAAAAGCATTGTATAGATTATAATCATATCAAAAATAAACAATAAATGAGATTTAGAAGATTGAACCATGTCTTAGTGTTTAAAAATAAAAATTCAGTGTTTAACAAAGAAACTTAAATCAGATCATGGACATTCCATTTGTTTCGCGAGCTTTGACTCATAAGCAGGTCGTTTCCTGGACTTGGACTGACGACTTATTGATAGTAATACTCGAAAATAGGGAATTAATACTGAAGACCACTTGATCAAAAAGCGGTAAATTTATCGTAATTGACTCACTGATGTCAACTACTAATTATTTCTTAATTTTCTGTATCCCATCTCAATGAGTTTCAGATTCATCAGAAAAAGGGTCTTAATCCCAAATACATAACTCTTAAAATTTACTTTGTATCTTTTCAATACCAACTTTGTTTCTAAGAAAGCCTCTCGCAGCCTTGATCTGATAGAAAAAATGTAAGTGCGGCAAGGCTCTGCCTTATCAGCGTATTAAAATAAAATATTGGATAAATGATTATAAAATACCCAGGCAGGGAACACTTATGGGGTTTGACAATAATTAAGAATACTCCAAAGGACTTTTAAACAAAATGACTCAAAACTGGTCCTGATCTGTTGCGCATTAATCATGCTCAGAGCAAAACAGCTTATTGAACGGGCTGCGTAGAGACGGTTGAATGAGGAGTGGTTGGTCGAGAACCAGCCAGCGAGTGTGCGGTAGATGCTGTGAGTGACTGCATTGTGCCCATCTAAAACAAATAAATAATTTATGAAAGTGTGGTCCTTCATTAGAAAGTTTACAAAATTCTTAAGTCACATTTTGGGATATTTCTATCATCCTCAAACTTAATGAGGCTTCATGAAAAGGCTCTTCTTGCCAAGAGCCAAAACTATTTTGACATACCATTCACCAATGAGAAAAACGTACTTAACAGTTGGAATTTTTTAGTCAATAAAAAAGATATTTTCGTTCGACTCAAGGTAAATTTCCTTGGTATTTTGAAGAGTCGAGGTTACATTATGATTTGAATAATATTCTAATAGTATCGGGTGTGTTCCGAATAAAATGATTGTGCAAATTGTGTCTGTCTTGATTTTAGACATGGACACCAGTTATGCCCTACAGCCGAGAGGAGCTGTGACATTTTTTGTGAAATTTGTGGTAAATCTGTTTTGCGTTTAGCAGCAGTGCTTAATCAAAGTGTAAGTTTCAAAGTGCATTTATTGACTCCTCCACTAAATGAGATACACGTCAATTTCAAACTTTGTCATACTAGAAAATTCAAAGTTCCTGACCGAGAGATTTAAACCTTACCTAATTCTCGCTGAATGGTATGTTAATATGGTACTACAAAAGCCCTTTTACAGGGTACAGCTTAGTTGAATCACTATATCCTGAAGAGTAAGTGGACCAAGCTTGGTTATGAATCAGAAGTTCTACAAAAGACACCATTGAAATATTCTCCGAATTGACACGCTCAAGAATGATGAGAGAGTGATAGCGATCCAACTTACCCTAAGATGCGCCAGATCCTCCAGCTTGGTGAGATCTGATAGCTCCAGGAAGAGCGAATACACAAGAAGCCAGCCGTAGCAGTTGATGACCGTAAACAAAAACCAGATCAAGGAAATCATAATATTGTAAGTGAAGATCAGGTCATTCACGATTGAAAAGAACAGCCAAGCCACGAGTCGAAACACAGTGAAAGCAGCGTAAACATAGAGCCATGGGATCATTTTCTTCTCATATTCCTGTAAACAATAAAATCATCATTAAGAAACCGAGTAAAATCAAATAAATTTTTATTAATTCAATTTTTTCGATAGTTTTGAGCTACCTATACATTTGATCTTCAATGGTAACCATCCACAGCAAAAGGAACCTTGGTCTTTAGACGTAAAGGGATTTTCTACTATGCTTGACTTTTCCGAAGGATAATTTATCATTGTATACACAAAGTTTTGTGTTATCGATAAAAAGTTAAGTAATTTAACCCTTCAAGAATATTTTCCAAAAATTTTGAATGAAAATGTCTTGAAATATCAGAAATTCTAGAACATTAAAATCAAAATATTTATTTTCACACATAGTTTCACCGATAAATTTTTGCATACATCCTGAAACAAGGAATTGTACAGACACTGGGGCACATCTCGAAGTTTCATTAAACACATACATCAGCAGAGCAATGGAAAGTGAAATCAAAGTCTGTAGGTGGAAAATTCCATTATCCATGCTTAATGAAATGTTGTCATTTTTACTATGCAGATATATATTCAGCAAGATACTCAAAACTAGTTTACATTAGGAGTTTGTATTTATCTAGAATGAAAAATAATAAGCCCAAGCTTGGTTAGATTTAAAGAATCATCTTCAATTTACTATTTCTAATAGGGAAGAAAGAGCAGTAAATTTATGATTTATAGACAAGATTAATGAAAATTCTTCTTTAGAAATAAATCTGGGTGCGAGGTAATTTGAGATTTCAAAACAGATAAATATTCAACATGGAACAAATAACATGCTTAAATGACTTTTCATTTGCATTGGCAAATGATAGTTTGACAGACTTTCATGCGTCTAGTCGTTTATAAGTAGTTTAACAATAGCATCAAATTGCAACTTTTAAATTAATTTAAAATTTTAGAAAATAAAGTATCTGGTAAACAGATTAAATTTTAAATTTAAATGCAAGTTTAGTGAACTTCAATTTTTTTTTTTATTTTTTTACTGTTTCAAATACCACACAAGCGGTAATCCTTGCGCTTCAAGTTAGAGCCCCTCCCCTCTCCGTCCCTACCATGTACCAGCCCAAGGCGACCGTTGTTTGACGATTTTTGACATTCAGCAATGTAAGATCCATAGAGTTGGAAAAAAACCAAAATCAAGAAGATTTGTTACCTTCCTTAACGCTATGATGAGTACAATACTGGTTACGAAGGCAACACATCCAAAGAGGAAGGAGAACAATGCGAAGAGAATGAGCAGCTTACGAACTGTAAACAAAAATTAAATATAATTTAGGTCCGCAGAAACAAAGATATGAAACTTAATACTAAAAAAATATGAAGACTTTCCCCTCAGAACTTTAAAGAAGTAGAACAGATTGCACATTTAACTGAAAAATCAGACATTATGACATAAAAAAGAATGCTCACTATAAGACAATGTGCCATGAAGCAAATGCACTACTTAGGTTGCGAAATACAGTCAGCGTTTTTGAAATTTTTGCACTAATGAATTCTGGTTTTTTCACCCAAATTTAAGTTTTAAAATATAGATATATTGATTGGTAGGTACCAGTTTCATACTTTCGAACTTTCAAGGGCAATATCCTCAAACCTACTTTTTTGTTCGTATAGATTGTTGAAGGAAAAAGTGCGAACCTACAGTTGCAACATTGCAAATTTCCACTCAAGTTTAGTTTTTTTAAAAAATATAACCAACAGTTTTTCTTAAAATTGTCTTCACTCATTCAAACTAATTCACAGGAAATTAAAAGAGGATATTTTGGTTTGTTCTCTCTCGAAAAAAAATAAAACGGAGTCAGAGATTTTGAAGCATTGCATCGTAGGTATGCATTTTTTGACTTCGGCTATTAATATAATTTTGTTCTAAAGAACCTCTCTGCAGTTACAGATATTACAAATTAGGAAAAAACATAAAAAATGCACTTACCCCATGCACTACCAACGTAGACGAATTCATAACTCAGAAGGTAGTAGCCATAGTGTGTTGAACCAGGAGTTGCTAGGTATAAACTGTAGATATCAAAAATTGCTGTGGCCAGAGTGAAAAAAGAGCAGAACTGGGAAGAGAGAATAAAAATATTTGAAAGCTCAAATCACATTAAGTGAAAGTATAACAAGGTAATTAAAAGCAGCTTCTTAACTAGATAAAATTCTAGACTAAACAAATGACATATTTGTATATTTGCTATTCAGTCAATGCTACTTGTGAACACTTATATCTTGTTGTAAATTGATTTCCACACTTCTTGGTGTATTGTGTGTTTTCTTCATGAAGTTTGGAAGATAATAGAAGTTGTAGTGTTTTAATTCACACCTTCCTTCCGCCATTTGGTGATAAAAATCCTAATCTCAATTAAACGAACTTTTACTGAGAGGGACCATATGAAAATGAATCAAATCAAGAGGAACGACAATGCACACAGTTTCTTTCAATAAAACACATTTTTACATTGGTCCTTTTAACATAAATACATCTGATGGCAATGAATGATACTGAATTTTGGGGCAATAACATTAATCAAGTCTAAATTGTTCTTTCTTGACTAAATGTACAGTCCACCGAAAAGCTAAGTATTCCTGTGAAAAATTCAGCATTCAAAAAGGAGAAGCTGAGTGAAGTTGCAATGGAATGATCTGCGTATTCATAAGACATTGAATATTTGAAATGAGGAGACAACTTACGACTGAAAATCCTGCCATGAGCATGGATCCCCGCTGAATGTCCAGAAAATAAGCGTCCTTCAAAATAGGTTGGCGATACCAGGGAACTTTCAAAGATTTGATAGAACGAGAGGCTCTTAAATTAGCGGACGATCGGGAGGTAACATGCGAGTATATGGAGGGTGTCCCCATACTGGGCGTTTTCCTTGGAGTATACATGCTGACGTCTAATTGGTTATACTGCACTTATCGCCTGAGAAAATGAGCAGAGCAAATTCATCAACACCAAGTACATTGGATAGCATTGAACAATTTTACAGAGGAAACGTTATTTACACTGCAAAGCCCTGTGGAATTCAAGAGTACAATTGGTAAGTATGGCAAGACTAAGAGGATATACAAAAATTTGTTAGATCCCTGTTATCCAGTTCATTAAGGTAAATCTACAGCAGTGCGTAGTAAGAAATTTTTCCGCGCAGGGAGGGCCTCCGCTGTGTCTTGATTTTTAGGTCTACGCTATTAGAGTCCGTGCAGCTCCACGTGAGTCCTTGAGCTCTTATGAGAGTTACAGGAATTTCTGTTTAAATTGAAGAGTCATAAGTTCTAGCCATAACATTCTTCTCCCCATTGACACTAAAAACGACGTGAAAAATAATTTCTGAGGCTCTGAAACTTGATCCCAGAAAAAAGTAGGGTTAAGCATGATGACCATGATGCAACCAAACGAGATTGATCGCTCTCAGCAGTTGCAGATATCTCTTTCCCACCTGTGAACTTCCCAGCTATCTCTCTCGCACTTACAGATATCCCATAAGAGAAACTGGGATCGAATCATAGCTTTTAATGTCAAACTTTCAAAGCTCGCATTTGTTTCTACGGATTTCAGACATATGCTACTAGAACTTAGGAGTCTTCGAGTTTAAAATATCTATTGTCATATTTAAGTAATCGCTGATTTAGGAGTCTGATTTTAGCAGCGCGACGTGGTGGATTTTTTCGGAACTACAGCTGAAGATTCATGATACTATAAGATCCATCCTTCGAAAGTGGTTCTCTAGCTGCAAAACAGAGCTAGGGAAAATCTCCAGGCATAACCAATGATCGACAACAAACGACAACGCTGTTTGAGGTTAGGAACAAATGTGGCGTACATTATTTGTTCCAAGACGGAGTTTTTGCTTGGTTCTTGGAAAAATTATACGAGTAATAGAGAAGATGAGGATAATGCAGAGCGATGAACTTATACTGATCAGCTAAGGATTTTAATATATTTGAGAATGCAACTAAGTGATAACCTACTGAGACTACACCCAGAATGTTGTTGCGAGAATGCTGATAGTGGAGGGTATACATCCTACATACAACTAGGCACAGGCGTAACATTTAAACTTTAAAGATGTCTATGTATGCTTTAAAGTAGAAGTAACATGCCGCTCTGGGGGATAAATAGGGCTAATAAATATTTTCCATGTAGTGGAGACAGAAGGAGAGGAACGATTGTCGCTCTCTTAGACGACTAGTTTTCAGCCTGATTGCTTACCACATTTGGTGAAACTAGTAGATTATTGAAAAAACTTACTGTGAAAGAGAAAATCGAGGCAGAAATCAAGTATTGAGAGGGTAAAAGAATCAAATTATAAACTTTTTAAAATATAAACACAGCGACACAACTGTCAGATACATCCACTCCCTTCTGATGCATTGTTGCATGGTTTGGCAATAAATCGTAATTTTGTATAACTTATTAAATGAAATTTATAAATGGCTCTATTAGATTCAGAAAATGTTTTAAACTTTAATTGATGCTGGAGGATCGAGAGAGAGACATATTACAAATTATTTGATGATGACAAAGTTAAAGTAACTGATAGCTAAAAATAATAATACTCGAAGATTTCATGCTACTCTTGGCATTAGGGCTTCATAGTCATACAGCGATAGTAGCGTCAAAAGCGTTGTGTGGAGATAAAACGAACTAGTCTGCATCCGCCCGCGAAATATACTTGTTTTCAAAAACACGGAGCACAAGCATGGACCAATAGAATAAATAAGGACTCCCAACTCCCTATGCTACCCTGTGTTAAAAACCGTTAACGCGCGCTCGCAGCGAACCTGGCAGAGGGTGCGGTGAACTAACGCCGCAGCGGTCCACGATCGTACCTCTATAGTATGTTATTCCATGCAATGTTCTTTGTTTATCTATGATTTATTTATTTGTGTAGATACTTTAATACATTTTACTTTCGCAAACTAATGAAATTGTATAGATACATACCTTCGGCAGAGGTCAATGCGAAAGACTTTGATTTGAAGTATCTTATCAAAACACGAGCAAAGATGATTCAGTCAACTTCTGACGCAGAATCAAAGAGACTTGCTAATAATCAAATTGAAGGTAATGCTTGAAGTCAAGTATCTTTGATTTTGTGACACTCAGTTGATTTTTATCAGTACAACACTATTTCTCACTAAAAAGATTTCACTTAACAGAGAGGCGCCTTCGGCTAAAAGTACAATCCTGATTCCTGCTGCACACTTCCTTTGGCTTTCTCAACAGCAGTTGCTGCTGAGTAAAACGGTTAGAAATAACACTTCACATTAATACCAGTTTATGTACACGAAGACTGACGAAGATTGAAATGAAAATGGGAAACTTTTCACACTAAACTCTTCAAAACTGCAGGGCGACCACGAGGATACGAGGATCTAGAAACTTCTATGAGCACTACTGAGTGATAAGCCTAAATCGGTGGAGCATGGAAATATAAACAGGAAGACCCAATCATCGGTTTAGTTCACTACACCCTCTGCCAGGAAGCGCTGATGTCAGCGCTAACCGGAGTTGGGGGTCCTTATTTATTCTCTTGGTCCATGGCACAAGGCCGGATTTAGGTGGTGGCCACATGGACCGCGGCCCATGGCGGCAACTTTAGGGGGCGGCAAATGTTGCAATTTTTCAAATGTAGGTATCCAAAAAAAAAAAAAGACGGATTCAGAAAAAAAAAATGAAAAACGAGAAAAGGCGACAAAATCTCTCATTTCCTTAGAGTTAAAGTATGGTAATTTTTAAGGTGATTCGTCAAGCTCAAAAGAAGTGGTCGAACTGGCATGCGATATATCGCATCTTTTGGGTAAAAAATCTCGGCTGATTTTGAATTTTCAGCAAGAAAATGGACGATAGCCCCTGCGCATGAGCCTAAGGAATCATTCGAAACCCAAAAATCGGCAAAACTCAGAGAAATGAAAGCAGGACAGTTTTGGAAAAAAACCTCGCATTCTTCAATTTCTGTATCGAATGTGAGGTTTTTTTCCAAACACTATTCTGCTTTCATTTCTCTGAATTTTGCCGATTTTTGGGTTTAAAATGATTCTTTAGACTCATGCGCAGGGGCTTTCGTCCTTTTTTTTGCTGAAAATTCAAAATCTGCTGAGATTTTTATCTAAAAGATAAAATCAAAAACCGACAAAAAATTTATCCAAAAACGGTTTGCAGAGGGCGAGTCTATGGTACGTGTACACGTAAAATTGCGAAAAATCAAAATCTTGACTGATCCTTTTTTCGAATACGCGATTTGAGATTTTCATAGTAAACGCAACTTTTCCACTGATTTTGATCCGATTTTTTTATTTATTTGTACATTGAATCGGTGTTGATCGGTTAACGTTCTCATTTTTCGTTCGATTCATGTCGATCATACATACCCTCTCGTTACACGCACACTTCCTTCCATACCCTTTTTTTTTTTAACCGAAAAATTCGTCTTGAGCTGCGTCTGCGGCAATTGTTGTTACGAATATGTTGTGCGTGCTGGTTTCAGGTTATTACTAACACGAATCTCTGAAGGCGTTTTATGTGCGAGAGCAATTCGCCTTCAGCTGCGTCTGCAGCAATTGTTGTTACGAATATGTTGTGCGTGCTGGTTTCAGGTCATTACATACTCGACTCTCTGAAGGCGTTTTATGTGGGCAAGTGGCGTACCCTGTTGGAGAACTGGCGAATTGCTCTCGCACACAAAACGCCTTCAAAGAGTCGAGTATGTAATTACCTGAAACCAGCACGCACCGCATACTCGCAACAACAATTGCCGCAGACGCAGCAGAAGGCGAATTTTTCGGTTTAAAAAAAGAGTATGATAGGAAGTGTGCGTGTAAAGAGAGGGCATGTATTCGATCGACTTGATTCGAACAAAAAATAAAAACGTGAACCGATCAACAACGATTCAATGTACAAATAAATAAAAAGTGGATCAAGATCAGTAGAAAAGTTCCATTTACTATGAAAATTTCAAAGCGCGTATTTCTAAAATAGCACTAGCCAAGATTTAGATTTTTCGCGATTTTAAGTGTGCACGTACCATGGACTCACCCCGAGCAAACCATTTTTGGGTACATTGTTGTCGCATTTTATTTTTATTTTTTGCTTCCAAACCACTGTGTCGGGACTCATGCGGAATTTGAGATACACCCTTACGCCATAGGAGCAACGAATTGGACCAAGTTCAGCAGGAACTTACCAGTTACCATGCCGCATTTTGAAAAGAAAAGAGTTTGAAGTAGTTTAATGCAATTAGTCTCCCATCGTGGCCTGGCTACAATTCAAAGTCGAGAAAACATTTTTAAGCCTAAAATCACGTTAAACTTCACATTTAACATTACCTAAGTTTTATGAATTAATGAAACTTCAAACCTGAAACCTGGTTCAAACTGAAAGCGACTTGATGTATCTCTATTAAACGTGGCCGATTTCGATAACCGCGGATATTCGACCATGCCCGAAACGTCAAGAAATTAACACTCGTTTTTTACTGTTTCTCGGTTCAGGAAGCTCCGGCGAGCCTCGGGACCACGCGGAATCGATTTTACGCCTCCAAGTACCTACACGGGATTTGATACTAATCTCGGATTATTTTCTTTCATCGGAATGAATCGGGAAAAATCGACTGGGGTTTCATGGACTAAAAGATCTTGATGCAAAAGTAGCTTCTTTCGTCCCCCCTCTGGAACTTCTTCAGACTTTGTCTATTGATTACTCATACTTGAGGGCTTCTTTCCCCAAATTTCCAGACCTCTAAAAAATTCTGAGGGGGCATACACGGGAACGGGCAGCAAAACCTGTAAACCTCGATACCTCTCGAACGAAGGAAGAAATCATGGTTCGGGTTGGACGAAATATCGTCGAAAATTGCATACATTATGATTTCAAAGGTCAAGATCCCGAAATCACATTTCTAAGTTGACAAATCGTCACCTTCCAGGTAAAGTATCACAAGCGCCATGCGACGTTTAAAAATTTCCGCCGCCATTTTATTTTTTTACAGAGAAATTGTTCAACGAAGCTGTCCGAAAATTTCACTGAATTTTCTTTGTGCTGCCGATAAAATTTAGTGAAATTTCCAAACAGATTCAACCAACAAATTCTCAGTAAAGAAATAAAATGGCGGCGGAAATTTTTAAACGTCGCATGGCGCTTGTGATACTTTGCCTGGAAGGTGACGAAATGTGCTTTTTTCCAATTCCTCCTAGAGCTCCTTTCACGGGGGACGAGCTCAATTTTAGTCCGATCGGAGAACTTTCGATTTCGGCCCGAAAATTTTGGTCCATGTAACCCCTGTCAATTTTTCTCGATTTCCGATGAAAGAAAAAAAATCCGAGATAGGTATTGAATACTATGTACATCGAGGCGTAGAATCGATCCCGCGTTGTCCCGAGGCGGGCGGTGCCCGATTCCCTCCCGAGATTTTTTCCCGAGATTTCCTCCCGAGATTACCTCCCGAGATTTCCTCCCGGATCTGATTCCCTCTCGCTGCCCAAGTCCCTTTCCGAATCCCTCCCGCTGATGGTGACCTTTGATAAAATGAAGCGGCAACGCCGCATCAATCATTCAACTTACCATTTCCATAGAGGTGCGCTGTTTCCCGTGAGTGTTTCAGGAAAATTAGTGTAGATTCACAAAATTATGATGATTTGATGAAGAAAGTGGGCTAGGTTGATAGAAGAAACAAAATTTGAGAACCTTCTCCCCCTTCTAACCCTCTTCATGACTGCCGGATGTACACAGAAAAACTAAAAAGGGTGTATGGAGCCCGATGCTTCAAAGAAGAAAACATGCTTAGAAAAAATGCTGAAACGGGTGTATAGAGCCCGATGCGTCAAAGGCGGTTTTTTCTGCTCACATTTGAGGGGGGAAAATGGCTCCTTCACCGATGTAATTAACAAGTAAGTAATGGACCACTAGACAAGGTACGAATTTCAGCATTCTGATACATGTTTTTCAACCAAAATTTCACGTAGAACACGATACGCACAACGAAAATTACCAAAATCAACTCCTGACGAAGATATTTAATGATTCTTGATGCGTGAATTCAAACCACCCGCTCATGAAAACTCAATGCTCTACGTGATTCACATCGCGCACTAAATGTTTATCATGACAGTCTCTGCGATGTAAAAATCTTCAACTTCAATCTTGACACTTTGGCTCAGCTATAGCAAATTACCAATAGTTTGAACAACACATGGTGGAAAATGAACATTGCTCGATTGAGAAGCTTGCTGAAACCGTTGTAGTGCGCGATTTGACTCACGTAGAGCTTTGAGTTTCTTGTGAGCGGGCAGTTCAAATTCCTCGTAATCAGTGCGAAATAAAAACTTTCATATCTTCGTTAGAAGTTGATTTCGGTAATTTTCGTTGCGCGAATCGTGCTCTACGTACAATTCTGGTT